AACAGCTATTAGGAAGAGAAATCATTCTTCAGTAAAGAAACAATCAAACAAGATGAAACATTATGATAGGTATGGCTTCCAGTCAAATGTTTCTTTCACATCAACATTCTCCTGTTGCATGCACTGCACAGCTTTGTCAACAGGAGAAATCATTTCAATGCCACCACAACCACAAGTGCAATGCCGATTATATGACGAATCAATGTCACCAAACTTCATATACAATTCGAGACAACTGGGGCACCTTTTGACGTAATTACGCTTTCTTGCCCCACATAAGTTTAAATCCACAACAACGTGAAGACCTTGGCTTGCAAAATGCTTCTGAGTTCTGATTGCGCTGACTCGCACACAGCTTGTAGTAGTACATCCTCCGATTACCAAAGTATTTATTCCCTGTTGAAGCAATTCTGTTTCCACCCACTCCCTGAATCCGTGAGCATGCATCACAGAGGTGCTGGGTTTTATAACATAACGTTGATTTTTTTCCACTACGGAAGCCAAACTGTCGTGAAGCTCAAAGTCATTTCCTTCAAAAGGACAGCGGGTCATAAGAATCGGTACGCCGTTCCGTAAACCAGACCCTAACAACGTAGCACAGGTTTCAAAGCTTTTCTTGATGGGTTCAACTTCCTCGTCCGGTAAACCCGTTCTCCAAATTCCATCCACAAAGGCACGTTGAAGATCAATAAGCAGCAGACCTATGGGTCTCGGCGTCAACGACATTTTTTCTGTAATTTTTAATTGAATGACAGAAAACCGGAGACAAAGTGCAGGCAAACTATCGAAAAGTTCGACCTTCACCAATTCCTAGGTGCATTGTGGGTAATTTCAAAGTTCCCGGTTCAGAACAAGTTTCAGATCCGAATCGTCAGGGGCACCCAACGAGAATATAGTTCAAAACCACTTAAACATAGCATTGTTAAACGTATTTTAGTATTTAAACGGTAGATATAGGCATATTTTTATCCCGTAGAAATTTTCCATCTGTTCGGATTTCCTAGCTGGAAGTCTAGTGATCCGAAAATTATAAGGATCAAAACTTACCTTTTCGAAAATTTCAGCCAGAAAAAAGGCTCCCGAAAATTCTAGGTGACCTTTTAAGGGTAAAAATCCGTTAAAAATGGGCAATTATACCGATTTTTAGATGTTCGAAAATCCTAGGAGAGGCAGGCAAGCAAGAAATTTTACAACAAATGCTCCGAAAATTCTAGATCGCAAACCGTCTTCCGAACAGATATTTTCCGAAAATTGTCGTTGGGTGCCCCTGAATCATCCCCCATATTTACGAACAAATTTAAAGCTAAAGAAGCTTAAGGAATCGCAAGTTTACAGTCAAGCCAGGTCAAGGGTATCCCCAACATTCCATATGGGCCCCTTGAATGAACTGCTATTTTTAAGTGAATCCGTTTATAATTATACAGATTGTAGTTGTAAGCTAGTTGTAAATTTCATATTCACCTCTGATCATCTCTGCATGTCTGCATGTGTAATCACGGCGGGGCTAAACCACCCCCAAAGGGCTCATCATGGCTTGCCAATTAATTTTGGAAAATTTCCAATAACTTTGTTGGCTCTAACTCTTTCCTTACCAAACTTGGCCCGAAAAAAATTATTTATTGTTGAAACAAGAAACAAGAAACTTATCTATGAAGTTTCTTGTACAGTCCAACAATAAATAATTTTTTTCTGGCCATACTTCCCGACAACTCCAATCTTCTTGGTCCTCTTTGTCATTTTCGGATGTTTCGAAGAGACAAGGAGAAATGAGTTGGAGTTGACAAGGGAAAGAGAAACGCATAAACATTGTAAGAGGCGACACAATTAGGTAAACTTGGATTCTATTGCTGCCATTACTAAAAAACGACGAGCAAACTAAACCATTTTTTCCATCTAGATAAACACTTTCGAGCTACTAGACTGACTGTTCATAAAAACTGAAGTCTACATGTACTTCAGCGATTGCATTGAACGCTACGTCGCGATCGATCTTTGATATGTCTTTTGTGTGAAGTTTTTACTGGAAAAAGTTGTTGATCCACAAGTACAGGCACTGTCATTCACGTTTATTCATTTTTTCAGGCTTAACGAACGACAAGTAAACATCGGGCGAATCGACTTCATCCGAGTGGACCTTTTTACGGACAATTCACTTGATCAAAACCAGTTGAGACTATTCGCAGCCCTTCACAGTTACTCTTCGGAATTCCCTACTCTTCATGGCCAGGCCTGCTTGACAGCTTAGGCTTACGGCTTAGGCTTTGTGAACGGCTTAGGCCTGGCCTGTACCCTGCGCATGCGCACAGCCATATGACCTGGGCAGCCTTTTACAACTGTTTCCTCCTTCCCTGCGCTCATCAACATAGCCTAGCTATCAGGCCCCAATAAAAACAAAGAACTGCATGGATGGGAGTGGGTGGGTGGATGCAATTAATCCCTCGCGTTTTGTCATGGTTTGTGCTTCATTCACGTGCTTCTTCTGGTTTGTGCTGAGGCATAAGGGAAAGACACAGCTAACACAGACTGCCCAAGGTAGGTATGAGAAATAAATCATTCAAAAATAATGCTTGTGGTATCGTGTTGCATAATCATCAAAATGGCCGTGAATGTAAAGGATTTGCATGGGATTTATCTTCTTCAGTCTATCACCTGAATTCCCATACAAATCCTTTATGTTCACAGCCATTTTGAGGATTTATGCAATGTGATACCACACGTATTTTAAAACGATTAACTCTCATACTGAGCTTGGGCAACCTGTGAACTACCATTTGGAACTTGTGATCGATTCCGTCAACAGCAACAGCGTGATGTGTATACACACTACTAACAGACATAACAAAATAACAAGTAAAACTTTATTCTTGATCACAGAATAATTTCATATTTAACACATGAAGAATGATAACAATTTGTAACGAGATATAAATACTTTTACACAAATTATCGTCCAAAAAACTGCAAGATAAAACAAAATTAATGCTTAACTCACATTATGGATTGAAATAAAGTAATATCAAATATGTGCAAAATCATGCATTATAAATGAACAATATTTCCATAATCAATGTAGTTTCTTTTAATAGTGTAAATTGTAGTCTCAAAAGATCGCTGACTTATGTAAATCCTTCTTTTTACACAGTCAGTTGTAAATAGCCAAATTGTTTGTTTTGTCATTCTTAATTATCATTCATTCAAAATATCCTTCCATTTCTGATTGACTCAAATCCCAAGGGTCATTCATTTTAACCAGCTAGGACTGACCAACTTTGGAAGATGTTTCTGATATCCAGTAAAATGATATCAATAATACAAGATATCGACAGCAAAAGAGACGGCAAGCAAGAAGCCCTGGGAACAAGGTTACTTAGAATGATTATAAAAAAAATTGTTGCATTCTCTTTTCGCATCACCTGAAGAATCATGCAAATCACAGAGGGCGTTACATGCTGAAGCTGAAGTCAAAGTGGAATCCCTGCTCAATCTGCATAATTCTTCAGCTCATATTCAGCCTTCTGCAATAACTGCTATTAATTATCTGTTTGTTCTTTTTAGTGGGCCACAATATTAACTACTGGGTTGCCCCCATAAAGTTCATTTGTTATTACTTTTCTCTCTAAAGAAGAAGTAGTGCATGAAATGTTAGCTTCGCTTCTTTTTGCAGTGGTTAATAATTATTGATCGAACCAACTGTTGTGTGTCACTCCTCAAGCAGCAGCAACACATTTCTTTGAAACTAACCACTTAATATCAGTGACACACAATCAGCTTTCAAACAAACAAAACCTTAATTTTAAACTTAAAATTTATCATCAGCTTTAAACAAAGTTTCATACTTTTTTCTCGATTTTCCAAAAAGCTAAAAGACTACCGCCTGTTTACAGCAGAGATCAGCTTGAAGCCTTAGGGGTCAGTTAGTGGGATTTCCAATTTACTTCCTTACACAGTGTTTAAGTAACACCCTGATTTGGATAGGCAAATTATTTAAAGAAAAAAAATTTGTGCATATTTGACCTTTAAAAAAAATTAAAGAAATATTAATGAGAAGTTTTTGCTATTTTTTTTTTTTTGCTAAAATGGTTTTATATTCTGATAGAAACAATATTTTATGGGCCCCTTTGAATTATCCTAGCAAGTGGTTTAAAGAAAGTTCTGGTTTACAAGCAAAATTTAAAAGGTAAGGTTACCCTATTACCAATGCCAATTTTATAAAGCTCGACTGGCATGTTTTATCATGCATGATTGATTAAGAGTAAAATAGACATTCTTTCTTCTTTCAAAGATTCAAATAAAATCTTGAAGATCTCTGTACAAAAAACTTGTTAAAATCATGAAAAAACGGACAAATTTTGTCATTGTATATTTAGAATAAATAACATTAATGAGATGTTCAAAATTTAAATTTGCAAGATTATTACACATGAAAGAGAAAAGTTGTCTAGGGGAGGTGAATTATTCCTAGCAGACCATTCACAATGCAGCAACATGTAGGGTAACCCTAGCACTTTGGTTGGGTTACCTAGCATCAGGGTAGCCCTCCCTGCCTTGTAACACTTTGCATAAAAAATAACAAGTTATGTGCAAGAGCTAAGGTGACCCTCTTGCAAGAGTACCCTAGAACCAGGGTTACCCTCTCTCCTTGCAATCAGGCCCTAAGGCAGCATTATGCATAATTTATATGGACTTATACTCACAGGTATTTTTAAGATGAATGGTAAAAAGGAATCTTATTCAAACCAGAGACCAGATAATTTGGTTTTGTCAGGGCATTATGTGTGAGTTCAGCTGCAATCTCATCCTTCAATAACTTTTTGTTCTTATACTCACTGCTAAATCATCTTTTTTACGATCACAATCACGTCTTATTTGAAGAGATGACTTAACTTTATGGTAACCTAGTATTTTGCACTGTAAAGGGGGCATGTAATGGCCAAGCAGCAAATAACAGTAACTTGAAGTCTCACTATCCATGTGAACCTGTGGCAAGTATTGTACAAGTATCATTTCAGTTCCTCTATTTTCTGTAGCACCTTAAGAGCTGGACCAACTTTCATGAACTGCAACAGTGTGTCTCTATTTAACAACATCAATGCTTTTCCATCAATTTCCTGCTCTTGAAAGAAACCTGCATATACAGCACAGTCACTTGAAGAAAAATACCGTACCACATCAGCTGTGCTCCATGATGACACGTTTGTCTTACGAGGACTTTGAGCAATCCACTTCCCTGCTGGCACACATTGATTTCTGTCTCGACTACACATTGATTGATCCTGGTAATTGGTTCCACTCGCTTGACTGTAAGAATTAACCCTTCCTTGCTGCCAGTCCAAGACATTGTTAACTTGGTTATGATTCCAATTGTTCTCTGCCGATATTCCGAGATTATGCATAGATGATGTCACTGTTGCAATACCATTTTCCATAGCATAACCATTTTGTCTGCCACAAGGTTCTTGGATGTTTCCCTGATATGGCCTAAATGCTGAAGAGTACATACTTCCCGGGACAGGGTGGCCATTTACCTGACCAGAAGACGTACTGGAACTTGAAACAGGTAAATCCTGTTGAACTGGCTTGGTTTGCCCAGAGGGTGACGTAGACATCTGTGAAGGAGAAGCGCCTTGAATCCGATGAGAATCACGTGAACTTTCAGATGCTGATGATCTCGAAGGAGAACTTCTTTGAAACCGTGGACCCAGAACTTGCCCACCATTTGCTTTCCTGGGTGAGAATGATTTGGAGGATTTTCCATTAAACATTCTAACATCACTTTCGCTTAGTTTTCCATCCCTAAGGCGACAATCGCTTGATTCCATTGAATATGTAGTCACTTTTGAATTCTCCCTGCCCCTGCCATCATCTGAGGAAGTTTCACGCCTGTCAGCTTTACCACCTGGTGTATTTTTAGTCTTCCATCTGTGGGAAACATAAGCTGGTCTCACAGCTAAGACAGCGTCATTCAGTTTGTAACCATCAAACTTCAACAGAGCATCTTGGGCTTCAACAGTGGATGAATACTTGACGAAAGCATACAGTGGAATACATTTGGTTTCCATGATTTTGCACACTTGAACAATGCCGACAGTAGAGAAGGCTTTCTCTAACTCTACCTGGGAGATTCCAGATGGCAGATTGCTCACATGTACGCCATATAATCCAAACATATCTCTTGGAATTACGGGGCGATTGCCCTCTTGCTCTGAATCGCTAGAAGGTTTGGAGGACTTGACTGGTTTATCATCGTACTGTGAGAGTTCTTCTGAACTACTCATCCTGAAAAATTAAAACAAAGACAACGCGGGGGTGTTACGAAAACTAAGACCCTCGAAAACTAAGACCTAAGACCTAAGACCTGTCTTAGTTTTCGAGATTACGAAAACTAAGACCCCCTAAAATCGAATCCGTCGAAATATAAAGTCACATTGTAACTGAAATAGGTCTGATCTGTCAAATTATATCATGTTCGATCCTTTCAACAGAGTTTCAGGTCAAATTTAATGGTAAATTTAGGGGTCTTAGTTTTCGTAATTACGAAAACTAAGACCCCCACCAAAACAATCTCTAAAATTTCTACAAAGTCGAATTACGACCCTTTGAAGACTATAATCCGTAAGACAAACAAAAACTACTATCATACGCGTGCTAGATGATCCGCTTCTTATAACAATTTGCAGACATACATTATCAATATTGTGGCTTTAAGAAGAGGATGAAAGCTATAGACTTCCTACGTATAATTGTACACTGAAAATATGCCTTACCCCTATAATTTTGGTTGTTTATCCTTAAAGTCATAAAATTGGTTTTCCACTGGAGATGGATTTTTGTCTTTGTTGCGGGCTGACATGTCGCTGCGACCTGAATGCCTGATCGCTAAGTGGTCAACGGCGTTATCGGTTAAACATCACACAAAAATACGGATTTTGTTTTTCCTTTTCTGGCCAGGTCATAGATAGAAAAGTGTTTTTATAAAAAGGACGAAAAAAGGAGAATATGCTACACTGCGTTTTTCTAGCATTTGTTTTTATCGTTGCCACCCCGGAGATCACCGGGTTACAATGCAAAGGTAGTTGAGGGGTAGGGGTGGGGGGCAAGGAGAAATAGTCTGTGAGGGATAATCGCTAAAATCACTCATGAAATAATAATTTAAAAAAAAACGAATGAAATGAGTGAATGAATTTCCTGTACTAGCAAAGCATCGCCTCGAGAATTAGAGTTCTAATTTCAGAACAATAAAATAAACACGACAACCGCTGCACAAAAACCCCTCAGGTGATAGTTACAGGTAACGCAATCTCGATCGCAGAGACACGAAGAAAAACATCCATCTCCAGTGGAAAGCCAATTTCATGATTTAAAGGATAAACAACAAAATTAAAGACTAATAGGGGTAAGGCATATTTTCAGTGTACAATAGATACGTAGGAAGTCTATGGCTTTGGTCCTCTTTTTACAGCGAGTTTTCAAATTGTTATGCACCTATCAATCTAAAGCCCGGGGGGGGCGGGGCATGGGGTGGGGATTTGATTGTCGTTGTTGTCCCTGGGGTAGGGCATTTGACTGATCTTGTTCTCCCGGGGGAGGGGATATTTGAATCTTTCTTTGCCCGACGTGGAGATATTTGACTGCCGACTCGGACGAAGAAGACTGATACCGAACATGTTTCCGCTCCCACGCTTCACGCATGCGCCATACGGTTTGAAAAGATCAGGAAGTCATGGAGGCCAATGAGAACAAGCGAAGGCTGAGTGGATTTCACTGTTTTGTCTTTAAATTACGTTTGTTTTAGCGTGTTTTTGATCAATTGAACCTCTTAAAATACTGTGGAATCAAAGTAAATGGAAGTAAAGAGAAACTAAGTCGATTTTGCAAGTACAATTGATTAGTGTATGGCTCATTCACTACAATCACTGTAAACTTATAAAACTGACTTTCTTTGTACCTTTTACTAAGAACGGTATATTTAGACTTACAAAATGTGGACTTTCTCCTAAAGGTTTATGTATTCTACGCAGTGTAACACGGATTATGGTTAAAATGTATAATTATTGCAGCTGTAACAGGAACATGTATCTTTGTTAATGCAGCAACGTTTATAAAAGATTGCAGAGTTTTATTTGGAGATATTTTTATTGTGCCTTTCTTAGGTTCTGCCTTGGGATTGACAGCAATGTGCAGCCTGGGGTAGGGAAATTTGGTTGCATTTGACTGGAATGATTTGCCCGAGGGCAGGGAATTTGATTGCAAATTTTTGAAAAAAGTCAAATCCCCACCCTATGCCCTACCTTCCCCCCCCCCCGCCGGCATTACATTGATAGGTGCATTAGCGGATCGTAGATCAGCCCGCGTACGATAGTAGTTTTTGTTTGTCTTACGGATTATAGTCCTCAAACAGTCGTAATTCAACTTTGAAGAAATTTTAGAGATTGTTTTGGTGGGGGTCTTAGTTTTCGTAATTACGAAAACTAAGAGGGGTCTTAGTTTTCGTAATTCGAAATTACCTAAATTTACCGTTAAATTTGACCTAAAACTCGGTGGAAAGGATCGAACATGATATAATTTGACAGATCAGACCTATTTCGGTTACAATTTGACTTTATATTTCGACGGATTCGATTTTAGGGGGTCTTAGTTTTCGTAATCTCGAAAACTAAGACGGGTCTTAGGTCTTAGTTTTCGAGGGTCTTAGTTTTCGTAACACCCGACAACGCGGTCATGCTTTGAAAACCACAACACAGTCAGCAAATGAGCCAGACATGAGGAATGACCGATGAAAGCTTTCTCATTCCTAAAGTGGATTCAAGTCTTTATATATAATTTTTTGGATACCTCTCGAAGAAGGCGACGCTGTTTTTTAAAACAGAAAAATTAATAAGCTTACATTCTGGAGCAAAACGACCTTAAGCTTGTGAACCGAAACAGCTGACCAACTCAAAAGCTTGAGCATCAAAAGTTGGATTCGTGCCCTTTTTTTCGACCAGGTTTGAAAACATAAGAGACAAAAACTTGCACATACTGCCTAAAATTGAAAAAAAAAACAAACAAACAAACCAGATGATACAAACCTGAGATATTCACAATGTAAATTCTCACTTCGCTCTTAGTGCACTATGCAGTCTTCAAACGTCGCGACGCCAAAACAATCCCACGTGGTAAAAGTGCGCCTGGTTACCAAGCGTGAAAAAACGGGTTGCGAGCCGGTCTGCGATTAGCCTGCGATCATGCCTTCTCCCTTTATCTCTGTAATCTGTTTTCGAGCCAAAGAAGCAAAAAAAAAAAAAAAAAAAAAAAAAAAATACGCCTGATCTCAGGTTAGTCTGCGATTGAGTGCCCCGCCCCCGGATGAATCATCAACAATTGGACCAATCAACTAAGATGTCTTACCCTGCGAACAAAGTCTCCTTCGATCTTCCTAGATTCCCGACTTATCTAGGAAAAATCGAAGCGACTCTTCTCAGGGTAAAGATATAAAACATTTTAAAAGCTGTTTAGTTCGACTCAGTTTAAAATTGTTTCCTTCATAACAACTGTTTATGTAATCACAATCCATGTTGAAATTCATTTGAATCCTGTGTGAACTACCTGTTTTTCAGTTTTCCGTGTTTGTGATTAAGATTCACGTTTACGGCGCACGGCAAACGGCAAACGTCAGTTGAGAATTTCTCAAAATAGAAAATAAGCAGATAAAAACAGTCCAGAACGATTCTTTTGGATAAAACTGGCATAAAACTACTTATTTTTGTGTAGAAGCAATAAACAGTAAACGAAAAATAAGGGGAAAACTTGGTCACGTGGTACAAATTCACGTTTGCCGTTTGGCGTAAACGTGAATCTTAATCTCTCTGCCGGTTTAAAAACAGGGAGCCCAAGCTCGAAATATGAACATCGGCTAACATCGGAATTGTTGCGTAACATTGATTTCGAAATATAAGGATTTGTATGGGCAAAAAACCTATCGTTTCTGTAACCTACGAAAATGAAAGGATTTAAAAAAAAAAACAGCTCACCTTAAATAAAATGTGTTTTACGTCTCTCCTGTGTGGTCCATGGGCCGATTTATGGTACAGTAAACGGTTTTCTCTCTATATAAAGGTAAACCACAGGAGAGATGTAACACACATTTTATGTAAGGTAAGCTGTTTTTTTATTGAAATCCTTTCATTTTCGTAGGTTACGGAAACGATAGGATTTTTTTTTCGCATACAAATCTTTTTATTTCGAATGTTATGCAACAATGTCGATGGTCGCCGATGCTTATATTTCGAGCTTGGGCTACTTGTGGTTTAAATAACAAGTTCAGTTGGTACGAACGGGGCATATTGCTGATTGATGTTGTCGATGTGTTTCGTCTGAGTTTTCAGGGAGTCATAATTACAGGAGTAAAGAAATATAAATCTAAAGAAAAGAGGCGAGAGAGAAAAAAGATTTTGTCGACTTCATTTTCATGTAAGCGCCTAAGTGGTAAATCAACCGTTCGTTCATAACTCCGGGATCTACTTAACTACGCATGGATACGCTGTCATGTTAGGCAAAGGGTTTTAGTTTCCTTTTGATTCACGATGGGGCGGTTCAATGCATGTTACCTCTCCGGAAAGGGCGGGGAACTCTCTTACACATGCATGGTCTACATAAGAGGTCCCCGCCCGAACGTGGCAGGTATCTTTTTTTGGCCTCACGTGTCAAAAACGGCATATAAAAGGGTAAGGGATTGCACCTCGGACGCAACCCCCCAAAGAGGACTTCGTTCAACAGTTCCCCCGGTTCAGCTCAGTGGGGCACGAGAAGCTGATTTGTGACTTTTCTCCACTCTTTAATAGCCACACTTCAGAAATGACACTAGAAAAAGTCTTGCTATATTGGCCCAGTAATTTTACAAGGCTAAGTTAACCTGTGTATATGCAGCCGCTCCTCCCCTCAAACAAAATCAGGGAGAGGATTGGGAGGCTATACACCAGCTAGACTAAGTGAAGATTTGGATATTTCTTGGTAGCGTCCGAAATCTGAATGAAGCCTTGGGAAGTTTCTTTGGAAACGAAAAGATACCTCTGACCACACATTAGGCAAATCCTTGCTGACGTCTCTGTTCAAATTTTTGCTCATTACCGAACGGGTTAACCCATGGAAGACGTCACTGTGTGCACAAAGTAGCTTCAAAAGTTGAAAGAGCTTGTTAATTTGAGCAGTTTGTGCGAGTTTCAGCTCTTTGCAATCCATAAGAATGGAACTAGCTACAATCAAAAACTGCGACATTGCCGGGTGGCAAAAACGTTAATGAGCTCATACAGTCTTTGCAAAGACTGGGCTTTTCAAAGAGAATTTCTCCGAAACTATTCGGCATATCGGCCTCAAAATTTCAGAGATTACTGAATTTGTTATACTCTTTCAATATTCAGAGATTTTATTTATTAGTATAAGCATATGTTAATGATGCAAAAAAGTTAGCAAAGATTCGCCGGGATTCTGGAAAGAGGTAATCAGAAGTAAGCTAATTCAATGGTAAGAATTGTTATAGAATGTAATACGCCCGATGCAACTTCTTCAAAGTTCAAGTCTAGTGTGGTGAAGTGTGGTTGAATAAATACTTATCCTGAGACCATGCTCTCATTGTATTTGTACCTCCAAGGGCCTGTTGACATGGAGGTGGAGACCCCAGGTAGGTTAGGTAACTCGCGGCGGGTCACCCCACCTATCATGTCAACGTTATCAAATTAAAGTGGGAGATTATATGGACAGGCGGGTTACCCCACCTAAGCGGGTTACCTCACCTTCCTGGGGTCCCCCACCTCCATGTAAACAGGCCCTTAAACCCAGTAACGAGCTTTTTTATTGTTTAAAGAAAAAACGCTTTAAATAACAAATAAACACACTCAATTTCAATAAATTAATATTTATTACTCTCTTTCAACCTATCTTTTCGTGTTTCTGTATGTTAAAATAAATGTACAGAGTATATAGTCAAGCGCTTATCAGTGTATCTAACCTCAAAGGAAAGATATATCGACGCACTAGTCAATAAAAACTCTTTTTTAAAATAGAAACTATTTAAATATATTATTCCTGATAAACTAATAACAACAATGAAAGGAATATATACAACAACATCACACGATATATACATCAGTGGGGAAAAGGAAAACCTCAATTATAATAAACTTTCCTATAACCTGAACTTTCCAAGTTTATTGAGCCTAGTGCCCAGTCTCACCCAAATTCCTTAGAGAGCGAAAACCGAAAACGAGTGAGAATCATGTCCGAAAACATAATAAGTAAGACTTACTAAGGCTCGGATAAGTCTCAAATCTTCGAGTGATATGTATCATTATTCCTTCAAAATATTTCTCTGTTTTTCTCTCCAATCCCCCGGCTAATTTTTCATAAGCAGCCAGCAATGAAGCCCCGGGAACGAGGGTCGAGTTGTTTTGGTAGATTTGGATTAAACTTGACTTCTGCCTAGACTACGAGTAGCCCCCCATTTTTCCTCAGGGATAGTAGAGCGCGCGAAACGCGAGCGCGCGTGAAAATCACCCCACGCGAGAAAGGCATGTCGCCTTTCTCGCGTGGACAAAATGGGGGACTACTCGTAGTCTAACTTCTGCCTTAAAAAATAGCAAAACTGCAAAAAACAACAACAACAAACAAACAAAACAATTCAATGGATGAAAAATAATTTTTGAAGAACATCTGATAGACTAAGCTTCACTTTATATCCTCACTTTGCCAAGGAACAGACAAATAAAGGCGGGGGACACCTCGGGCTCATTGTTATGCATTTATTTAAAGCCTATGCACAAAGTATAACGACTGATATCGACAGGTTTACGAGACATTCATAACTGGATAAAAAACGAGCACATAATTCAAAGTATTTACGTGCAAATGTGGCACGGAGACTGCGAACAAAATCCGTTTATTCAAAAGTAACAAGGGGCTCTGAATGGTCGTAAACCTTGTTTCAATGATTTTTAAATCAATAAATTGATTTTTTTGCCGCAAAGCGCAATCTACCAAATGAAAAACAACCCTCCTAAACTTCCATCATTTCACAATGTCTCTGTAAAATGTTATCTAAATCACCCCTAAAACAGCCTAGCCTGCAGTGCAGGCGTTTTCTTTGAGCGCGCAATTTGCTCGTGAAAGCGCCATTTTGAAACTTCCCGAAGAGAGGAGGAGATGGGGCGAGTCAAAGGGAGCGGGGAGGGAGCGGGAGAGAGAAGAGAAATTTTTTCCCCCCTCCCCCTCACCCCTTTCCTTCTTTCGCCCTCGCACCCACCGTAAGGGTTACTATTTCTACTCTCCCCAATCTTCCACTGTTATAAAATCAAAGATGGCGGCTACAACAATATTACGAACACAAACAAGGTTTCGCCCACCCAAAATACGCCTGCACTGCAGGCTAAAAACAACCAAGATATGAGCGTTTCAAAAGATATAGCACGAGCAAAATTTTGCTGTCTGCATTTATTTAGAGATAGGTGTCCCCCGCGTCCCTCGCGGCCTTAAAGTATGAACTATTGAGAGTAAATAATAATAATAATATAATTATTGGATTCGGCTTTCGAATGATGAGAATTATGCAGACCAAGGAGGGTTTTATTGGCCTCGGCGGTTAACAACCTACTCTATAATTGATGAAATCATAACTGCTAATAACCGCTCCAATTTTTTTGGACATTAGGAACACTCTCATCCAAGAACAATGAGGTCCTGACTTTAAAACAAACAGTTGGATCAACGCGTTTTAACGTTTGTCAGTGAAACCTAAGACACATTTCGTTTAACAATCATGAAAATTCGAAAAAATAGAAAAGCTGCGTTTAAACCGATCGCAAAATATGCATTCCGAAATAATACTTAGTAAAGTACCCAAGAGCTTGCACCGCAAGCGCCTTTCATCATCTATGAATTTTATGCAAGAAAATAATATGCTAGGTAATGCTAGGTAAGCTTGTAGAGCTCCGCTCTGATTAGTTTCTTTGGCATTAACGGTCATAGAACGATTTTGCTTAACCCATAAAACAGAAACTTTTATTTAGAGCGTAATTCTGTTTACTGATAGGAATTCCCTAACATAAAAATGTGGCATATACAATGGGGAGCTAAAGTAACGACGCCGGACGGCAATGGCCGGAGCGAAAACGTCACCCACAAAAAGAATTCGTGCTGTTACAGCCTCGTACCCAGGCCTGTTCGCGCTATCCGAGTGACCAGGGGAGGCTTGGAACCGAGCGCGATAGGCGAATTTTCCGGACAAGCTTGACAAGTGACGTCACATCCGAAATCGCCGAGGACGACTGGGAACGAGGCTGGTGCTGTTACAAACTTCATCACTCTAATTCCAACTCTTTTAATTTGTCAAAGTGGCATTTTTTCAGGAGTTGAATTTTAAAGGCCTGTTTTCTATCTTCACTAAAAGAAAAAGATAATCGTTGTCTTGTGTTCAGGTCCTCCATAAAACGTCAAATTAGGAATTTTCACGTCTTAGTCGTGCAGTGACGGCAAAGAAATGTACAAAAAAGCGTGATGCACGTGCAAAGTTAAGCCAATTACTATTTTGCCGTTCTCGTTGCCGTCGCCGCCGTCGTTGCTTAAGCTCGTTAATATGATTCCTTTCACTAAGTCACAGGTTAAGTAAAATTAATAATGCTTTTTAGACGGTGTTTGGGATGACACATCTTTTTAATCTGCCTCTCCTTCATGGAGAGTAATGCAAACATACGTAAACCTCTGGTCACAAATTTACACAAATCTTCGGGCATAGAACTGGGTTTTATACAAACAGATTAAGTCCTTTAACTTACTAACTCGAGGCTTTCTGTTCCACAGGGCAACCAATCTCCTTTGCTGAGGGCAACCATTGCCATTCGTCTCTGTGAAGGACGGGTTTAGAATGACGACCCTAAAGATCATGCTCTCTTCTGACCCCAGACCCTTAAATGCATGGTATGCTGGTTCAAATACCAAATTCCGCTCGGACTGCACGATGCATGCTGTCGTAAGGCTCGATCGAGTCTAGACAATTCATGTGTCTCCGTTTTCTTCTTCGTTATCTATCTCGAAAAGAATATAGCCGCAAGATTTGAATATCTCAATCTTTACTGTTTAAGTTGTGATACTTCACTTTACGACTTTACGTGAGCAGTTGTGTACGCTGCAAAATAATAACAAGGACGGTGGAAAATATGAACTTGCCCGTAAAAATACACTGGCAACTTTGCAGCCCTGGCTACCAAAAGCACACTATTTCCTCGGGCTCAAGTCCAGCACCTGATTGCGCTTGGGCGAAGGTGAATGAAGACATCTAGATGCTCTTACACTAAAGCTTGGTCAAATTAAATTAACAATGGGAAGCGTGAAGGCGTCCAGTTTGTCCGCAGTCTGCTATGGATGTAGGGCTGCAAGTTAGAGTTAGTTGAGCCTCTAAATAGAGCTACCAAACCCTGTATATTTCTCTACTATCTCTCATAGTTAATTAATAACAGCGAAGTGACAATGATACGTCATACTGTCGTCCAAGACAAATTACCCGAGTACTTGACCGCGCCCCTTGGATCAGTGGGCTCGGAGACTTTCCGTGCCTCGGTGCACGAGGTAGTTCTATCCGTAGATCCTTTTGAATTTAAATCCGTATCAATGCCAGTGGAGTCCACTGCTTCCTTAGAAGAATCATCACGTTTTCCAGTGATGACCTCGGAGATCGAGAGTTCTTCATTTGCGTTCTTGCCATTCGATGACGATGCAGATACAACAAGCTGAGGTTTACGCGCAAGCGGAGGATCAAGAAATTGCCCCATTAACGAAATTGTGGATATTTTGTACAGAGAAGTTTTCTCTTGGACTGGAGACGCGGGGCCAGCGCCCAATGTCGCTTGAATCGACGACTTCGACGAGTTGGGCGGACAAGCACTGAAGTAGATGTCGGCCTGCAAAGACAGAGAGAGAGAAAAAATCGTTTTACAATTAATACAGACAAGGAAACGTCAAGAGTACCCAGGGGATAAGTTTTCATGTTCCTGAAACTAACATAATGAAACAGCAAGGCAATCCAATTGTTTTCAGATAGATTACTGGACTGTTGATTGATATGCTGCGTGTGTAATATGCGATGTGTCTGTACGGTGGATGAAATACTAACGAGCGGTCGTCCCTCTTTCCACAGAGCCACGCAGTAAAATATGCAAACTGATGATAAAAAGGAGGAAGGTGTGGGGCGGCCCTCAACCGATCTACTGTGACTCGAAAGAAAAACAAGAGACTGCTCGCAGCGGTCTAATCCTAATCAAATCCACTGGATGATTTTCTTTTGACCTCTATAAGTATTACTTGAACTCTTGGGCTAAGTTCAGAAGCAAACACTTACCAAAGTACCCCTTAAAAGGTTTTCAAGTGATTCACCAAGACACGAGTAAAACAATCGTTTGTACGGTCGTGCAGGAGAATGAATTATTATAATTAAAACTCGGCCTAGACTTTTTTTAACATACCTTGGCTGATATGAGGCAAACCTTGGGAATCACAAGCGTGTGCACCAAATTGGCGTTCACAACAAGGCGGATTTCTATCGTGTTGGTGGTGAAGGCCAGCAAATATGGAAAAGCGCAAACTGAAAACAAGAATTTAAAAAAATTAAAGAAATCATGACTACTAAACGTTTGATGCGCTGGTGTTCAGTTAAAATGCCTGAAGAAAATTAGTTGAAATTAAGTGGGTATGCGTGCTTCACCACTTTGATGATGATGATGATGATGATGACGATGACGATGACGATGACGATGACGATGATGATGATGATGATGATGATGGCAATAATAGTAAAGTAATAATAATAATGACAATAACACGGATAGCCCCCTAAAAGCGCATGAGCAATTAGTCACGGAATTTTAAAGTCAATCTGCAAAGACTATAGGGTTTGTAGTGTGTGTGTTGTCTATGGTACAATATACTTCCCCATACACCACGTAGTTACTGCCTCTGGTGCATAAGGGTAACGAATGCTCTGGGACGAGATTTATAGGAACTGTTCCGCCAGTCAGATATTAGCAATATTCTAATTTTGTTATTAGAAACTTGACGAGTACTTTAATTATCTATCGATCGATAATTGTTTCTAAAGTGAGTATAATAAGAAGTAAGGCGGACGTTTTTTACGCAACACAGCATTGTAATGTTGGAACAATGTTGCAATCTTAACAATCTCGCTACTGAACAACGTTGATATGGTGCGTTGCGCTAAAAATCATTGTCGTTGTGTAACATCATTGACTTGAATGACTTACCCACTGAGTTTGGGGCCGAGTTCCACTGGAACGCAAAACTTGATGACTGCTCCCCTGTCAGCCTTTTAAATATGGACTGGTCTGGAAAAAAACATTCGGAATTATTAACTCGTGAACTTACAGAACTTATACCCGTAGAATTTGTCTCTTCGATATACTTAGGTGTTTAGAGGAATTAAAGGATAAGGATTTTGTTTCGGAAAGAGACAAAGGCGTCGATGATGATGCGCAACTGAACTATTAATTTCAAGGAAAACTTACGATTGAAGGAAACAAGCAGTTCGGATTCTTCTTCTTCGTACACATCAACTGCTGAGACCAAAGTTGCTTTCTGTAAAGGATTGTAACATGAATAAATCATTCAATCAAATTCTGATTTCCGCGTGGAAGAACAATTTCTTATAGTGCCCAACTTTGTACATAATGAAGCAACGTTAAAATCCGTTATCCGTCCTTTGACCGCCAACAATCGTGGCATTTTCGTTATGTTATGGACAGTGGTTACACAACAAAAGAAGAAATCACTTTCGAAAAAGTCACGACTTTTTTATGAAACTTCATCCACTTAAAAAGTCGTCTTTTTCTCGAAAACTATTGTGTCAGCTGGTTCTGCGGAAATTTCAGTGTTGAAATAAAAAAACACTGAACAGGAAAACAAGCATGCATCGATATCCTAGACATACTCTCGTGCATACGTATCAAGCACTTGAGGGAGCTCTGAAATCTTGTGCTTCTTTTCCTTCTTAAAAACAATGGGGACAAGTTTACAAAGTTCATCTGAAGTTCCCGAAAAACATTACAATACCTTTTGCTTGTCAATAGAATGTATTCTTGACACATCTCCTGCCTCGCTGATGAGATCAAACTGATGTTTATACCCCACACAAACAAGACTTTCATGACAGCTGGTGTAAACCAACGTCATTAGACTCGGCGCATCTCCTAAAGTCACTTCCTGGGCAACAAAAAAACAAATAAGCTAGGAGATCAGTTTATGGATGTCACTACATTTTTGCACAACTTTTGGGTTCGCAAAAAAGGGAACAACAACAACACACGACTTTGCTGTTTTTCAAAACTTAAACCTAAAGAGGCCACATTCTTTTAGACCGCAGTTAAAAAGTCTGAATAAGTGAACCTCCAGCTTACAACCTCGTCCCCAGGGCTTTTTCCCTTAAAAATGGGCGAGGTTGGCCAGCTTAGAGATTTTAAGTGGTCTCTTCGAAAAGGCGGTCGCTAACAAGAGGTTTTAATTGCTTAATACTGCTACCTTGATAGTGTCAAATCCTTCCGCCAAGTTCCTATTGTTTCCAAGTGACCACGTGCTCCACACCGCAGTGTGTTTCCATTGCAACAGGATAACTTTCTTTCCCACAGCTACTGCAAGCCTCAGTTCACCTTCTCCTGATTGGCTCACGGAAAACAAATGACATCCTACAAAATCAATTCAGAACCATGGGGTTCACGGTCATAAACTGTAAGAGTAATATACTACGTCAGCTACTGTATTATCAACGGGGGTCTCATGTCTGTTTGTTTAAATTGGCCGGTCATATTTTGATCGGTGATCGCTCAGAAACGCGCAATGACCGAGCTAAAATATGTTTGTGACCAGCCCTGTCAGCTACTGTGATGGCGTCTGTGTCCCTGCAAAAATCCCTTTTACCTTTAAAGAAATGCTGCGTCAACTTTAGAGCCTATGAACAAAACCTGTTGTGTGAACAAGTAACCATTCAAAAAAAAATAATGCAACGTCTTCAGTAGCGCTTTCATGGTACTATTTGCTTGCTTGCTTATTTCGAGCGAACTCGAACTCCATTAACTAGCTTCATCCATTCCTTCCGGTTTTCCATGATGTTCTTCAGTTCAGCAATGCTCAAACCAGTATCATTTTGCAGCTGGTCTACGTATGTTAATGCTGGTCTTCCTCTCTTTCTTGCGCCGTGCTTTGGTTCCCAGAGTAGTAGATCACTTATCACCTCATCCTTTTTTCTCCAACAGTGTCCTATAAACCGCAGCCTCCTGATCATCAGTGTATCCTTAATCTTAGGGCGGTTGCCGTACAGTTCTTTGTTGGTTTTATGCTCCTTCCAGGAAACTCCAAGAACTGCTCTGAGCATTCTTGTGTACGTACCATCTAGTCTATTCATCATCTTTCCAGTCATCGTCCAGCATTCAGCACCATAAAGCAGTACACTTTCAACTGTGGCCCGAAAGAAACCTATTTTGAGATGATTTTTTAGGTTTGATTTCCACACTTTCATCATTTTGTTGAGTGCACTCCAAGCTTGTCCAATTCTTATATTCATGTCCTTTTCACTGGATTGTATCCACGAACCAAGGTATTTGAAGTTATCTACTTGCTTCAATTTGTTCCCTGCCAGTGTGACAAGATCCCCTACAGGTTGATTGTACAGCATGTATTCCGTTTTCTTGTAGTTAGCATGCAGACCCACTGTTTTCGCAGCAACCTCCAGTCTTAATAAGAGAAGTTGTGCCTCTTCAAGATAGTCAGAAATTAGGGCAAGATCATCCGCGAAATCAGTGTCGGTGATGTATGTTGCTACATGACGGGAGCTCTGCCGTGGTGTAAGCGTGAACCCAGTGTGTGTTTCTCTAGTAGCTTCTCTAAGGGCATAATCCAGGGCTATGATAAATAGGAAAGGTGCGAGTGTGTCTCCTTGCAGAACTCCCGCAAGAATGTTTGTTTTTTCCATTTGTTGTTTATTAGGATGTAATCTATTTGACATTTGGCTCCAGATGGTGATGTATGAGTCCAAAGCTTACCTTCGCGCTTTTTAAAACTGGTGTTCAGCGGTTTGAGATTGCATTCTAACATGTAGTTTAGGAGGAATTGCCCATTCTCGTTGGTGTGTTTGTTGTAGACTGACCCCTTAGCATCACTTGCACCAATCTTTCCATTCATATCTCCGCCAATTAGTAAGACATTGTGTTTAGGAACAGCCTTAGTCAATTCTGATAATTCTGCATAGAATTCCTCTCTGTCATCAACGTTAGATACATTGGTGGGGCTGTAGCAGGATATGACAGTAACAGCAGGATTTCCATTGAAAGTGGCAATGAGAATCCTTGGATTGATGGTTTCTACCGAGTTCAGTGCTTTGTGTGCTTTCGGACTGAGAAGTAAGCCAACACCTCGTATTGTTGAGTTATTTGTAGCTTTTTCAGCGGAAGATGTAATCATAACCCAACCTTTCTTCATGTCATGGTACTTCAACTCGATGTCATCATGGTAGATCCGATGTTCTTGGGTGCATATGACATCAATGTTCTGTTCCTGAGCTAGTGCAGTTAGTTCACCTGTCCTGTCCGGTACTATTTAATATAAAGTATTCTACACAAAATAATTAATTTGGATTTTTGCTTCAAGTTTGATTAGCTGTAGAGTGCTCTTGAGAGTTAGAGGAAAGAAAATGACAGGAATGACCAACTTCGGGGAAGCACTGATCGTTAGATTGAAAGTCGGTGAAGCTAAGCACTAGATCACTTCCCATTAAATTTTAAAACAAGTCTGCTGATTCTTTTTATGCTAAATGTACAATTTAACCGAACTGGGCCTCTTTTAGTACTGCATAAGGCGACAGACACTCACAGTCTATACCAACATTTCTGCGTTGCATTCTTAGTCTATATTCTCATTATACCGGATAGCGTTCGCGCCGGCATATATGAAGACCATACCGGATAGGGCTCTGTTCGCACATAAAACGGTGATTTTGGCGCGATTTCTGTAACGGCGCGAAGCTGCGCTGCCCCGATCTCTAAAGTGGAGAGTCAGATATAGGATATGTGTTCATACTATACCCGATAGATTTTCGTGTCGGCACGAAGGGCTATCCGGTATGATGTGAACAAAGTCTTAGAGTCTCCTTCAAGATATCACAAGAAAAACAAAGTCAAACTTTCTGTGCGAACACGAATGAAACAAGTTAACCTGCTTACCTCTGCTTTTCTCTACTCTGTGATTTCTGCAAAATGCCCTAGACTTCGGTTCTTCGTCTTCGTCTTCAAAATCAGCTAGTCTGAACACGTACAGCTTGGATGAGTGAAATTCCTTGCCTGAAAAACATCAGCGAAACGTATATAAAAAGGAGATATAGGAGTGACCATTTTTTAACAACCTCGCTCCGAGCGTGTAAAAGTTGGATAGTGCTATCCACCAGATAAATCTCTGGTCAGGAAAAGATTTAGCTAAACCATAAGGTTATCCACTATATAGAGATATACAGTCCAGAAAATAGCGTTATTCAACTTTTGAACAACCGTGGCATGGCCTAAAGGCAGTTAAAAACAAAAAGATATACACAAGAATTAATAATTCATAGTCTACGAGTTTGATGTGGGCGATGGTCGACGAAAGCGCAGTGAGATTTTGGATTTATTGCCGTGTTTACACTAAAAAAACTTTAAAAGTGAGTCCCGTCTATAAGACGGCTTAAACGTCAGGACGACTAATAAGTCTATACTGACTGCATTGAACTAGACCCCAGATGTTCTCAACCAACCAACACCAATAGCCCATTTTACAGCTACAGGTGAAAACGACGCTGGAGTTGACCTTGTTTTGATACAACCCTTCCTGCTTCATTATGTAAATCATGTCTGTCTTATGCTAACTAGTATTTTTTAAGCAAAATTTACATTAGAAAAGAATGGAAGTTTATATCAAAACAAGGCTAACCTCAACCTGACGTTCACTCAAAGGCTAGGACACTACGCCCACAACTGTAAAATTGCCTGTTGTTGAGAAAGACCTCTTCCTCTACCTGGGCCTCAGTTTAAAGAGCTCTATGGAGCCCCTTTATTAAAATAGTCGATTTTTCAACTACTTTTTGCCACAATTACCTTTGTCAACTCGAAAGAGAAGTAATCCGAAAGCTTCCACGATACTCATTTGTTTTGCGACCACTGACTTGTCGAACATGTAACGGTGTTTTGACCCTGTAATAAAAGAACAGTATACATATAACTGGATACGCGGAGAGAAGAGAGATAACAGTCTGTAGTCCTCCATTCCTACTTCAACTTCTTACAACTGCTGGTAATAAGTACTGACATACACCACGCCTCCTGAGCTCCCAGGTTCAAATAGGGCCTCCACTCTCTTGGATGGAAAACGTTGTTTGTTGGGGGCAAATAATGATGTAAATTTATGAACAAGCCACCATTTGATGACAGAAGAATAAGGACATCGAATATACTTGAGAGGGAAATTTAGCTTCAATTGTTTTGGGATAATAATAATAATAATAATAATAATAATAATAATAATAATAACGACGATGATGATGATGATGATGATGATAGTGATAATGATGATGATGACCATGAAAAACTCAGGGGTTATGAACAGAGCAAAGTATTTGAAGCCGTTACTGATTCCTGTTTATTTTGTCTAAAAGCGTTCGGTGTTTCGCTCTTGATTACACACTTGCTTTTTTTATTAAACATTACATAAAATTGTTACCTTGTAGTATCTGAATGCCATCCTCTGTTCCTAACACAAGGCTGTTTCCTGTAAACCAGTTTCAGTTAAAAATGAGAACTATAAGCCATTTACACGATATCACGAAAATGTATTGCAATAATTAGGAGAATTATAGTTATGTGGTCAACACAAAAGATATCTTACCCCACGAATCACCACAAAATATTTTGGTAGGGAAATCCTCGAATATACATTGCGGTTCCCACGGCTAAAACAAAAAGGAAGAATATAGGTAAGCACGGTTAACTTGATTGTGGCACTGTGACAAATAGAAAATCTTACACTTGCATGGAACGTTTTCATGCTTAACTTCTTAAACGGATCGCATGAAAAGTATGTAACGATGGTTTCACAAAGGGACCTTACGCTGAAGTAATCACGTTTCCCAAGACCGTTAACTTTAAGGAGAAGAATACCAATAACAAGAGTGTTTCCTTTTCTTCTCACCTCAACTTTCGCGTTTCCAGCAGTGCTGGCCAAACTGGTAGGGGCATCACCTTTCACGATCGTCTTCAGCTTCAAGGACTAGAAAAAAAAAACAAAAACAAAGAAACGAGATGGCAGGGAATAGCTAATGAACATGGCGACTGTGAGGAATTAAGAAGGCAGTGTCAGCGAGTGGCCTATACTGTAAGAAGCTAGGAGTAGCAAGTCGCCTGCACATGTACCTCACGGACAGTAAACTGAACCTACCTGTCCAAACTGCAAGAAAGCTTGTTCTCGCTCCATCCCCTTTCGACGATTACCTCGAGATGAATCCAACACGTCGTTCCAGGATTTTCGTGCACCGAGTTTCTGCAATAAACAAGCCCAAGAATACACTAAGGCCCGATAATCCGGGGGGGGTGAGGGGGGAGGAGGGAGGGAGGAGAGACAATTGAGGCACAGGGATGTGAGCATTCGCCTCCCAACAGTGTCTCTCCGGTTTCAAGTCCCGCAGGCGACGCCATATGTGTGTTGCGTTGTCTTGTTGTTGGTTCTCGCTCTTTCTCTGAAAAATTTTTTCCTGGGGACTCTGGTTTCCCCCTCAAGTGTATGTCTGTAATGGGTTGTGGGAATGGGTGGGGAGGCTACGTTGCATTAGACCTAAGAGTCTCGTTTGTGCCCATCCCCGCAGGGTAGGACTGTGCTCAGTAAAGCTGGTAAAACGTAAAACACGCTTTTAGAGAACGTAAGTGAAGGAGAGTATTTACTTCGTGCATATGATCTTGAAGAAGCCTCGTTATGAGGCTGTCCAGAGTCCGCTGACGTCTGTTGCTGAACGTGGGCGATGCGTACGCAGCTTTTTCTCCATTCATTACTAAAAGGAACAAAGATACATAGAAATTATGAATGAACATAGAATTTTAAAGTCGCCCGTAGAGGGTGTAAATATGCAAGCTCAACGTGCACACGACACCTTGCTTCGATGTCGGTTGTCAAGTTTCTTGATGGATTCACTGGGATTATTTTACGTCATGATATTTATTATACGGCTACACACCACTGTACACTAGCTGGAGAGTGTTAACACGTCAATGCTCTTTTTTACGTTCCGTTTTATATTAATATGTGGAGAAATATTGTCCGGGGTAAAGCGGTCACTTGATCATTCACATGAGGTACCGTGGGCAAAACAATTTTACATACACTACGTTACAAAACGAGGCGAACCGTTCACATGAGAAACAAAACGCTGGCTCGGCAAGAAGGGTTACCCGCATAGCCGGGTCGCCCTTTTGTGATGGTATGCTCACCTTCCTGGCAAGGCCAATTTTTCTCCATATAAACACTTTTGTTCACTCAGCAGTGTCAACTCGGTCAAGGGGAGACATCAGAGCATGCGCGAATACCGCTGTCAGCTCTTGGCTCGAGAAATGGGCTCAACTTTTTTCTCATATTAGCGCTCGCTTAAGTTGACTCGGCCAGGAGGGTGAACCTCTTCCCAGGACAACTTTTCTGCATGTAAAACGGGGTCTTTATACAAGGCACTTACACTTTACAAGAAGAAAGTCTCGGAACTCCTGGTGATTTCTGAAAACCGGTGGACAAGGCAGTGGGGGGCCAAAGATTGGCACATTTTTTTCGGAGAACACCGTTACCCTGAGGAAAGATAAAATCATTTAGTTGGTTTATCATTTTGATTGATTTGGAAAAAAGAGTGATTTTTAGGTACATTACTGTAACACCAAGAAGACTTCTTACCGATAGCTGGCATCTGATTTATTGTAAGAAACAAGTGCATATATGTCTTGAATGGTTAAGGAGCCAAAATGGACAAAATTTAGGAAACACATTGGTGACTTTTTCCAAGGATTCTCTAACCTTTGTTTCCACAGTAATCATTTTTAAACCGCAGTGCGTAGTGCGAAGAATGGAATTTTCACCAATTACGTTTGTAAGACGCGAGAAAACATTGCCCGTTTATGTGGCATGCAAAGGAATGGTGATTGTCTTGCCTACGAACGCGAAGTGAAGAGGAAAAAACAAACGTTCATATAAAAATAGATTGAGTTGTCTGGTCTTTTGTTTGTCAGTGAATCTCTAATGTAAATGCTTTTAGGTAGTATTGTAAATGTGATAATCAATTGACTTCTTAAAAAATAGATTGGGTTGTACGTTTAAGTTCAAAAAGGATACGGACAAATTTGGACTTGATCGCTGGCGGACTGAAAGAAGTCTTTTCATCCCAGTCTTGGAACACAATAATAACAATGTCGTTTCCAATATGGCGTTTTCGCTCAACCTAGCAAGAGAGAGAGATGAATACAATCAGGAAACATCATTTACTAACTGTGTTTTACTGCAACGGATCAGCGACAATCAAACACCTGGCCTTCCGTCTTCTTCCGCCCCCCGTCCCCCGGACAACAAACACACTCACCCGCGCCAACTAGAAAATTGACAGTAGAATCTATAGGCACACTTATGCCTTTTCAAAACTTCGCATTTTCGTTGTTATCCAAAACGCATCGATCGCTTCCAGTCCACACTACCGTTTTGATGCGTTTTCGACTGTTCACACTAAAACGTTCGAAAACGATAGATATTGCACGTTGTGACGTAAGTTGAACTCTATGCGCATGCTACAAACATACGCGCCTGCGATATTTTTGGTCATTTTGATGCGTTTTCGACTGCCCACACTACTGCGAGATGTATGCGTTTTCGCAAGAAAAAGAGCATTTTTAAGTCAATGCGTTTTCGATGAAAACGCTCAGCGTATTAGTATGGACAGAAGGGTTAAACGCATCGAAATGTATGCGTTTTCAAACGAAAACACATCAGTCTAGTCAGAGCCTTAATTTTGGTTGTAGCCGGTATCAATGACCCTCACATCGCCTGAGCAGTTAAGATTGACAAGGACATTATGACGTTCTCTTCTGAGGGGTTCGAATGCCCTTTTCTCGTGGCATAAGGAAATGTGTATTAACATGCTGTCTTTATTTAAATCAGTTTATGGTTAGTTATTGCAGCATCACCTGTTGCGGGTTGTCGGGTGTAAACGGCAGCATGGTGGACACATGAAACATTACTTCATGTCCTTCGTACATTGTGTACAAAGAATGTGAACCAGTCATATCATCTAGAACAAGGATGAAAGAAGTTAACAGCTCGCAGGAAAAGATGAGGATGCAGCAGCGAGAGTGCCCTGAGGAGACGTTTTGCGCCCGTAAAACTGATGTTTAGCCAAAAGAAAACTTTCATTGCGCCTATTATTGAGTCTTGATGATAGCCCGTTTCTGAGTGGAATCACTCGAATTTCGTAACTGCTGAGCTAAAAAAGACCTCAATAATTAGGGCGATCTAGGGCTTACTCGCTTAAGTTTTAATTTTCTATCTCACGCTTGTGGAGCATCCGGCATGTATGTCTTGAATTGGCTAGCATTAGCTATATTAACTTTGGCCGTGGTTTTACGACACTTAATTGGCGGTAATAGCCGTTGCCGTTTATGGCATATGGTTAAGAAAATCACAGAAAAACGGTCTTTTGTCCGCTAACTAAGATACTTAAGCAGACAATTAAGACGTAGGAACTTACTTTTTACATCCAATCCTCCCCGATACTTCTGCCAGCCTTTGAGCTCTATTCTTTCTCCTAGAAGCTCTAGGAAGCGTTCAAAGTCCTCACTGACGTTCACTGCAATGAGTGGGAGACAAGGCGTTAACCAAACATAATCAGGGCCCACAAGTAGACTGCAAAACGGTCGGGTTTTTCCCGTCAAATTCGGTTTTTGAAAGCACAAATACACAAGGCGTCTCTCCCCAGTATCACACTCCGTTTGACCCTCGGCTCGCAACAGGACTTTCGCTTGACCGCGCTCGCGCGTTTTTATCAAACGCGAAAAAAGGCCTGTTTTGCAGTCTACCCCGCGAGGTGATGGAGGAGGGGAACATTCGATCCCGTAGCCCTATATGTAAGGCATTATGTAGAACGTCTAACGTTTACTCCATTCTAAAATTCTAAAAGGCTGTTTCAAAGTTCACGAAAAGAAAAAGAAAGTTGTTGTCTTGTGTTCCCGTCCTCGACAAAACGTGAAATTAGGCACTTTCACGTTGCAGTCGTGCAGCAACGGTAAAGAAATTTACAAAAACGCTGCACATGCAAAGTTGTTGTTATGCCAATCTAAACCTATTGCCTTTTTTCCCGTTCTCGTTGCCGTCGCTGTCGTCGTAGCTTTTGGAAGTCGCGGTCCTAAAATAAGGTATGCATTAAGTCACATGTTGGGTGCTGTTTATAAGCAGGGGCACCGAACGACAATTTTCGGAAAATATCTGTTCGGAAGACGATTTGAGATCTAAAATTTTCGGAACATTTTTTCCAAAATTTCTTGCTTGTCTGCCTCTCCTAGGATTTTCGAACATCTAAAAAATGGTATAATTGCCCATTTTTAACGGATTTTTACCCTAAAAAGGTCACCTACAATTTTCGGTAGCCTTTTTTCTGGCTGAAATTTTCGAATAGGAAAGTTTTGATCCCTATAATTTTCGAATCACTAGACTTTCAGCTAGGAAATCCGAACAGATGAAAAATTTTTAGGGGATAAAAATATGCCTTTATCTACCGTTTTAATACTGGTTTTGAACCGTATTCTCGTTGGGTGCCCCTGTATAAGCATTGCTAGCGCCAGTCGAGCGATCTAAAGGATTGCAGTGATCGTACCAAGCCAAGGGAGACTCCAAAGATTCTCGCAAATATAGCCGGGAACGCTAAGCCTAATTTTCGAGTGAGTTTGTGAGCCGACGAAACGACCGAAGTAAGGCTAGCCAACTCTACGAACTTTGAAGGGTTGTTTCCATACTATCGTGGAACTTTATTCGGCGATCCACACCAAGTTTTAACGACTCGAAACGCGAATAAAAACCGAATAAAAACACTGTAAAAACTGGGTCCGTTCCAGAAATTTACTCTTAAGACTCCAATTTATAAACCCCTTTAAACTTATGTTTTATTAACAGACTCCAAAGATTATGCAATCTGGTAATAGATTGAAGAGCTGTTAAGCCTTAACTAACCATTACTGAACACTTCGTCATCTGTAGTTTGTCCTTGTTTGGCATAAACAACGCCGAACTTGAAGTTAACAGATCCCTGATGAGATTAAAAGAAGGTATGTGATTCGATTAATAAAAAACTGTGTTGGGGAAATTGTCGTGACAAGATCATAAGAAATAAACTTGAAAGTGGATTCTACGAGTAAATAACTGTTTACCTCCTGTTCTTCCAAAACAAGTAATTCCTAAAAAATAAACATGAAACCAATGTCAGATTCCTACCCCTCAAACACGAACAACTCTGTAATGCGTGAACATTTGATCAGTTCTGTCCCTTTGAATCGAGGACGCTCGTTTATAGAATGCATTTCAAAGTGCTTATTGTTATTATATAGAGCAATGCAATTTGAAAAATTGTTAAAACTTTAATCTTCGACAGTTTCCTGAATCAGAATTTTGACAATTTACGAGACGAGCGTAAAGACTACGCCTTGAAACATTTTCCCGCGTTTTTGGACTGAAACGCAGCGACCTTGGCTACAAGAAGGGTCTCTTGTGAAGCTGGTTCTGGCTGGATCTGGCGTTCAACAACTCTGGCTAACATAAATTAAACTAACATATTCTCCGCAAGACCTGTGATTGTTTTAGTGTACCACAACCTTCAAAAGGTCAGTATGAACTCCAACATAAGCATCAAAGTGACTTGTACCTTTTGTATTTCCGCATTAAATACTTCCTTAGGTCCTTTGTCAACCTTGTTTATCCCATACGCTCTGTAAAAATATAAAAGTACTCATGAAATCCTTAAGTTACGATAGCTTTATGTCTTATAAGCTTACTAGCAAACGGATGAATAATAAAATGACAAGTAAATTCACTAACGTTTTGAAATGAGTAACACCTTTAAACAGAAAAGTACATTTTTTTTGGCGATTTGTCCGCCGAAAGACGACCGTAAATGGCTTCACTGCTCTTGTAAAATACTTTTTATTGTAACAAGGACATTTGAGGAGGGTTTTCACTCAGACAATGATCTATGTTTTTGTCCATGCACTTTCTGAATTTCTTTTCTGCAGATAATACACTGAACCAAAACCTTTAAATACTTTACTCTTGCGTAAGCTTTTGAAGTTTCAGTATTGCCAAATTGAAAACGGATAGTTACAAAACAGAATTTGAATTTAATTCTAAAATGAATTATAAAATAATAATTATTCTATTTATACCTACCGTAATACAGTCTTTGGGGAGACTGGCTTGTTAGGATGGTATGCTATACATAACTTTTGACTTCCCTGCAATTCAAATTTGTGCAACATAATAAATTGTAAAAGACTGAAAATTCATCAACCAACGAAACCAAACACACTATACCCAAACAATAACGTTCAATCACATTGGCTCACTCGATATTCCAGCTGGGTGTATGTAATGTAAGGGGATCCGTACTTGAGTTTGTCAGGGATTAGGATTTAGTGATTTATGATGCAAGATTTGGGAATTTTTTTTTTTAACAAACTGACATCTTGTAAAAAAAGTAAGCTAACTGTCCCCAAATGATGAAACATCATTCTACTTTGATTTAATGAAACTTGTCTACATTGTTAGGATCCTAGTTTGAGCATACCACTTTTTTTACAATATCTACGCTCAATTACCAGCCGCTGTTGGGGAATGAGCACGTGCTCCTCTGCCAAACAGATTGGAAGGAGCGAGTTAACTCAAGCAAGGCATGTAATTATAATCGGCCAATAAAAACTAGAGGAATTATGGGATTGAGAGAGAATTTTGGTTGGGATGATTGTGGGATCCAAAGTAGTGACCCTCATTTAAGAGACACAGTAGAAACTGAAATAAGTCAAATTCCCTGCTAACTGGAACTACATTTCCTTTCCCTTGATCAAAATCTCGCTGAAATTTACCCTGATAACTTGAATTCCCCACTAACTCGAACTGTTAAATTTCATTTCCCTTCAGAGTTTGAGTTACCAGAGTTCTACTGTACAGGAGCGTAGCGTCCATATACGCACATATGCCCGTGCATACAGCTGAAATCTGCACAGAATGTACCTTTCATTTTCTGAAAGCATTTCCATCGTTAAATCGCAATGACTAACAACTTTTTTTCATCATATCGGTGTCTTTGCCCTTTTGAAGGGAAGGGTAGATGTCTCGCCCTTGCAGCCTTACCAAATCAACTAGTAACACAATAAATGGATTTTCGTTCGTATTTATTTAATAAAAATGTCCACTTCCAAGACCCTAAATTTGCACATTTCCTGGGGGAGCATGCAGCACCCTTATATTGTCTTCCCGTGCGTACACCTTCAAAATCTTACGTTACGCCCCTGCTGTAATATCCTAATAACGACAATCATCCCAAACAGGGGAAACAAGGATCAGTTCTAGCAACGTGGATATCCTCCATAGTTACGCCCTTTAATGCCTATAGCTACCAATGTGTTCAACTAAGTTTACCGTTTTCCTCCACACAATGGCTCTATACTGTGGAACACCATAGTTATCAGCATCAGTCAGGCAAACAGACAAAATGAATGGACTTTTGCTTCCATCTACGCCAACAAAATTTTGATGCACTGAGGAAAATAAGAGATACAAAAGTAAGAATTAAAGGCAACTGTAAAAAAAGAGCTAAAAAAACTCACTATCAATGACCTCTTTTTGGAGATTTTTCAAGACAGTATTCTGAAACATTATGACGCAGTTGAACCAAACATGTAGCAATAAGTATTTTCGTCAGCAATAAGTAAATGTTCATTAATGACCCATGCTTTCCAGAGAAGTTTCCATATCAGCATAATCCATGAATTGGACATCAGTGAGCCCTGGCTGGGCCATAATTAAGGCAAGAAGAGAGAAAAGAAACATCATGCTACCTTTGCCAAGAAAGTACTTGAAGTACCATCTGGTTTGGAATTCTGGATTCTCCAAGTGAACTCCACTACCTTGTCGTGATACTGCTCCATTCTGAACATTTAAAGACAAACGTTACATTAAAAAAAATCATCAGCTTATCATCGTAGGCTCAGCAGGGGATGCAGGCCTGATATCACCGTTCACTTTTGAATCAGGCAGTAGCAGAACTTTTAACCCAGAACATCTTAAAAGTGTTCCTTATTTAGCTTCAAAAGAGATCAGTTATTAAAATAATGTGCTCCGGGGAGTATAAAAAAACAACAATTTAACATCTGAATTAAACTACATGATTATAGCATTGTAATTTGAGACATGGTGATATTTACCTGAAATGTGCCAATTTCACCATTCTCCATTCTGAACCGGCATGCTGGATTTTCACCTACGTCATTTCCTGAGCAGTGCAAGCTATTTAACTGCAACAAATGAAAAATGGCAAATGCCAGGCATGAATTTGAAGCTAACTCTGAAAACCTGAACCAATAAATTTAAAAAATAACATACTGTAAGGCAGAGATGGCAAACTGTAGATTGGACCTGTACCATATTGTATCGTATTTAAGCATTTGGAATTATAGCTTTTTAATTTAGTTGGTACTTTATCACTGAAATTTGGAAAATGTCTCTGTACTTACAGCTTCAAGGGAGCCATAGTAGTGCTTCCTGCTTAAACCTGATCTTCGACCAATATCTGGAGATGGAGCACTGTGCAGAGAGAAGACCATTCAACAGGTTCATTGAGAAGTAAATTTTAATAACTTTAAAAACCCTGGTTCATTCTCAGAGTCAGAAAGAAAGGGTTGGAACCTAGGAATCACAGAGAATTAACCCTTTATGCCCGAGAGTGACCATCCCTACGTTGTCAAGAGATTAGGTTATGAAAAGTAACAAAAAGAAAATGCCTTGATTGTTTATCAAATTCTCTCAACTAATTCTGTAAAGAAATGTATGAAGATCAGTTTCGAGAATAAGACTTTACCAAAACCAGAAACCACGAGTGAAAAGCGCCTGGCACCCAGGGTATAGTTAACCCCGAGCCAAATACGGTTAAAAAATCGAGAATGTATTACCCACATAAAGAGCTTTTTCCTCAAAAAGACCACTTAAAAATTGCTTAAAACCTAACAAAGTCCTCAAATTGCAAAACTTAAACCCTCAAAATTACTCCTCCCATGCACCTATCCCTGTCTCCGTATAATAACCTGAGTACTCTCCTGGAGATTGGAATTTTTGCCAAATCTAGATACCAAGTTACACAGTCATTGCTAAGATAACACGTCATTTTTACCCTTGAAGATACCACATTTTCACGTGAAACTCACTTGGTATTTAATTGGTGTTTATATAATATATACAGGGCTGTCAATAAGGGCTGGTAGCCGGCCAAAACTGCCAGCTAGGTAGCCATCCTTAGCCGGCTACTTTCCTCTCAGCTCCTTCTACTATAACTGCTAACAAAAAAAAAAGCACCATCAAATAAAATTGTAAAGCATCCCTTTCTCAGTTTTGAATGACACTGTACACTTATTCAAACAGGTTTAGATCTGTGAAACATTCAAACCGTGTGATGTTGTTGAATGCCTGGGAAATTTCGATGGCAATTGTTCGAGTCTTGCGTGCATTCTGACAAAACAACATGCCATCCGCGGTGGAAAATACCTCTTGAAAACCCCTGGAACTACCATTTCCGAGACTCTAAATTTCAAAATGTCCCTAGATGCCTCACTTGTGCCGTTGGTGCGAGTTCCAAAGCCGTCTGCTATTCGTTATCAGCCTGCTACTTAAAAACTTTTTGACAGCCCTGTATATAATAATATTAGTTATGGACCTTGATCCATCCATCCACGGGGAACATGGAATTATCATCTGATTACAAAATAAAACCCTGACTGTGACAACAATTTGGTGTGACACAATCACTCATTAGTAGGATGGGGATATAAAATTAAACTTGGAATGATAGAGGCTACCAGTCAAGGTCAAGACTATCAGTTGATGGCTGGCAAACATCAAATGTCATTTTTCGTGCGTGCAGAACTTAGGGTCTGTCAATTGACCATATTCTGGATAAGAAAAAATGATATTATCACTTATATTGGAATTTGTTCCATTGCAGTATCTAGAAATCCGCTTGAAATACTATTCCAGTGTATGTAGCAATTTTTTAAGTGGCCCAAGCCACAAACATTTTGTGAATTATTATTCTGGAATACGATCAGTCCAACTGGCCCTCAAATCCTCCTAGTTAGAAGGTGGAGTGTTACGGTAGCTTGTTCCTTTGCATGTAGTTTTGTTTTGTTTTCACTTGTTTTTGTTTTTTCACAACACATGCAGGATTGGACAAGATTTGTCTTCATTATTATGCAAATCAGTGGTTCTGCTACAAAAGCATACAAATGCATGTTTCAGGCAATTAAAACATTCAACTTGTCTTTCCTTTTCTTTTAAAAAAGGAGCTTATTTATGATTCATATTTTAAAGTCCTTAAATTTAACAGCTGTCCTTGAAAAAAACGAAAAATGTCTGAATGAAAAATTCTGTAAACAAATGTTCAGACTGTTTCCCTTAAGTTAATTCATGTTCAAAAAATTATAAGGAATATTTATTTTTATTTTGAATTTTTTGAAACAAGATAACCAGATCCAATACTTTTTTCTGCACATGTATAAAACGACAGGTCTTCTGTCATTATTTTTCAAAGCTACCACTAGCTTTTAGCTCTGACGTCTTTGACTCAAAATTTGATGATGTCATTCTTTACGAAATTTATTCATTTAAACGGCAGCGAGTGTGTTTTGGCATATATTTCAGAGAATAAAAAACGGCAATTAAATTAACAGCATAGCAAAAATACAGAAGGAATATCGAATATTACACGATCCAACTTGTAAATGATTGAAAAGGAGAATAAAAACGCTGACCCTTTTTACATGAAACTGAAAACGTTCAAATGTTTAGGAATATTAAAATTCACTGAATATTAACAACAAAGCCAAATTTCTAACGAATCGCATTTATACGTGAAGCTCGTGTTTTTAAAAAACAACATCCTCGCGACGACATTATCGACTGAAAGAAGGTGATTGCTAAAAAAAAAGCATTGGTAACATAAATCGGTATAAGATGACTAATAAGGAGAGTTTAAGGTTCACAGCTAACGTTGTCAAAGATATTTCAGTATTTTTATATTTACCTGTGGGTGAAAGTTGAAGACCGAATTCTTGTAACCATGCTGTAATACCACTTCCACGCGTTACCTAATATTTCGCCACGCACCCGGGCCACGCATGAATACCCCGAGGAATGAAAAACGAAAAAAACAAATCTTGCTTGAAAGGTATTAACGTAGAGTAAGTCCACGGCTGACTGGTGTCGATTTGCAGCAAAGGTAACGTTATTTGTCTCGAACCCAACTGTAACGGCCCTGTTTATACTCTTCAAGCTTCGTTCGTTGCTGATTTGAACAAGCCGTCCTCCAAAATTTATTGGACTCTGTGTTACAATCACTCACGCGACACAAAAAGGATTTTAAGTAGCCTCAATACTGCGATTAAATGTGATTAAATGTAATAAAACCTGCACCGAACTTAATACGCCTTCTAATTCTTGTCGCTGTAATTGGATGCAACATATACAACAGCTGCCAAATATTAGGGGACTTCTCCCGCGATTGTGACGACACACTTTGACGGCGAATTGGCGACGGAAGTGTGGTATTCAGAACAGGCTGGTACAAGACGGACGGTATAAAACAAAAATAGTTGTCGGAAAAATATAAACAACCACTTAGACTTCACAATACCACTGGCGTGCTCTAGCACTTGAACAAATCCACCGCCCAAATGTGTCCAAGGGCTTCAATGTTTACAGTAAATCATGACTTGACAGCAACGTACGTGATGAAGTACTATGTGTTGTTCGTGACTTGGTTAACGTCTTGCTGAGCGTTTTGAAAGAAAAGTCAATGACTGTATGACAATACAGTGAACGTGGTTATAAAACTTTAACGATATTTAAAATTTTCGAATGTCGCAACCGCAAACTTTCTAGTTACCAGTGATAAAAAATACTTGGAACAGACATGCTTTGCTGTAAAATGGTGTATGCATTGATGAACACCAAGTATCCAATAAATTGTCAGTTTCAAGTAACTGGAAACTTCCTTTATGGCTCTATAAAGAATCGCTTGATTTCAGTTAATTTGAAGAGCACTTCAGCTTGTGTGCAACTTGTTAACTCATGTAAGAGTCGAGTCAAAAAAGACCAGAATGAAACTACAGCCTATTGAACTGTCGTAACTGTGGGCACAAATCAAAGAACTGACGGGATGGCTGAAGAGTGACTTTCACACAACGAGAGTACAGCTGTAGAATAACGTAGGAAGAAATTCCTTAGAGACGCTGAATTGAACGAAATGTTTTCGAAATTTGCAATTAAGGCTCTCTGAAAACAAGCCGTTGTTTGTAGAGATCACGCCTCGACGATTATCCAGGACCAACTTGAATAACTGGCCGGCTTCAAAAAGAGACGTTTTCCTTCTTTAATTTTACAACGTTTTCAATTTTGTGAATTATGTGCAAATGGAAATCAGGCATGTTTTCAAACTTCATGCAAATTCAAAGAGGTAATCCATTGTTTCGTTTATAGTCTGCATACAGACTTGTAAACAAATCGTTCAAAGAGATCCTGACTGGTAACCAATCTTTTGTCCCAGTTTTGTGGGTGTTTTGTTTAGAATACTGCTCGGTATTAATCAAACTGTTGTCATTTTAACTTAGCATCAGACACTTTGATTTTCATATTTAGTTAAGCTTGTTTGTCTGCTTTTGCAATAAAATGCTTTCTTGAAGTTTGTTCTAAGGGTACAATGCGTGGTGCCTGTATTGAATTCCCTCAAGGGAACCTTTTAGCTCTTCTTTGCGAAACTCTTTAAACGAAGCAGTATTCTGGTTTCACAAGTGTCACCTGTAGCAGTTTCGTTCAAAGTGAAAATCTTCGAATGAAGATTTAAAAACAAACAATCACGGGTGAAAAATGACAGATCTTGGAAACCAAAACAAACTAATTAGATATCGCTGACAAAAAACGAATACGCAAGAGCCAAAGAGAGATCATGATTATGCAGACAATGATTCAGCAATAACTGAAGTTTACTTGAATTACTTGCTTATGATATATCGTGATAACCTCACTTATTAACGACCAAGGAAAAGAATCCACCCATCCATTGCTAGAGCGACGTACAGGTTAAAAATTATTATTTTTACTGTTCGGACACAACATGATTCATGGCTTCTGTTATAACAAGGGGCGGATCCAGAAATTTTTGTAAGGGGTCTAAGTCGTTATTTTCATCCTTTCTCGTAGTTGAATACAAGTTTTTTCCGAAAAATTGACGACAAGGCAAATTTGAAAAAATACGTGACGTGACAATACAGTGTAGCTATAAAGTTGTACTGATCGAAATATTGGCATGACTTAAAGTACCTCTTTGACGCAGTTAACAGCCTTGAATTAAAATATTATATTTACACAGAAATGTCTGCATGTCACTCTCCATTCGCTACAATTACAGGTTAAGACAAGGGGCATTCATAGGCGCTGAAAAGATAACGCCTTATTGATATTAATTTCGCGCTTTTCGCGATTGCTTTATTAAAGACACGCGAATAAATATCCTCGCGAACGTATAGAAATTTCACATCACAGAAAAATAGTTTTAATGATTAGAAAACATAACATATACAAGATATGTATCGAAAAATACTCGAACTATCATTAACAACGATTTCACAGATCAAGTGGAGAATTTAGCTATTTAATATCTTCATCTGAATCCGCGCTACACTTGTACAAATCCCTTTGAAATCTATCTTTCGTGAAGTCGTCAAAATTGCTATTACTGAATTGGTTTCCTGTAGTTCCCATTCAGAACTTTCTTGTAATGCTCCAACAGTTACACTATAACGTTTTTTGAGGTAGATTCGAGTTCGATGCAAACAATGACAGGGTTTCAAGGCCACCCTGTTCATATACAGTTTGTAATACACTCAGTTAATTTTCAGATATCCGTTTTACTCAGTTAACCTTTCAAAGTCAATTTTTAAAAATGATTTTTGCTTGTTCCAGTTTACCGTAACAGTCTTTTTGAAAAACAAATGACGTTGAGAACGCTTGAATTGCGAATTTCATATTTGCTTACAGTTGACCCTCCTCGCAACGGCCACTTTAGGGACAGAAGAAAGTGACCGTTTCCGTTGTAGAGAGGTTTAAATAATAGTCAATGTATGGATTGTACGCCAAAAAAAGTCGGGGAAAACCCAACGATGGCTTCCTTCTAAATACACTAACAACACTTTTTGGGCTATCTAGAGTACTTTTTAGATACAGCTATTTCGAGAAAGGTTTTCGGAAAAAGTGCACGCGACAATCGCAAAAAGTATTGTGGGTAGTTTTGAGTTCACTGTTCTTCAAAGAAATCTGAAAGAATGGCACAAGAGGCCACGGACATATGTTTGCGAGTGCTAAAGGAAAGCAACAAAAGTAGGTTCGACAGCTACAGTGTCAGGAACAGTGTATTGATCATATCCCATATTACCTTTCGGGATTGTCGCGTGCACTTTTTTTCCGACAACCTTTCTCGAAGTAGCTGTATCTAGAAATGCATTCTAAGCCGCGCTATAAAATTTGTATCTGTTCGGTCATCCTAGGGCAACCTCAGTCTCTTTCCATCACATTCTTGAATCCGAAAATTTTAGGTTTCCTTTTTTCGAAAATTTTACACGAATGGAACGATCATCAAGAAATTTTTTTGCCGTCCTCAAGCTAGACAAAATTCTAGGCAACATTTGCGTCTCCGAACAGATATTTTACAGAAAACAGTCGTTCGGTGCCCCTGAAAAAGTGGCCGTTGTGGAAAGAGGGACGTCAGTAGACTGGGTTCGACTGTATTAAAATGGCGGAAATTAAACTCTGTGAAATATTGTCTCGCCAAAATCGTGAAATTAAGTACCCGCGAAATGAAGTACCAATATAAAGGTATCTGGACTACTCTGAAAGAAAAATATTCACGAATGTCTTCTTTCACCCAGACAAATGTGTACGGGGTATAACTCTATTACGCCCTGACTTGCTGTCTCATCAAAATTCTAAAAATTTCGTAAACTGGCGATATGATGATGCTGGTTGCTCTAGGAAATTATTAAAATTTTTCATAACAATGCTTCCGGAAAGTATATGCATTCGGATCGCAAAATTAAGGGAGGGGCAAGGGAGTTGTCCACTCCTCTGCATTTTCAATATTCTGATATTTAGCCAGTGTTTACCAAAAGTTGTGCGTGTAGCACGGCAAATCTTGTCGTGCTACACGGCAATAGCACGACTTGGTTTCAAATATTGTGCTACTCGTTTAATTCGATCAATTGAGTTCGGCACGGTAGTAGCACGACGCTTGAAAAAGGCCGAAGAACTCACCTCTTACTAACTATATAGAGGGGTGTCAATACACTTCCAGGTGCAGGCCGGCCGTTTTCATATTATGGTACATGTACGCTGCAGAAGGTAATATCTTTGAGAGCAAGAGTAAAACACAGCAGTACAGTTTATTGTCATTAATCACCTTGCTCTGTTATGACCAAGACCAAGTAAAAATAACAATGCGAATTAATTAAAATAATTTCCTCTTGTTTGTAACCGTCTGGTTTACGGGTGGTAGGTGACGTAGATCTCGCGTGACTAACGATTAGGACTTCCGGTACATGCCACAATCCTTCAATGCCAATCGTAATCCATGACTTTTTTTAAGGAAATCATAATACGTAAAGAAAATGGTTTAATTGATCATTAATTTGTCTTTAACGCGAGGACGTGTCACACTCGCCACCCACATCCGTTGTATGAGTCAATCCATAAAGCTTTTTAAAAACACATATTAAAAAGGAATTGTTAAAATTCCACAAGAAGATAAATTGAGCAAAACTAAATTTCTGAGCTGACAGGTTCGAAAGCAATCATTAATTAATATTTCGATTCAATTTGGGTGTACGTGTTTAAAAGGATTAATATTTTTCAGTTTGAACCTCTAAAAACGATTGCGAAAACATAATTGTACTGCATATTTTAATGAAGAATATACTCGCACATAATGTATCTTAAAAAGGCCTTATTTCCTTGTACGATTCTAAGTATAGTCCACAAGCTCTTAAAACTCAAAGGCTTTGGTCGCTTTATTAAATTTACGCTACACACTCAGTTGTTATTTTGCTAGATATGTCATAAAATACATCAAAACACTTGACATAATAGCAATAGCCAAAGTACTGCTTTGTACTATGTTAACTTTTTACCACTACTAGTTTTTTTTCGTCACGTAAGTATACCGTAAACAGGTTGCTTGCTAAATTACCAAAGGCGTAAGGAAGTGCTGTGAGTTCTTTGCGTGTAAATGTGTCTCTTTTGTCTAGATGATTTCTATGACAAAGGATGTAGATTAATTTTAGTATTTCAGCTGTATACTCAATGCAGAGGAAAGTGCATTAAGAAACTCTACCATTTTTGGACGAGTTAACGACTTGAGACAGAAAAATCTGCCGCCACTATCGAACCTTAAGATATTATATATTAACAGTAAATTCTTCTTATTAACGGAACTGTGAAATGTAAACAAATCTCAGCGCCTAAGTCACAATAGACCCTCGCAACAATACAATGAAAAACGATTTTGATTCCACAAGTTCAAAGCAAACCACAAACACAAACGAATCAGTTGTTGACATTATTATTTTTGAATCCGGGCGACAAGAACATGCTAAACCAACTAAATATATATGTCTCAAACATAATGTTCAATGAAATTGAGAAGTATTATAACTTAAGGTTTTTAAAATACTACAACAATTACACATGCAAATTTCCACACATGACTAAAACAATTCAATCGAGTTAATAAACGATACAGCTGAGCTAGACGCTCAATATTTTCTACGCTGACGGTTAAAGGACACAAATATTGCAAGAAAGAACTTTACAAATGCTAAAAACTATTTTTGTTATGACGAACTTACCGTTCACGCGGTAGGTCCTTGTGTTGACAAAATGCCTGTGACAGTTGCAGAGTGCCGGGAGGGCTGGAATATCGCTTGATTTGCAGTGTCGCTCGGGGTAAATATTTCCCAAGGTTTTTAGGCTCTGCGACCATGGCGCTACTCGGTCTTTCAGGAACAAACGTCTGCCGTTTGTTTGATCGGTCCATTCTGTGTTGTAGATTTCCGTCCGAAACATACAATATACACGGTGTAAACTCGTGTGTCAAGAGGCGCTCATCTCGGAAAATGTCGAGACTTCATAGGTGATTATAAAGTACAAATAACTCTAACTCCAAACAAATGATCCATGGATGAGCGACGCTTTAACGCATGTGGAGAAGTTGATAGGATTGATGATACACTTCAAAAATGGCTGTGTGCAACTCGGTTTGTCGACTGTAAAAATTGATTCAAACGTCTGCTGACAACGGCCGATTCAAATATAAAAATATTATCCCGAACAAAGAAAATCGTGTTGAATTATTCACATTCCCATGTTGATGTAGCAAATATTAATATATAATATCATAAATTTAACCGAAAGATTACGAACCCTAGCTACAGCACTTTCGACATCTGTTTTGCCTCCGGGGTTGTTTCCACGTTGAATATAATTACAGGCTTCTTGAACCACTTTATTTGCTTTCTCTTAGGGTGTCAGACCGGAAATGTCCTCCTATTGGTTGCTTCGTAGGGTATGTGTGAACAAAGATTTTTACCCATGTAAGGAAATTTTTACTGCCGGCTAAAAACATCTCCGCTCCGATCAGGTTGGGGAGAAAAAGGGAGAATCTCGACGCGTCCCAGATTTCTCGTCCTCGTGATTTTTGCGATGGTCGGCGAACACTCCCGACATTTGAAACTGGCTCAATTTTTTTCACTGTCGGAGTGCTCAGGGATCGATGATCGATGGGCATTCGATTTAGCTCGGTCCCAATCCCTTAAGTGCAGTACTCTAATCTGGGAGACCTAAGACGATTTGCAAACATTACAATGTAAAACCTGGATCGTCTGGGATTTTCCGGACATATGAAAACCAGGCTGAACCAGGCTTTAGTTTCAGCTTTAATTTCCAATCCGCTAACTAATTAAAATCAGTATAACCATGCCCGATCTCGGAAAAAAAAAAAATGGCCGGTGGGGTCATTTGATCATTTCAACTCCCAACATATCATTATCAGGGAATTTGACCAAAATTTTTCAAAAAAGTCAAATACCCGGAGGTCTACCCGGTGGGGAGGGCATGGGCGGTTTTGGAATTGACTGCTACAAAATATATAGTCAATTGCAAGGTGTGAGCCTCTGTAAAGTATCGGCTATCGCAATGTTTTAGTCCCCCGTCCGGTCTATGGTTGCTTCACTTTACCAGCATAATTTCGTTTGCTCGCAGGCTATCAGCACTATAAACATGTGATAAGTAACGCATTAAATCAGGAACCGATCACCCGGCTTCTGCATGATTCAACCTCATCCTCAGGCTTTTTCTGGCCGGTTATAAAGCCTGGTTACTCTCATTCGCAGGGGGTGGGCCGGGGAGGGGTACTCAACAAAGGCTCCACCCCGAAGTTCAACCCCTTACCCTTTTATATCGCTGTTTCAATGAAGGTTGTTTTAGGCATTGGGAATTGCACATTTCGAAGCTATTATTTGATAGTAACTCAAGTAAATCAATGCATTGTTCCATGTGCCCAGATGCCCAATGCCCGATTGCCAAAGCAACCTTTTTAAATTTAGCTGTTTACATTTTTTGACGTAAAAGGTATCCGTTTCGTATGTTCTATTGACAAATGGTACCCTCTGCACATACCTACAGTAGTTTAGAACTATGCATCCCTTTAAATATGAATAAATAAAAAACCAGAATGTTTTCTCGTACTTCATCACAGCCATAAAATGCATCTGTTAACCCCTTTTGCGCCTTTTTATAGACTGATTTGACAGATTTCCCTACTCTTTCGTATACTGCATGTCTGCATCTGGTGAAATCTCTACTCCGTTAAATGTACCTGAAGGGTGAAAAAGCTACTTCTTTCAGGCCGAACCTCCCTGCTTAGGCCTTGCGGTAGGAAGTCCTCGGAATTGCATTTTACATGGGGTCAAGTGCGCAAAAGAAGAGAAGGGGGAAGAAACGAAGCACATAAAACTTCTTTACTTATTAAACTACCTACTGACAAAGGTAAAAAGGTCTTTAAGTTAATCTGAAAATCGTGACAAGTCATAAAAAATAATTTTATTTTAATATCTGAGCTTTTTTACAAAAATTTGTACAACTCTTCACACGCGATATTATTCTGTAAGGACGCAGGCATAGTATATACATGCACAACGTAATAGTTATGTTTCCGTTGTAGCAAACAGATTAATCTTATGGCTTCGAGAAGATCATTAGTAAAATCAAGGTAATTTCGCTATTACGAGAAGCGTATGTCATAAATTTCTCTTCCTTCAACAACCATCAAACATTTGTAAATCAAACGTGTATATAATTTTATTCGGTAACCTAAGTAACCTAATTCATCGACAATATTCAATAAATATTTTAAAAAGGCCCCAATGTATAATTGAGATAAGAATCTGCACTATGCTTTTCAAGTCTTTTATACAAGAACTGCGATGAAAAATATTCTTATGCCAATAAAACCAATAAAACTGCGATCGAAACTGTGTACTAACCTTGAACTCACTATTTGTCTTCTCATTGGCTAAGGGCCGACAGTTAATTTTGGAATTTTGGAAATCAACGCAACCTCGGATTACTAAGATATCTGCTAGCAGAGAACTGTATAATCTGTAGGTGTCGCGTACAATGCAACCATTTCCAGAAGCAATGTTAAACGAGAATCTGCGTTATTTTCTTCAAAACAATCGATTCAATTATTGAGCGTGACATCCTGAATAAGTAAGACAACAAGTTCAAAATATTTAACCCATAATTGCACTCTTTCAAAACATTCAGCATGGCATCATAAACAGTTCGACAGACCTGCCCTTAAGGCATTTTTTTTTCAGAGGCGACAATCGCGGGAGAATTTTTGAGACCTCTCGCACGTTTTCCTGACCGACGACCCGAACAAAACGGGCTTTTAGAAAGTCTAGGAGTACTGTAATTACCTCCTACAACGAGTTAACGATGATCGAATACATCTCTCTAACGTAATGGAATTCATCATCACTCAGCAAGATTGTCCAGCAGACCAGTCGCTACTTAGCCTAAGAAGACAGCCGCCTCATCGGTCACCACAATTTTTTTTTCTAATATCCTAAATAAAAACGTAAATTCAACTGACAGGGCATGTAATTACTTTCACCATATCGTGACCTTCTCCATTTATCTCTTAGTTGTTGTCATTGTCTTATGTTGTACCTAAAAGTGAATGGAAAAGCAAACATACAAATACAAAACGATCACTAGTAAAAAGCAGAACGGCTGTTTTCGTAAGCTCCCACTTCTAAGCCTGACGCCAAGACAAACCGTGGTTCATATCTCTGCTGTAATATTACGTACATCCATATATCTCTGAAGGTTTCACCTTTTTCACGTCGTTGATCTCTCGCAAGTTACTGATGTCAGTGACGCATAAAGCGCTTTAAGTTCAGTAATTTCTTCCCTTTTTTCCTTGACTTTCTCTCGATACTCTGTGAGAAATTTCTGCTGCTCCTCTTTTGCGTTTTTCAGCTCTTTGATTAAGTCCGTAACGTTTCTCTGTGTAAATTCAGCTCGTATTCTTTGGATCTCGTTCTTCAGTTCACTCAGTCTTGTAGTGTTCACTTGCTGTAACATTGAAGCCTCTTTCACCACGCGGTCAACGTTGACTTTCAGGTTTTTTGCAGCGACATCGGCTTTGTCTGCCTCGTTCTTTGCCGTGTAAGCTGTTGACAGAGCTTCAGAAGTTCTTATGGAATAATTTTGCTTGCATGTGGAGATGATACCTTGAGAAGATGAGTTAACGGAGGTCACGTTCTGCTCGACCGCAGTGAAGTATTCAGGGGTGTACTTAGATGTGCTTGCAACATGAGAAAGCCTGTTTGCGTCTGCGTGAATGATCGATACCCCCTGCAACAGAAAGTAAGGAATAAATTTACGCACAGCTAAAACGACCTAACTGTCTAAGCTATACTGAAAAGTGGCTTCCAGTCGAAGCCTGGCTTGCGTGGCAGGCGCTTGCAAGTCAAATGTACAGGCCAGCCCATATTTAGTCAAATCCCATCTTCGAAGATCCAGGGAAAGTTAGTCGGGTAGAAACGTCGTGGCGCCGTTTCTACCGACCCGACAGACTGCCCCTGTGTCTTTGACGATGATCGAGGCCCTACAGTCCTGCGAAACGTTTTTTGAAGGGAGCTACCATGATTTTAAGCCCACTCCAGCGCTTCAGAGAGTTCGGAGCAGAATGAAATGAACAAAAGCAGTGAGAGAGAAAGTGTGGTGGAGCGAGAGAGTATCCTCGCTATATCTTTCTGCCTCTCGTACGTATTTCTTTCAGTTTTCTGGAAAATCTGACTGTGCACCCTTCGGTTCGCGTCGCTCTTCTGCCTTCATAATCTAAAACCCCGAGACGCGTTCAAACGGGGAATCTGGTAATTTTGTAAAAACAAAAAAAAGAAAGAAGGCAAGGTGTTACTTACTTGGTTTTCATCAAAGGAGATGTTCCATGCTTGTTGTGCCAAGTTTAGAGCGCGTCTAGCAACTGCCAAAGTAGCCTGTAAAGAAGCATTGACTCCTTGAGCGTATTCGATTGCATTCCAGCTAGTTGCGTTGGCTTCAATGGCGCGCTGCAGCGAACTTTCAGCAAATTGACTGGCTTCCTGTGACTTTGCTTCAAAATTCCGCAAAATCTGAAGCATTTCTTGAGCGTCTGTGAAAGTTTTACTGGCAAGCTGCACGGCGTCAAGGGCTTCTTGTCTAGCTCTCCGTGCCTCCTCTAAGACAGCCATTCCTCTTTGCTCTGCGTTATTTACAAGCGACATTAAAACGTCCAACTGCTTTAGTGTAAAGTCAACTTGGAATGTCAAATTGGAGTACAGTTCTTGAGTGAGATTCTGAGCCCGTGAGATTACCATTTGAACCTGTTTACTCGCTTCTTGTGTCTCCCTCGCAATCTGTCTGACTGTATCAGTATTGTTAGGATCCAGCAGCATTACCTCTGACAAAGTTTGGTTGGCTCTCAACAACGAGGCCGAAGCATTCCAGTACAGCTGGTAACCTGACGTATTTACACTGTCACCGAGGGCTTTTATAACATCCACACGCATTTTCAAATGCTCGATCGAGGCCTCCGAGGACTCGAGATTATTCTGTACTGAGCTAGCATTGACCATCACTTGCTGAGCTTCTGTTATTAAAGACTCTGCACTGTCTATTTTGCCTTGTATCTCGTACGCAGTGTCATTCTGACGAGTTGCCGCTGCTGTGAAGTTGCTGGAAATCGCACTAAACCGAGGCACCAAGTCAGTCAAATAATCAGCGATAGCCTCAGCTTCGCGGACAGAAGGATCAACTGACATGTTGATCACATTATTGCTGTGATACACTGCATCGCGTATCAACTGAATCATTTGTTCGATAGTGTTCCTATCCGCTGCAACAGATGACAAATTGCTTGACAGTTGGGCAGCACCAGGAGTAACATCTTCCAGCAGTACATTTTCAAGTTGATTCAGCGTCTCATTGAGTTGCGTGATTTCTTGGGTTAAATTCCTCTCGATTTCCTGGGCTTCTTTAGCGCCAGACACCAATTCGTTGGTAGATTTTTCAGCATTATCGAGTCTCGTTGCGAACGTTGCATCACCAATATTTCCATTTCGCAGTCGCTCTATCGCGTCCTCGAGATCAGCTGAACTCTTTCTTAGCTTATTCACCTCCACAGAGATAAGACGGTAACACTCTGGACAATCTAAAGTCAGAAAAGAAAGCATGCTAGAAATCGTCATTGCCATTGTTCAGGAAACAGGACCTTATGTATGGTCAACTTAATCGATGAGGGCGATTTCAGGCCACTCGAACTTACCCACCCTTAATTCTTTACGGTTCAGAGAGATTAACAAATTTTGATAACAGCAATTGAAAAGAAACAAACAACCAATTCAACAACAATACCAAAATTTCTTAGTTTTTCTGTTGGAAATTCAGTATATTTGTGTCGACCAGATCACCACAAAAAATCAGGCTTTCACTAGTTGAGCCGAGTTGAATGATCAGTAAGAAAAAAATTGGCTCAGAGATATTCCAGGCAGGCTGGAACTGTGCACCAGTAAGTTAGGATACAAGCCAGGCTTTCACAACTTCGCCCAGAATTTCTATTTCCTTATGTTCCAGCCCCCCACCACAAACACACACCGGGTTCGGCAGGAAAGAACCTGTGCGGTTGGCTGATGACAACTTCTCAAACGTCATGCGCTCTTTCGATTACTGAAGGATTGTGGAAGACCTTACTTACCAACACATCCTCTACTCGTATTGTAGGCATTTTCGTGGCATCGATCACACTGCCTCCCACCAATTCTTGGTTTACAGGTGCACTGGCCGGTTGTCTCATTACAAACGCTACTGTTACCATACATCGTGTTGGGAAGCACACAGTCACATTCTGATAAACAAGACATAACAAAGAGCAGTTAGAAACTTACTGTCTGAGTACATGGTGTGCAGTCAAGTCCACCATTCAGCCTTGTGCGTAATACCCTTTCCTATTGTACTCAGTTTTGAATACTGCTACAGAATGATTGACCCCTCCACCTTTGCTGTTCTGACGTGAAACGTCCTTCAAGTATTTATAAGAGCCGACTTGCAAATACATTTTACAACAAAAATGAATGATATAAAAGAAACTTGACGTTTCGATAGCTTTATGTCATCAGTATTAATGACTACAAAATTAAGATATAAAAATTAATATTAAGAAGAAGAAGTGTGAAAAAGTACATGTCAATTCATGATCAATCGTGAAAATGAAAAGCAAAACAAAACAAATTTAAATAAAGAGTTTTGCCCGGATGGAGCCCGCTGGAGCGTTGAGCCTCAGTCTTTTATCTCTGATAATGAGACTTTCTAATATCAGACACTCAAGTTTCCCTGTAGACTTACTATTTTGACTGTTTTTGATGACGCACAGTAAAAAAACCCTGCTACTCAGCTGGCTACTTACCTCCGCAGCCACCAGATGATGGAGTCAAGCCAAAGTATCCTGGAATGCAGCGAGTACAATCAGTAGTGTTATCAACTCCAGGTTGGCATCGTTCACAGTTGTCACCCTCAGACCCCGTGCGACAGTTAAAGCAGGTGCCATTCTCTGGGTGACACTCCCTTGAGCGACCGGTGCATGAACACAGTGCACAGGACTTAAATGAAGTGGGTTTGGAGCTTTCTTTCTGTCGAGTGTAACCTGCAAACGTAAATCATGTCAGTACTAAGACAGTCATTTCTTTGAACACTGGTATCATTTTAAGGTTACAACATCTGGCCCCAGTTGTTCAAAAAGTGGATAGCGCTACCCACTGGATAAATCTCTATGCAGTGCATGATGCAAATGGTTTTCCAAATACTTAACCACTGGATAGTGACTCTTCCAGTGGATAACGCTGTCCAACGTTTGAACAACTGAGGCCTGGCTAATTTCTGCAAGATTTCGAAAAAGTACAGATCTACCTAGGTGCCCCTAAACATTTCACTGAAAAAGACCATTTAAATCTTTGAACATTAGACATACTACAAGTGGCATTTTCCCAAATAGACCACAGGATTTGGGAATGGGTTAATACGCATTAAATAGTTGGAATTATGAGTGAATTTTTCTGGTTTCATATGGGGAAAGGATTAATGGTACATGAATACAAAAGTAGAAAAAGGCACTTTCTCCTTTCCCCTCAAACAATTTATTTAGTGAAGCAGTGCCCAGACAACTAGGAAAAGAGAAAGAAAATATTTGGGGCCAATAGGTAATGTGTGTAAAGGCACCATATAATGCTTGCATCTGCAATCTAAATCTCTGTGTAGAAGAGCCCCCATCCCAAGATGTCAGCTCAATTTCAACTGCTCTCTCCGTCCATCCTCCCCAAGAGGGTGGAGGGGGGAGGAGCCAGGGCTTATTGCCAAACAGCAGCTGGGAATTGAGCTTACTCCAAGTAAAGCAGTGTTAGAATTGATTCACAAACAAAAAACACAAAATTTATGCACACCTTTATGCGTCCTCTAATCTGCAACAATTCACTTCATTTCAAAATGATGAGTGTAAAATAAAGTATATGTGTATGTATGCAAGACTAACTACCAATACAACTATTCAAATTTCTCTTTTCTTTTCTACAATAAGTGACACAGCATAGCTTAAAAATTTTACCTGTATTACAGAATCCACATGAGAGATCTGTGTAGTTGTTTGAGCAGGTGCAGTTTTCAACATAATGCACTTCTTGACCAACATCTTTTGTGGCAGAAACCAACTCAATAACCACTGTCAAAGAACCATTTGTCATAAAACTCCCTTGAACTTGGACAGATTCAATATCAGCCAGGATACTCTGAAGTTGATATGCTGTCAAGTTTTGCTGTGAGTTATGCTCATGCAGCCGTGCATAATAGGTTATGCCGGACGAAGATGACTCAGAGTGAAGGTTAAAAGCGGCTTCCTGTGGCTGCCTGTTATATTTTCCCTTCAGTGTTACATTCCAGTCAGATTTTAAACTCTCCACATTGGTATTGTTGGTGATCAGCTTGAACAACTGACCGTAGGAGTGAAGCTGGAAGCCACTGAATGCCTTATTAAAGACCAGTGTGACCGAAGTGCCACTCAAAAAATTTATCGTCAGACGTTGATCCTCATGAGAAAAAGTTAGCTCTGGTGATTTATTTATGTTAACATGTTGGTTATCAGTGAAATTTGCTCTTATATAGGACTTCACAAAGCCTCTTCCAGAAGAGCACTCGTTAGCTCGATTAAAGCAGAAACAAGGAGAACAGCCATCAGGATTGTCCAGGTCACTATTGTATGTTCCATTCTTGCATCTCTCGCACTTATCTCCTTCAGCATTAGCCTTGCATGTACACAATCCTGTGGTGTTATGACACTGCAGTAAACTAGAGCCTCCTGCATCACAGTTGCATGGCCTGCAAAAAAATAAATCAATGTTCATATTTTGCTATCATTCCTGTTACAGTTTGTACTACACTGTAGTTAGGAGAATTCTTATGTCTCATGAGTGTCATGAGTGAGAAATTCACTAGTTTTAGCTCATGCAGCAGCTAGGAGTATACATGTACATGTAACCAACAGGGCTTGAGAAAATTCCTGCCTTGTAGTCTGGGACAAGTACCATAAATCCTCTATTTAGCCTCCTTGGGGGCTTATTTATTTCAAGCCCATTTGAAGGGCTCCTGCTTTCAAAATGAAATGTGGTGAAAACAAACAGGAAATATAAATGAATCCTTGCTTGCCCAAAAAGAATGTCTGCTTTGCTTAACTTTATATGTAAAATATGACACATCAGGTTACATCTGTATATCATTCAGGCATACATGTACATATGATATAAAAGATGAGAAGAAACTAGACAATACCAATAACACATTACACTACCTAATGGCAACAGTTTACGTAAAACCATAAAAAACATCAATACTTTTGAAACAATCATTGCTCAAAATAAATTCTACAAAAAGATATCATCAGCTAGATTTTATCGCCAGAAATACTTACTGGCATCCTTCAGATGTGAAGTTGAAGAAGTTTTGACGGCATGAGTCACATTTTGTACCAGTAGTGCTGTTCTTACAGGGGCAGACCCCACTGAAGCTGTCACACTGAAGATCTGCAGAACCATTCACATTACATTTGCACTCAACACATCCCTGTCCAGTATGAAAACCATAGTAATTTGGATTACATCTGCTGCATGTTCTTGTTATGACTCCAGGTCTGCATGGGCATTGGCCAGTTACAGGGTCACAAACCAGATCTGATGATCCCGACTGGTTGCAATTACAAGCTGGAAAGAAACACAAGTACAGAAGGAGACATCAGTGATTCAGGAGTAGTGCAAAGGCACCTGCAGCCTTGTGGCTAGTTCTTCAAATTTGTTCATCATATACCATTTAAACATCTGCACCTTTGAGTTCAATGCCCTCTAATAAACAAATTTGTCTTCAGAGAAGAAATAAAATACCCAATATGAAACATCAGAATTCTTAAATCCACAACAGAGATCATGAAATGTTTAACAAACCAACTGTTACGGACAAAAATCCACTGAAACCTACTATTATTATATTTGGGAAGACATTAAGGATATCAAAACTGACTCAGAAGGCAGCAACATTTATGGCTGTCTAGTACTAAGACTTCAATTCATTTATTAATAGGCGGGGTCATTTCTTGGAATTGGTTCTATCGTATTTTTCGCTTTTTTCCAGAAAAATAGTCAGGGGTGATGCTTATGATAGCCAGAGGAAATCCCCAGCCTCAGCAGGCTTTAGTGACAGCACTGACTATTATGAACACAAGAAGGAAAACATTCCACTCATTTGTTACAACGAACTCTCCAAGACATATATATTAACCTATTTTATTACATACCTGTACATCCACTGTCTGAAAAGTTGAAGAAGCCTGGTAAACAACGGTCACATGAATGACCGGTAACCCCTGGCTTGCAGTGACACTGGCCTCCAAGCTGGGCACATGTTGTGCCATTCTCAGTTCCAGTGCTGTTACATGAACATGCTAAAAAAAACACACAGCAGACTTAAGTCAGAGACCAAGCTACAGTGGAACCTCAATTTAACAAACTTCTATACTTAAAACTAATTTCTTTGTATAACAAACGATATTCCTTGCCCCAGTAATTATAGTAAAATCTATAACCCCGATATAACATAACCTCTTATAGTTAACATATTTGGTCAGTCCCCTTAGCTGGCCCTTTGATATTTTTCGACGTTCCACTATAATAGGCAGTTAGCGTAACCAAGATGATGATAACAACAACAACAAAAAATAAACTTTGCATCTGCATCATACTATTTGAAATATTTCTTTGCTGACAATCACATCTCTCAATCAAAACCTCCCTAATGATTCAAAATTGTGTCAAGTGTTAGTCAACTAGGTGCAAAAATAAAGGGAAAACTCACCAACAGCACCATCAAACACCTCTGCCATCACAGAGAAAGTAACATTGTCACAAACATCAGGGCTTCTCTGTAAACCAGAAATGGTAGTAGAATTTGTCCAACAATTTTCAACCTGGTCAAATGCCATGCCATGAACTGAGCCAACACCTTTGGCAACATCATAAATCCTAACGTTTTTCACATTCGGTAGTAAAATCAATGAATCAATCTCTATAGTAGAGTTAGGGTACATCCCACGAACAAATGTCAAGTTCAAATGATATATCCATGCTTTATTAAAAGAGACAGTGTTTGATGATATCCAGGCTAATCCAACTCCACGAGAGAGATGTTCAATGGTAATACTGTATGTTTCATTACAGTCTGAGGAATTACATGACATTATGGACAGCTGCAGGGTTGTATTAGCTGCTTCAGCATTGGTATATCGGATCACTATGTAGAAGTCGCTAAAAATTGTGTTTGGGGTAACAGTGAAGGAAATAAATTGGTGCATTCCAATTCTTGCATAGCCTGTGCCTGTAAATTCTTGGTTTGCTCCAGTGAAATATGATGTTGACACAAAACTTCCCATGGCATCTTCAGCTTCATATAACAGATAGACCAATGAGGGAACAAAGTACCCCTCAAGAACCTCAGTGCACCGTTTACCAACAATGTTGCTTCTACAAAGACAAGTCCCTAAAGCAAATCAAAAAAATATATATATGAATAATTTGACTTTATTTACTAGGGTTAATACTAAACAGTTGAATTCAGGGTTTGAAAAAGGTCTCGTCCAGTAGTCCAAGATTGGTAGATTTTCTTGCTGCGCAAGTAACTTTTAAAGTTCACTTGCCCAATGGTCAAGCTGAGTCCAAGCTTGCAAGTCAATTGATTCTCTAACAAATCATTAACTAAGACACGTAATGGAATTCATGTCTTTTTATTAGCTCAACTAACGAAACTATGGCCCTGACTGGCGGGTTTAAAATACCGGTCACTTTTCAAGACAATGAGGCCAAAAAGAAAAAAAACTTTTGGAGCATTTGGCTAAGAAACAAGAAGTCATTATGCACTAAATAACAAATCAGTGAACTACTGAAAATTGTTTCATCATACAACATTTTTCAGCCTAATGAACCATACGATCGTTTCTGCCAGTAAATTAAAACAAATAGAACAAATAAAATTCAGAATACAAACCATTTATCTTTTCACAGATCTCCATTATGCTTCCACCATAGTCACAATCACACTGCTGACAATCAGAATCAACCATTGTTGGAAATGAGAAGAAACCATCTTTGCACTCAGAACATGTTCGTTGGTGTATATTGTTCTTACATGGACACTGGCCGGATTCCTGGTTACAGCTGAAGCTGCCATTCCTTGTACCATTACCGTTGCAGCTGCATTCTACAAAGGAAAACACAAAAGTTTAACAAACATATTAAATATACAGGACTGGTCCAAATGGGCCAAGATGAATTTATCAGTTGACAGAAAAATTTTTCGGGCCTCTAACTGTAAGTAACTACCGGTAGCTAAATGTTAGCAAAAATACAAGATTTGACCATTTGGTGGGGTGATCATTTTGTTGTTCAATTTTTTTTGTTTGCTTTAAAATTTATTTGCCTCTGTTCCAAACTTATTATCATACATTATAATTCCCCCCAAAAGGCAAAGAAATCGTAAACCAAGGATAAAAATGATCCAGAACATTGACTCTACAAAATGCTTCATTATCCAATTGAAAACAATAGACGGGAAGGCCACTAAATTAATACTTATTGCCCATATTTTATACAGCGAGATCTGCTTAACCTCTGAAAGGAGGACATTAAACTAAACTTACTGTTAGTAAATTAGGTGATTTGACTTTTACCTCGACAATCTCCTATAGGAGGTAGACTGAAGCCCCAAAAGGTATCTGCACAACCATCACACTGCCGACCAGTCACATTCTGCTTGCATTCGCACTGTCCTGTTGTTTGATTGCAAGTGCCATTATTTGTGATTCCATACATGAAGCAGTTACAGGCTGAAAAGATCAAACAGAGTGTGGGTTATTCTAATTAACAAAGGTATGAAAATAAAGCTTCACTAAGAGTTTTATCTTAAGGCTGGTTTTCACTAGTGGTGGAGTCAGAGTTGGAGTCGTAATCAGAAACGTAGAACTTTACCATCTAGTGAAAACAGTGTTCTGATTCTTCTGATTGCACTTATGACTCCGACATTTACAGTCAAGTGAAAACCGGGTCATTAGAGTCGCAAGCAGAAGCAGAAGAACTAAACTAATCACAAATTGTTTATTTTCTAGATTTAATATTACAAACTGTGATTTTTGAAACATCAAGAACAATAAAGTACACTTGTCTGACTACTTTAAAATCATAACGATTTAAATGCAGTTAAACCTACAATATGCCGTACAATCTACTTACGCAGGCAAACTTTAGGATCATCAAGGTTTTTACTCATGTTTCGATAAAACTTCTCTACACACTTTTCACAGAACAGCCCTGTTGTATTATGATAGCAGTCATCACAGACCCCATGTCCAAGGCTATCATTATAATGACAGCTATCAGCATGACGGTAACACTCACATTCTGCAAAAGAAAGTACAAGAAATGAGACGTGCTCATAATATTTTGGCTTGGAAAAAGGAAAGGAGAGGTGTGGAAATAAAGTTGCAAGACAGATTTCAAAAGCTTGCAATTCTTTAAGAAACCAAGGCATTTGAAACTGGTCTTTCAGTCAGCTGATTGGCAATGTATGAGAACTAGATGATGTTTATAGAAATAATTATTCCATGCTATTTTTTCTGGCCAGCCAAAAGGAAGACATGTTCAGGTCAAAAGATGCTAGACCTTGAATAGTTCTTATTCACAGACTGGAGAAAGACAAAATTTTCGTTCACTATGTTTCTTTTTGTTCTCTGTTTTGCCTATTACAGCTTATTGTGCAAGTGCCATGAACAACGGTAAACCGAAATTCCATTATCGTTAAGAATAAAAATTCATCTCCAATTGCCCTATGACACGTACATTTGTACTTCAGCACTAAATCGATAGTCATATGTCTACCAAAATAAACAAACTCGTTACTAGGTGAAAGATACATGTATTTCTATTTCCCTTTCGCTCGATTCTGGGTATAGGGTTTTCAGCGATTGTGACATTAACATAATATGTATTTGGCCGTTGAATTTTTAAAGGAACTTTTAAAGTAGTCTTTGCAATAATTAGCAACAACATCTCTACGTGTCAACGCAACTTAAATCTGCAGTAGTAACTGATATGTGTTCGAAAAAATTAATACAACGAGTCGATAGAATTCCCGCAAAAGTACTTTTTGCGTAAAGATTTCCGAATGTCAGAGATTTTGCCATCACAGACAGTTCATCTACGCGACATCTAGTGTTTGTAATGAAAATCCCGTGGGTTTTAACAACAAAAGCGAGAGCTTCATGTGGCGTCATTTAAACGATTTCAAAGGCAACATGCCCATTGAATAAACCGAAGCAGCTGACAGCAAATTTTTTTCTGCGAAAATTGACAGAGAGTTAGATAATACATACATCCAACAGCGCGATACACGAAATTGATTCAATCGCAGTAACGTGGCTGCTGAATCAAAGCCAATATTGAGGAAGTTAAGTGTTTCTTTGTTTTAATCAAACATGTAATTTAATGCACGCGGTAGATAACAGCAGTCATTTTGTCATGTCAGCCGATCTTCTCTACCAGGTTCAAAATTTAAGATTGCTTTCTAAGTGCCTACCTTCACATGGATTGGGTTCATTCTCCGAAGTAGCCGGGCTCCAAGTCTTGTTATTGAAAAGCGGTTTACACCTCTCGCAATCCTCGCCCTCTGTGTTGTGAATGCAGTCACAATCCTTGCCTTGAAAATTCGGGTAATCACAGTATTCTGCATGCCCGTGACACTGACAGCGAGCGTTCACCTTGAGATCTGCGATGGAGTAGTAATATTGATTAAATATCTCTTCTGTCTTTATATTCAGATTCTCTCGGCCTTCGGTACTGGGATGTAGCATTTGCACGCGAATGTCCGTGGCAGTAAAGTACTTTTGTAACGTCGCGTTCCAGAAGTGGCTTTTGGAGTACCTTCGCAAGAAATCAAATCGCACCTCGCCATTTTCTTGGGGGGTCAAATCACTGTAATCCTGAGTACAGTGTAAGCCGTAATTTCCAAGAGTTATGCTTTCTACTGGCGTATTCGAAACGTTGAAACGTTTCATGCAATCCTCTGCATAATACTGTAGAGGCGTCCATGTTTGCCCCTTGTCGTCAGACTTCAACAGAATCATTTCGATTGGACGCGGAGATTTAAACACAAGACGAATCTCTCCTGTCATGGCATAGCTCTTGTTAAAAGAAAGAGTCACATTAACCCTCAAAGGTTCTTCTGTCTTGTTGTTATTGTTGTACCATTCCCACCATGTTACGGATTGCCAGCTCGTGCTCAAAAAATCGTCCTTCATCTTGTCTACAGTATGTGTGGTGTTGGTGCACAAGAAACACTGGTTTAAGGGTTTAACACGGCAGTATGTGGCCGGTGGATTGCCACACGTACTTGTTGCAGTTATCGTGTTCTTGACTTGTCTAGCTGCGTTTACAGGCCCTGGAACACAAACTCCAGCAGCCGAACATTCGCCGGATACCTCCTCAGTGAAAAATGCCGCCACGATCGAACATATGATCGCGACGATCTGTGTCCTTGAAGTCATGCTACGTCCGATATCGAAACAGTTCGGGCGCGCCAGATATTTTACGAACGATGCTTTCCAAACTAACTCGATTTACGTTAACCAAATGGCTGCAATTGAGCATAAACACTGATAAATGGTTTGTAGTTCGTTGTGTGAGATGTAAAGAAAAAATGACGGATCGATTTGGTTGGCCGCCTTTTGTTGCACTCCAGTTGCTATGGATACATGATGCAGAAATAGGATGACCTAATTTTTGAAAAAAAACTGCTGTCATAACAGACATTAGACTCAGCTCAAGGAAATAGTTCTTTTATTTTGGCGATTTGATTTTTTTCTTTATAAAGATTACGTTTTTTTTTTCTCCAGAATTTTACAAAGTAGATAGGAAACGCGCACCGCTCTTGTGTGAGTGTGTTCGTTTTTCAGCCTACCCAGATCTACCCAGGGCGGACAATAAAAAGGCTGAACATTTCTATTGAACCTTTCCTTATTAAAACTTAGGATCTTGTCTATTTCCTTCCCTAAGATGTACAGAATTTGGGTTTTTCACTTTCACTCTCCAGATATGGCTGAGATTTGTGAGAATGTGACGGAAAGATGTATCAGAAAATCAGTCTCGCGCCGTTAAACCCAGCTGGGTTCGTACAGGTCATGGAAAACCTGGAAAGTCATGGAATTTAAGAATTTTATTTTCCAGTCCTGGGAAGTCAAGGAATTTAATGGTCGGTCCTTGAAAATCATGGAAAATTACAGTTTTGTTAGTACAGTAGTCTAGTTTTCACGACCTATTTTAGCTACAAAATGTAATTGTTGTATGTACGACCCCACCAAGGAGTAATTAAACAGCGCTAACCGCACTCGTTTTGTGGTGGATGGACACCAGAGTTTGTATCTGTTGAACTGTTTAAGGTAAAAAAAAAAATACTCGAATCTGTCGGGAGTTTGACTTATCGGGGGATAGGAGAGAATGACGGACAATTTGAAAGTAACAGAGCTCAGTTTCGTACGTACCATAACATCAAGGCACAATCGTTCTGTACTTCACTAATACACTCAATAAACAGTTTCTCGCGGATTGTGAGCTATCGTGGGTAAAGTCATAAAAAAATGACCTGAAGGAAAATACAATTGCTTCGAGTTCGGTGGGAGGTTCGAATTGGCGAGGATTAATTGACAGCAAAAGTATGGAGAAAATTCAGATCGAGTCAACTCAACTGCGAGTAACCAAGGGTTCGAGTTATCGGGCCGGTAACGTGCAGCAACTAAGATGTCCAAAACAATAACGAGAAAGCTATAAATAACGCCGAACAAATATAAATTTTATAGCGTAGTGTAAAGTACTTTTTTCGGGCCTCTTTCGTTTTTTTTTCTCGCTGATTCAATAGCTTTACTACCCTAAGTACCGAAGAGTTTCTTCTCGCGTGTGGCAGCCGGCAGGATGCTTCGGCCGCTTTTCGTGCCCTACACTCGCTATAAGACTTGACCAAACCCGAAAACCGCGCATGAAAAGTGTATATAACTTTACAGAATTGTGACTCTAAAAAGTACTATAAAAAAATTGTGAAACTGGAAAGGCCAGACGAAGTGTAATTCATGAGCCCACTGCTGTAAAAAATTGAGTCTTCCCGTGCTTGGGACACTAGCAATAGCGGCAGTTAGACCGAACGAAATCAGACAGGCACGCCAGACATCGTACTAAGGATTGTTTCTGATTACATAAAACCGAACAGCCAAGAATTAGTTAGACTAGTCCAAAATTAGATCAAGGAAAAACGCTCCCGGGCTAAATGAGTCTGAGGGACAATAATGTAGTAAACTAAGAAAGAGATTTTTGGGAAGAGTTTCCATAAAATTCAGAAAAGAAACTCCCTCGGCTTATAATTTTGAAAGGCCTTTACGTGGGGCTTATTTTTGGACGGGGGATTACAACTAGGCAATCTCTCCTCCTTTTTACCGTTAATTTGCACAGTTTCACCTTATTGCCGCGCGTGGCTTTTCGCTCCTACTGGTATTAAGCCGAAAGGTTGACCGCTCGCGGTCTATACAATAGGACGCGGTTTGGAGTTTGAGACAGTTCGGCCCGACAAGAGTATCTCTTCCCAATCAGCTGTGACTCTTAATAGTCTTGTCCTTTTCCCGGTCTCATGTAATCCCTCCATACTTTCCTTTCACACTTTTTACATAACTTTGAGTTTCACTGGTTCAGTACTGGTCGCAAGTGGTGCGATCCATTCAACCAAAGTTTCATGAAGTTTTGGTAGCCGATGGAACGCGACTTCGCTGGTCTGGTTTTAATCAAGTTTATTAGCGCCCAGGTTTATAACAGTGAATTACATCGAATCCATCCATTCAGTTTTGGACCTACAATTCTAGAAAGTTTGGTAGAATGGATCTAATCTTGCTCCCAGGGAAAAAAAGGGCTCAGTCGATTCGTCACATCGTCAAAATGCTGGGGCACAATCTTATCCATCCATCGCATGAAGCACGAAAACAGTTCAAAACTTTTATTTAGTGTCATTCAAATATCTTTTCAAGAAACTTTAAGTTAAGTCATTTGATTATGATCAAACTTATAAGGAAAAAACAGAAAACATCTCCCCATACGAATGCTTAGTATAAGATTATAGAAAGCTGTGCCCCCTTCCTCTCCACTGACCAAACTTTAACACAAACTTGTTAATTAGGGCAAAATGTTGAGTAGGCAGAGCTTCCAAAAATACTAACTCTACATGATAGTAATTTCAAGTTTAGTCATAGATAAGGCGAGGAAGACTTTGGCTCAAAGGAACCGGCTTGCGTAATTTAAGGGGCTGCCGTTTATATGCAGGGAAAAAGGTCCTTGCGCCAGGAAGATTTTAGAAGAAGGTGGATCATCCTAGCACCATATGTTTTCTGTATAATATTTCAGTTTAAATGGGTTGTACTTGTCCCTAGCGCTCCTAGCACCAGGTAAACTGCTTTCGCTGGGAAGATCCTAGTCCTAGGGACAGACTAGAAAGGCGGGGGTAGCTCAATAAAGGCCGACAATTATGTTTGGCGTTACGAATTTGTAAAGAACTGCCAGTTGCTGCTGAAAGGTTGTTAGTGACGTTAGTAAAGAGAGCAGAAGGGCCCAAATTACGTTTTTGTTATTGTTGCCCGCCATCTTTAATTCCTTCTGTATATGGTAACCTTATGGATCGAAATTTCTGCATGTAAACCCAACGTAAAGTTGTTCCTCGTTCTAGGTTCTTCCTGTGGTACTAGGATCTTTCTCCCTCCATGTAAACGCCCCTAATGTACTTTAAATTACTTTAAACGGGTCATAGTCGTTACAGCCGTTTTAACAAGTCCTTAAAAGCTTAAAAGCTCTCCCGATTTGAATTCAACCACCTCAAGCAAGCGACGGTGTCTTTCGCTAACCATACTAAAACAAGGATGAGTTTTATGTTTACATTTACGCCAACTTAAGGAGGAATTTGAAAAACAAGACAAGAAGTGCATACATTGTCATTTGCAAATTAAACTAAGTTAAGAACCTCCTTAGTGACTAACAATATGACTGTTCAGTTTGTTCTGAATTCTTGATGAGGATTATTGTCAAAGTAACGAGAAATGTTGGTTACAAAATGTGACTGGGCTAATTCGCGTTAAGAGTAGAAGAGTTTATTTAACACGGACTAACAGCAGGGAGAGACGCCAGTAATTTCCTTTTTTCGTTTAGATCAGTTTGAAGTTGTCCAATCCGGTCTTTGTACAATTTCAACTTTTCCTTCTGAAGTTGAATCTCTCTTCTTAGTTCTGCCAACTGTGGTCCGAGTTGTAACCCGTCGAATTGCTGTCTTGCTGAACTAACCTCACCCCTAAGGGTGGGCAGATTGACCACACTGACACGAGGCAAACTAGAGCTCTCATTCAGTAAGCGCCCGATAAGAGCACTCAGCCGCTGAGCGGTGCTATTTGCATCCACGGCTCGCCTCAGAAGGACTGCACTGTGGTTAGACGTATTAGAAGCCCTGGATGACAAGTTTTGGCAGAGTTTTTGCACTGGTTCTATTTCTCTGGCTACGAAGTTTTCCACGGTATTGTTAATCAAGTTCTTTGCGGAAGTTTCGTTCATTAGTTGGTTGGCAAGGTGATGAGCTTTCTCCACAACCTTTGTGACACAAGGAGTGAGCATTAGTCAGTACCCTTGTTGAGGTCACTAAGGAAAGTCACAAGTTGCTCCAATTCTCCTGAAAAGTTGCTCCACCTCCCCCAATTCAAAAAGGCTCAAAAGATGTTCGAACGTTTCTCCGAATTGTTAAATGTGGGCTTTTCTTTAACTAAGAGCACAGCCGGCCGCGCAACTACTGAGGATACCGGTTTTTAAGTTGCAAGTGTCCCAGCAATTTAGAAAGTAATTTATTTAAGTTGTTTCAAACCCTTCCGAGAACTAAAAGAAAGTCATCAATCCAGTATTTAGCTAGTATTTATTAGGCAAGGTTGAAACGTCGAACTTCTCATGTACCGAAATTAACAGTTCCCATTTGGGTCCACCCCAGTGATAAAAGTTCGACGTTTGACTCAGAAAATAAGTCAGACCCAATTTATAATCAAAATTTACACTGCTTTCCAGTCGAAATAAATTATAATAGTTTTTGCATTAGATTCGGCACATGAAAATTTCGAAGTTTGAAACGAAGTCGCACCAAAGTCGAAGTTCCCATGGGTTGATTCAAATTATATATGTCGGACTTAATTGATTCCAACGTCGATTTTTTCATGTACTTAATCGAAGGAAGTAGGTTTGGTACGTGAATGAAAAATTCGACGTTTAAACTGGGAACTTTTTTACAGTTTCCAAGATGTACAACCGTAGATTGATTATTAAGGGACCTACCTGTCGTTCGGAGTCAGTAAGATTCTTAACGATGTTTCCCAGGCGCGCAGCCTCTTCAGCAGTAAACAGAATGCTTACAGATGACTCGTTAACCGTAGATACTTCCTGTATTATTTGAAGAGTGACGTTTTGAATCAAGGCAACGCCTAACAGTGACCTATTAGCATAGGCCTTGGCCCGACGAGATTCATTTTGAAAATTGTTAGCCACGTTCAGCATTCTTTGCGCATGCCCATGTACGCGGTTTGCTCTGGATACAGCATCGCGGGCGGCAGTCAGCGCAGACTGGGAGAACTGATGTCCCTGTGTGCTGTTAGTAAGTACAGTACGTACATCGTTGCTCAAGTTTGCTGATCTTTCAACTGCCGCGTTGACTTGGGTAATCACAGTAGTGCTAGTTTCGTATAAACTACTGGTCTGATTAAAATACTCCGCTGCTAGATTTCTTGCATCCGCTGTTTCTTGTTTTAAATTGTGCAAAGCCTATGGAAAGGGTAATAAAAGAAGAATACTCAGTATAGAAACAGTACTCAGGGTTTTTTTTTTAAAAAAAAAAAATTCAGGGTTCAGTCACAGCTCAGAACAGCAAGTTAACACAACGTCAAACCAACAACAGCAACATATCATGTTAGCGGATCTTTAAATGATTCAAATTATTAGAAAGGCAATCACTTACACTGGTCCTGTCTGGGTTTGCTTGTCTTGCAGCATACATCACTTCTAAGCTGTCACTGTATGTTTTATGAGCCTTCGCTAATTTATCAGATACCATCGCCACTGTCTGTTCTCCTAAAACTTTCACTGCAGACGCGTTTTCATTCAGCGGTTCCAACAATGCAGAAACTTGCGCCTGGGTATCTGTGGCATTTCGCGCCATTTCGGCGGCAACATTTACCGTTTTAGCCGCGTACTCCACGCGAACCTGAATGGTCTTGTTAGCAGTAAGAGTGCGATTCGTTTCTTGTTTTATACTGCGTGTAAGCTCCTCCAGTTGTCCCGCGACAAGCGCGATGGACCTGGACAAGACTTTCACTTGGTCCAATTCCATTCTCATTGGAGTGCCCAACACGCGCGCCGCCTCCGTAATGACGTCACGAATCTCCGTCACAACTGTCTCAGTCTCTCTCCTGTTAGCTGTCACAATAGCTGTATAATGAAGTGTGTTGTTTATCGTGGTTGCTATAGTGTTATTAAGCCTTAAACTCAGATCGTCCACCGCTAAGGCAAACCGTATGCATTGAGATGTCGAGTTTCTCTCCGCCTCCAGAGCTGAGTTTATTGTTTGTGTGAGTTTGCTGACCTCAGCTACAAGCTGGCGCAGGCTTTCAACAAATGTCTGATTGTGAGGCATGGCGGGATGGTTGATGAGGGTCACTAGATGAGCGTGCATACCTTGGATCTTGCCACGCAGTGAATTCACGTCCTCTTGTATGGAAGAGTAACAGGGAGGGCACTCTAGATACAAACAGAAATAGTTTGTATCCGCTTGGCTATATCCGGTCTGATAACAAAACAAGGAGCTCGGCTAATACTACGAAGAAAAATTACTTCTGCAACACATCAGCACGACACGAAAATAACCCAAGAGTAGGGAAACACCCAAAGAAAGCTGTCGTTTTCGTCTTGATTTGGACCCATAATTAAAAATGAGGAATAAACAGCTGTCCTGGTTTGGTTCTATTTGCGCTACATAGATTAAACTTTCCACGTAGCCTCAGCCTCGCTCGGTCCTGTGATCGAGGTTGCCTGACTGCTTGTTATTACTAGCAGTAAATGTTTGGCTGATATTAGAGAGTTTTAGAATTATGTTTACGACGAACGACAAACGTTAGATTCAAAATGACGATTACCCCAATTAGGAAATGGGCAGATCGGATAAAAAGTGTACCAAATAATTCTTTAGGAGTGAACTTGACATGAAACGACTAATTTTGTAAACGACAAATAAAGGGAAAACTTGGCCGTCACGTGGCACAAATCAGCGTTTGCTCTTAGTTTGCCTAGGTCTTTGCCGTTAACGTGATTCTAAATCTCCCTTATGGGTGATACGTTGTGGTACACCAACAGCGTTTTCTTTTGTTGTTTTAAGTTGATGTGTTATTCTTTGGGCTTTGAATGGTCTGAGCTTTATTTCCGAGTTCCGACGTTCAAAACGAGGCTAATCGCAAAACCTTTCTGGTAAAAATGGCATTCATTTGCACTCTCTTGATTTGCATGAGAATTTAAAAAATTATTTTCATATCAATGACTTTGCACTCAGCCTCGTTTTGAAACAGAGGCTCAGGACAACCTGGAAATGGCCTAACACTACAATTCAGTTCAGGTTAAGGGACAGCGTCACCGAGATTTAATGACACGGAAGTGAAAATCCTTTAAGCGAGCATGGTCTTGTTCAAAGTAACCGACTATACCACAGTGAACTGTAATATAAAGTGGACATCCATCCAGAGGTCTGTGCGTTCAACAGAGGTACTATTCGCTAAATACAGGTTTGCTTTACTAAAAATAAGAAAAGGGAGGTATTGATTTTCTTTCGCTCATGTCCGCTTATTACTGAAAAAGTGTCCGCTTAATATAACTTTATAGGTCTCCCAGAACGGGTTGGAAAATAGCGGGCTAAATTAAAAAATGTAGGGCAGAAGTTTTTAAGATCGACAGCACTAATCCCTCAAAACTAATGGTTATGATTTGCTTAAACCTTGGAGAATGAGTTCACGTCTTTCTCTTGTGGTTCAAAGGTAGCAATTGTATTTTGACTAAAAAACAGAATAATTGCCCTCACACGGCCATTTAAATTCTAAACATAATTTTTACAGAGAATGTATGTGTTTACCTTCACACAGCCCAACTGAGTTATTCCAACTGTTTTCTCTGCACATGTCACAGCGCCTGCCGCCGATATTCGCTGTTGCGTTACACATACACTGTCCCGTCACTTGGTCACACAAGGTGCTATTACCAAGAGCGGTCCCGAGGGAGTAACAGTCACAAGCTGAGGAACAGAAATAAACGATAAATGTATCAGGATTCAATGTAGCCTTAGGTAAAAAAGAACAACAAAACAAACAAATATGTTGGTATTTTATCGCTAAAAAGGTGTACAGCGCTATTCTCTACTAGATAATAATTTATCCAGAGGATAACGCATAATGACAAAATCATGGCCAATCTTAAAAATATTAACTGATATCTCTCTCTCTCTATATATATATCTAGGTACCATTCATATCATAATTATTTCATTTTTTTGTCCTTTAATTAGTTTTTCTTTTTTGATTTAATGTGGAACCATATTGCGTATACGTTACTCTCTGTTTTGCAAAACTGTTACTTTGTTAATAGTTTTTTAAAACTTTTTTTGAAATCCGTAATATTAGGAACATGAGACTGACCTGCCTCGATTAGTTTAGCTACCTGCAGGTCAGTCGGATTGATTGTAAACAGTTGTTATATATAATAAATAAACTTGAATAAAACTTGAATAAACTTGAAACACAACCAAGTTGCACACGAGGCACAGCAGTCCACGCGAAAGGAGTTCAACTGGGAGTTGTGGCGTTAAACAAGTAGAAATGCTGAGCTGATACTTTTATACTTTTCTTAGCCTTTGACAATCGCAGAATAGCCCAAGTTCGTTATATTAAAATTCTACCATGAATCCGAGGCTTCAGGGACAAAATTGAAAATTTTTCACGACTCCATTGTCTTGCAATTCCCAGAAGAGACTTGAGCACAAAGAAAACCAAACCGAATATAGAAATATGACCAGAAAGACTCAGAGCAGCGTGCAAAGAAAGTCGTGTCCGATAGCCCGGGGCTACTGAATTTTGTTATCGGGCTAGTGACTTTTGTTGTTAATTTGCCCGATGGGCAAGTGCTGTTTTTGGGGAAATTTAAATTACAGAAGGATTGTAATCAATCCCGTTGATCAAAAAGGGTTTTGGGGCTAGTTGAAATGACTTGTGGGCTAGTTCATGCTAGCTACAGCTTGCCTGAATGGCAGGATGCAAAACTTACGAAGTCATGTTAGAATTCTAATATATTGAACGTGGGCTATTCACGTAGATGATGAGGCCTCGGAGAACTTGCTCAAAGGCTGCCAGGCTCTCGAAAGTCCCTATAACTATAACGGGTCCTGAAAGTTGTTGTTATTAGTTTACATTCAAGGTCGAGCCTTCGATATTTTGCAAATGATATGATAAAATTATCAGTCAACAAAACAAAAGGTTGTTAAGCTATGACCGGCGCTTTTATACTTTAGATTTTGATCTGAATAATAGTTTTCTGGGACGAAAAGTTACCGGGCCTTTCGAGAAACTGGTTCCAGGGCCGTTAGAAGGCGGGGTTCGGAGATGTTGATCTGTGTTTGTACCTTTACAACCACTCTCTGAGAGTCCCCAGTACCCAGGTTTACACCGTCTGCACTCGGGTCCCTGTACGTTGTTGGTACACAGCTCACAGTGGTTGCCATAAGTACCCACTTGGCAGTTGATACAAACACCAGTCTCGCTGTCACACTGGGTGCTCCTGTTATTACACGAACACAAAACACAACGGCCAAATGGACCACTTCCATTTACTTCACGAGTAAACCCTGAAAAGTAAGAGCCATAGCAATTTATAAGCAAATATTTACTTGTGAGATTTGGGCTTCAGAAACAAAAGGACGATACAAAGAAATTATCATAAGCAATTTTAAAAAAAATGGAAAAGCAGAAACGAATAAAGATAAAGAACCCAAAGAGACTCGGAAGTTTTATTAAGGGTCTTTTACCGGGGAACAGACGATTCTCACTTTATCTCCGCCAAACACACACTCCTTTCAAAAGACAAGGATGTTGAAACATACAGGGGTACAATGGAACCACTATATAACTAAGTACTCTGTATAACGAACAGCTTTTTTACCCCAGTAATAGTAAAATATATGAAAAAGAATCTAGATATAACGAAACCTTGTTATAGCGAACAAATTTTGCCAGTCCCTTCGCCCTTTAATATATCGAGGTTTCACTGTATAACAAAATTTTAATGTCCCATGAGTATGTTTTGAAAGACGGAAATCTCACTAACACGATCATCTTGTTAGTGAAGACCAACTGATCGTTATAACGAAGTTTGGCTTAATAAAGTAGTATTTCACAGTGGGCAAAGTGGGAGGCACTGGACCAGCCGCGAGAGCGAGTGACCTTGGAACGTGGTTCAGGCCTAAACGAACCTCTTTGTTTGAACAAAGACGAAAGGATCCAAATAAAGAAGGTGAGAGTTATTGTGCACTTTCAAACATTTTAGGCATCCTGCTGATGAACGGTTAATTACGACGATTAGATATTTACAGGAGAAACAATCGTCCATAGTCCGTCCTCTTCCAAAGATGAGACAAGTAGAGAGGTGGAGTGTGACGTCAGGTTACCATGGCAGCAAAATTTCTGGATCTCAATCATCTTTCTTGACAGAGACGGTCATTTGCATTGTCAAAAGATGGAATCAAAGTATGGGCTATCGTTTTGTTCCTGAGTGTAATCATGAAATTTATACACGTCAATTTTTTCGTTTTTTTTCCTGCCATATTTGCAGGGCCACTGTTTGTTGAGATATAGAAATTTTGCTACCATGGCAACGTGACGTAACGACTTCTATTATTCCAGTACCTTGTGCACACTGTTCACAAGACAGTCCTGTGTAGTTCACGTGACATGTCGCATTTTCCACAAATCCAACGCTCACTTCCCCAGGTGCGCCCTGAGCTTGCACAGCTGTTTCCATGGTAACTTCTTTGAACGTCACGCTTCCTTGCGGGAAGGGATAGTATGTGGCACGGATCTTAAACGACATCAGCTCGGCCAGAATGGACTGGAACTCCAGCGGCGACACGAGCGGCTCACTAACCACGTGAGTTTCATCCAGTATCACGTGATAGGATGTGACATTTGGTGAGGGAGAGGGTACAAAGTTTAAGGCCACTTCTCGCGCTCCATTTCCAAGGATGACGTCACCGCTAGCTGAAGGTGGCTTCTGGCCACTTCCAGGATCTCTTATTTCCATCTGCAAAAAGTTGGTTTGGATTGGGTGAATACACATATGAAGACAAGGCGCGCGATGCATCCCATGCCGAGGGCAGGCAACCAGAAACCTGTAGAGCTGCTGGAGCAGCTCACGATCAGGTCAATGAAAACAAAACTAGCATGCGAACATAGACGTCCCTCCTCGCTCTCCGCCGCTGGGGACGTTTCGCGGAAGAGACGTCGATTTGGGCCCAAAAAATTCCATTCTGATGACTAAAATCTATATATTAAGTACATACTTTGACGTTTAGGTGCTGACCATAAGATTTAAACTGTGCACCAAGAAATTTTGATGGCGCTGCTATGTAGACAACTGTTGGGGACGAAGGAGATGTAACAACCAGTCCACTGCTCGCAGAACTGGCAAATGGCACAACACCGCCTGTTCTGTTAACGACTACCCAGTTAAACACTGAAAAACACAACACTTCACATCAGTTACGAACACTAAACGTTAGCTTGGGTCCACGGTTCGACCAACACCGACCACTGTTACGTACCGTTCAGCTAAACTTCTTTTTCTGCACTGAACTGGTTTAACGGCAACAGCCCCTAGGCATGTTTACATCAGCCTCGTTTCGACAGTCTTTATATGCGAACCTGTACATAAATCAAAAGCCATGGGCTCCTTCATAAACGAATTCCCACGATAGTTGGAATACTCATGCACAACGGGTGCAAATGCAAAGAATTCTTGTCGAGGCTCATTGTTGAAACTTGCTCCTGTAACGTGAACACGCATGACAGCCATTACAACTGCGATGCTCCACGCAACCATGCAACCGCGCCTTTGCCGTACAAAATTTTAGACAGTTATAGCGTTCACACCGCGCCGGTCAAATTTGTCGAACAAAAATTTAGACGGTCATGGTTTTCACGTTGCTTTGGTTAAATTTTCGACCGTACCGGCTAAAATTTGACCTTGATTTTAGCGTTAGAATTTTCGAACGGCTAAGCGTTCAAATTTTCGTATGTTAGCTTGGTTCCCTGTGAACGTAACACCTTAATGCACGAATTTTCGGCCAGTGAAAAGTTCTTCCGGAACGGTGTGAAGTGGGCCTTTAGTGTTATTTTCGACCTTATGTAACAAGACAGTTAATCTGAAGACAGACTCCAAAACTCTGTGTTTCAGCACGCTAAAATTAATAAAATATAGTCCTATTTTCAAGCATAACAAAGGCTAAAAGAAATATGCATCGTTCAACAACAGCCATAATAACTGCCACAGAAATTGCACGAACGGGATATTTCTACAAATATACATGTTCACATCGATCGATCGATCTTGGCGTCCTACCGGGCGCATGCCATGAATCAATGTATTTTGCATCTTTGGGGATTTTTTTGTATCAGGGACGCAGGACGCAGAGGCAACAAAATCACTGTAGTTTCGATTTCACAAATCTGGCTAGATATATATTATAACAATAATGTAAGAGCTAAAGTACTAACTTTGATTAGCGCTTATTGCATCTTATAAATCTTCATCTGCTCTCTATAAATTAACCTTCACACCTACTGTCGTTCAAGAGCATTTCTCCTTGCTCTTTCTCAAAAGTAAGAAGATTTTTTTGAATTTATTATTGCAAAATACCTGTTTCATTTACAAACTGGCTTGTGATAGTTGATGCAACAAATCCAGTGGCAGATGAACAACTGATAGCACGAAAGTAGCCAAAACAGTGCAAGCATCCCTGATGGTTACCACTGTCCAAGTTAAATGTACCAGACTTACAAATGTCACAGTTAGAGCCCTCAACATTGCTCTTACAGCTACACTCGCCGGTGGTCATATGACAGGCTGAGCTTAACGATCCAGCGATTGAACATTGACAACCTACAAAGAATTCAAGTGAAATAAATAAATAAATAAATAAATAGCGTTTAAGAGGTAGCATATCCACATAGTGATTCTTCGCTTATCATTCCTGGTCGAATTGAACTTTGGAAATATTGGTTTTCGAGGAGAGGGGAAAACCGGAGTACCCGGAGAAAAACCTGTTGGAGCAAAGGAGAGAACGAACAACAAACGCAACCTACATATTGCGTGGAAGCCGAGATTCACATTTAGTAGATGGCGAGCGCTCTCACCACTGAGCCATCCATCGCTATTGCTATCAAGTATGAAAAAAAAAATTGAAAATGTGAGACCGAGCTAACTAGAGCTTTACAGACGAAATAGACCGAAGCAGAATGCCGGAGGAGATGAGAAAGGCTTTTAGGTCATGGGCCGAAGTTCAGTCTTTCTCATTTTTCGAATTTTTCAACACACTAAATGGCAAAACAGAAAGTTCCATCTCCCGCTACCGCAAGGCAGAAAATTTGGTAGGTGTTTATTTCAATTTGTAGCTAATCGGGGTTTTGAGTTTCCCAGGGAAAGGTTTCGCTGATTTCAATTTCGGACCTTGGATTTGGGAACAAATTTTCGCAGATCGATAATAGGCACCCTCTTTTCGGAACAAAGCAACAAGGGGTGGTTGTTTTCTTTAATTTCCCTTGTCCCTCTGACGCCGGAGTGCCGTGTCGCCTCAAATTTCTTTATGTTCCCTCCACCACCACATTTTCATTATTCCCCCACTCTTTATCATTTTTATTGTTTTCACTCCTCCTTCCGTGAAATGGAGTGCTGATCTCCTGTTAAAAGAAAAGGCAGCAAACCACCGACCTCTACAGCCACTGGCTTCGAAATAATAACGCCATTACTCGCCGAACCTTCAGTCTAGTTCGATCTCCCGGGCATCGCACCAAATTATGACTCCTAAAATACGGAAATCCCGCTTAAAACCTCCACGAAAGTGTCCTCTATCAACCCATCTTCGTCGCCACACGTTAAGTTCTGTACTTTTAATACGTAATCACCTCGACGCTACAGGATCTCCATCAACAGCAAAACCTGACACGGTTCTGGAGGCATCTCAACGCCCTAAACCGAGAGTGATGGTATTGTGGGATGTACTATAGGTATACTTCCGGTAACCTTAAACAACCGCTTTAACACACTACATCGTTATTTTGAAAGGCAATGCAAAATTTAGTGACTAAAATGATTGCCTGTTAAGCGTTTCGTTATATGTTTTGATAGCCATAGGCTTGCAGCTGATTTTAGAGGAAAACATTTCCTAAAAAAATTTAGATTGGATCTTATCTGTAGTGTATCAACCTTTTCTTCGTCTCATGCTGGTATATACCCTCTTTCTGTACAAGATTAGCCAGTACCCTATGATTGTTCAGGTCGTAATGTCACTAATGTCACACTGACGTATGACCAGATTTAGACAAAATTTGTTTTGTTTTTTTTTCCTTCTGCATATTTTCTATTTTATGTGGTTCATAAGATTTAGACTATAAAATATGCTGAAATACAGAATTCTCTTTTGACAGAAAATACTTCGCATTTTGTTTCAGTTTATTTACACAAGTGCTACGGGGCTTACACATTTTGCTTACACAAGTCTAAAGATGTTCCTTGTTAATGTTAACAAGGATGAAAAAAATGCCGGACATTATGATTATGATTTTGATCAATACAAACCTTACTATTACAATGAAGATTAAGATCATCATTGCCGTTTTCTGGAGATTCAGAAAAAAAAAAAAGAACTTGCCAAGAAAAATCTGGGCGGCAACTTCAAATTATCTACAGCATTCGCGGTATTTATTATTTTCATTATTCATTGAAAATATTTCTTTATTTCTGATTAGCTTAAATCCCCCGGCTATAACACCACTAGTGTTGACCAAATTTGGAATATGTTTGTCAATATCAGAACAGGTGACGTCTATTGTACTGATATCGTCAGAAAAATGGATAGCAGAGGGCACGGTAGCTCAGCTGTTTTGGCAGACCTGGAGAAAAAGGCGAAAGATTTCAATTGATGAATTTAATCCATTTTCCCCTCTGAAGTCATAATAACCAGACACGAAGAGAGCCGCGGAGAAGGACTAGTCGGGAACAACGAACCATTAATCGAGCAAGTCCACCCGGAAGAAATAGCCAAACTACCGCCTAACAACAAAGCAAGACGGGCTTAATACAGCTCGAAGCCGGGATGACAACTGCTATTTTAAGAATAGATGCTGGAATAATCTGCTGAAACTGCCCAGTAACAGGCAAATTTTATGAAGACGGGAACTCTATATAGATCGAAGAAAGCATGTTTTGAAGCTTAAAATATTTTCAGTGAATAATAAAACCAATTATTGGATTTTGCTTTTGTATGATATAAAGAATTACGCAGACCGCAGAGGGTGTTTATTTATTTATTTATTTTTTGTTTTATTTTAAACAATATTTAGTCAGGGGTGCCCAGTTCAGCGTTGCTGGTTTGAATGGGGCCCTGATGAAAAAGAAAAAACAGCAACACAAGACAAATAAAGATAAAAAATGGTACAACTAAGTAAATATAGCGAAAGTAAGGGAGACTCAATTATGCTTGGATCTAAAATACCCTTTTAGACCAAACGCAAACTTATCAATATCATGCTCGCTCCTCAGGTCCAGAGGAAGCGTGTTCCAGATCTTGGCTCCGCTGAACCTGAAGGAGCCCTGGAACTTGGTTGTCCTAGCAGTGTTGGCCAACCGAATGTGAGAGATATCTGCGGTGTCATCCACTCAGGCCGAATTCTTCATATCAAAGCTAGCTCCATCCAATAATTGCTAATTATTAAAATTACACTTAACTTTTCTTTGTACAAACGACGTCATACAGTACTAGCGTATGTATAACCTTGGGTTCAGCGTGCAATGGCTGACGTCAGAAATAGGGGCCCTAGTATAGTATTTAAATAATGCAATATACTTAGAGATACTGTGACTTCATAAATAAAATTATTTACAGTTTGTTTAAGTCACGGGTTCCTTTGGATCCTTTTAAAAACGTTTGGCTAACACTCGTGTAAATCTTCGCTGCTCTTGAGTAGCGTCAGTGTCCAGGCAAACTCCAGTTCTTCTTCGTCGCCCTTGATTTCCAGTAGCCTCACAAGGTTCATTTCGGCTTTGCTGGGGAAAAACGAACCTAATGCGGGACCAACGTTCACGTCCTTTTGACACGGGAGTTGAAATTACTGTGCCATTTCTCCTTCTGGCAAACTGCTGCGATGGTGGAGGCCTTGAATCACGATCAATCCGCTGAGTTGCCGCTTCTGATGGGTTATGGATTCCTTTTCCCCAAGCGGTCTTGGCTGAGCAAATGTAATCCCCATTAGGTTGGTTTTTTCCTGTGTCATAAATATGGTTGTGGGAATCATTTGATAGGTGTGTGCAAGGACTGTCATGATTACCAGTAGGCTGGTGTGAAAACCTTTGCCGATTCCCTGGTGTTCTCTTGGCTGGGCTGCTATTGGTGTCTGTCGTTGTTGACCGGTGTGAATGGGAAGGGCTTTTTGTTGGCTGTTTCAAGTGGTGCTGTTCATAGGTGTTCGCTGTTGTATCGACAGAGTCGCCATCTGTAACTTGTTCGATGGTATGAATAACCTGGACTGTCGGCTTGGTAGGTAGGGTAATGTTGGTGTGAGAAGCCTGATCTGCGTCCTTAATTTTGCCTTTGGCTCGGATGATAACGTCCGGGTCGACATGATTGCGCGTGTTTAACATGTCCGCTGTTTGACTAGCAGTGAAGGCTCGGGGCTGGTGTGAATAGCTTCGAATGATTTCTTTAGCTTTCAGTTTAGAAGGGTCTGGGCACCTAAACTCGTTTGAACATCCTTGAAGTACTCCTTGAGTTTGGAAATGCTGATGTGAATTTCTTTGAGGAGTGAACGGCCGGTGTGCTTGGTCAGGACTGATTCTTAGAGCCTTCATTTTCTCAGTAGGATAGCCTTGTGGACTTGATGACTAATGTGAATTTTTGTGGTGTCGCCTCGCTTGGTAGGATGGCATCCATTGTGAATAGTGTTGAAGAACTGGTTGACTATGATAGTGTGAACAATCCTTGCAGCATCCTAGTTCTTGCATTGGCGTCTTAGAACCTCGTCTGCCCTCAATTTGTGTTTTGTTCATTTGTTTGCACGTTGATGTGTACAATGGAATAGCATGACCATTATTGATTTCTTTGTAGATCACGAAAGGGCATTCTACCGACGCGCCGGCCCAAGAGCTTCTATTAGCCGCTGAAGCGATTAATTCCTCGCCTGATGAGCTGCCAGTGTCCCTATCCTTGTAGAACACCACGGTTGGTTTGTAATTTGAGAATCGTGGGCAGGATCTTGCTGCAACATGGCCAAACTTTCGCTTGACCTCATACGAAGGAGATCTGTGGGAGTAGAAGTCAAAAGAACGGTTTTGCGATGACCTTAATCGCATGCTCTGATCATTCCCGATGGCGGTGGCTTGGGCTGAAGGCACCTGGAATGTTGAAAGTCGTGTTTGTCTGTTGTCGTTTAGATCCCAGGCAGACTGTCGATTTCTCCTCATACTGCCATACAACTCAAAATCACTTTGTAACAAAGTTTTTAAAAAATGAATGCACAAGTTGAGAGTCACATTTATAGGCTGCATATTACATAACACAAACAAAAAAATCATGGTAAAATTGTTACATAACCGATGGGAACATTCTGGGCTGATTTCTGTTTACTTGCTTTCATTGTTATTCTTATAAGGGAATTTCCACTAGTGACGTCATTAACCTTTTATTTACATACATGCCGGCGCCGCCAAAAGAGGAGAGGACCAATGTTGTTTTCAGCCGTAATACCCTTTTTTAATTGGAATAACAATAAAAGCTACGAACACTCATCGTGCAATGATATTATCTGCAATCAGGCAGAAACTTAGTAACTGTCACTAACAAGAACAGTAAAAAAGCGTACTTTTATTGTTCACAGGATAAAAAGTTCTAGAAAACTGATGAGGATATCACTGAGTGAGAGTAGTGTACAGGGCTACACTAGGTAGTAACCAATCAGAGCGCAGCAAATTTTGTCTCGACCAATCAGAATCGAGTATTTCGCCCATGTGACTTATTGACGTCACAAATGCCCATATTTGGGCATGGTTATTCACGTGACCCCATGGAATAAAGAACACACGCACACAAGAGTTGAATCCACATTCTTCACATAGTTTTAATGACCGCGTAAAGCCCTGGGTACAAGCGGGACGTGTGTGACACCCTAATGACGTCACGCCCATTTTCACAAATCTAATAGCAGGTCGAGTTCGTCCCCAATCCTTTCGTAACCATAGGGATAACTGGATCGGGTGGTGACATTGATCACGCGCTTGTCAAACACCAACCCATACTGCTTCACGCGCGGAACCACTTGAATGCGTTTCTGTTCTAGATCTCGTTTGAAATAATAAGGGTTGGTAATGTTCAAATTACGTCGAGAATCCTGGGGCGATTCTAATTCGGAAAGAATGTTTTCTTTCATTGTCTGAAAATTGAGAATAGCCGATCCACGGACGTTGAGGGTGAAACCGCGTACCTTGCACACGACTTTGCCACCACGGGTCTGGTACCCATAATTCTTGGCGCCCCCCGAAACGAACTCGGTGATGATGTCACCGTCCAATTCATCCGTCATATCCCCGAGAAAATCTCCGGTGGCAATGCTGGGTTGACCGGGACGCCATTTATACACCACACTGTCTGTGTCATAATAGAGGACTTGCTGTTGAAGGGTGTCCAGGGACTCGTAGAGTTTGAGCCGAGCATGACAGGTGGTGAACGCTGCTATGAAAATATTGGTCTTGGTGCCTTTGACAGCATTGTCGTCGACGCTAGTGTAAACGGCCTCCAAGATGTCGTCAGTGCAAAGGCGGAGCGTACTGAGTTCGAGGGCAGCGTCGGAGACGAGATTGAACAAATCAGCAGGGTGTTGGACAGTGACGGTGGTGGGTTTGTTGATCCGCTCTCCGAATTTGCCCCAGAAACTGTTCAGCATGAGCTTGGCGGTGGCCTTGCGACCAGGGTTCTTCGCAATACTGGCAATATCCAATCGGATGCCTTCCCGTTCCTGGTAGCGAAGAATGTAGTTGCGTTTTTGCTCGAGGGTCTGACACCAGCTGGGCCATCCTGCAGATTCTTGTTTTAACTTGAGCCACGTGTTCACGTAATTGGCAAAAAGACCTGTTTGGCGTTGCTCAGGGGGAAAATGCCAGACTTCATGAATCTTGATCAGCGTGTACCCCTTTTCGACGGCTTTGACCAATTCGGGTGTGCACCAGGTACCGCGTAGCGTGCGATCCGCATCGGAATGAGGGCAATAGTGGGTTCGGGTTAACATGGGTTGGACCTGCTCGGTCTGAACACAAGCACGACAGAGAGGAAACGTGAGCTTGTTCCCGCTACGCACGGGTTGAACAGGATGGAATAAACCAGTGGGAGGAAGAATATCCACCGTGGCGACACCAAAATAGGACTCTAGGGACTGGTCGGCGGGTTGCGTGATGATCCGCGGATGCCCGATGGGATAGGGACAGTTCTTATTCACCCACGGGTACAGGGAGGTCACATCCACATAACGTATTTCCTCGCCTTCTTCAGCCACGGCATGCAGAGCCACCGCACCGGTTCGACCCCCAAAGAAGGCTTCACGGGGTTCTAGGGGTGCCACCAGATCGAAGGACGACAGGAAACGTTGGACGGTTTCATTCATGTCCACCTGTTGGTCCCATTCACACTCCCACATTTCGATGACCGTATAGCCTGCTCGGAGCAAAGCCGTGCGTTTGGCGAGCGTGGCTTGATAGAGTTCCTCCACAGTTCGATCCGGTGTGGCATAATGTTTGGCTTGTCTGTTGGGATAACAGCGGGGACAGCCATGATAGAGACATCCATGAAACTCGTAGACGGTACGAGTCACAGGATCGTAGCCATCCACAAAATGATTATTGGCGCTGGTTCGGATGGACTGTTCACCCCCATTACGGACGTGACGTATGCGGTCAGCACTGGCCCCTTCTTTGGGAAGGAGGTGTTCTTGGTAATAGAGCCATTGCAGGGCCTTGAGGGATTGGTTGACTTGGGCGCCTCGCCAACCCGCCAGCGGTTCCACAGCAATGGTGTCGGGGGTCAAATGATGCTTGCGCCAATACAAGTTGCAGGCACTGGCGATGGTGATACACTTGGCCATGGGATTGAAACCAGCCTGCTGTTCAAATTCTTGTTGAAAAGCTTCACACCCCGCTTTCAATAGAGCCACATCCGATTTGCAATACTCAATCATGTCTTGCTGGAAATTGAACATGACATTGCGACGGACTTGATCGGCATGCCAACGAGTCAGTTCGTCTTTCTTTTTGGCCATCATGCCGTCAGGATCGTAAAATTCCATATCGGGGATACGACCCACATACTGTTGGTGATCGGGGGTATTGAACAAGTGAGGAAAGAAGCCCTTCTTTAACTCAGTCAAATTGAAGGTGCTGGGAAAGGAGGCCAGCGGCATAGGCAAAAAACACAACGAGTCAATGAATTTGAGGGGTCCACTCTTGAACGACAACACTTTGGCCCCTACGGTCAGTTGATCCTCGACCACGCGTTGTTGCTGGTACAATTCATGGAGAATGAACATCCCATCGAAGCCTTTCAAATTATGAAACACCACGAGAATCTCCCGCTCGCCCTCACTGTCCGGCACGTCCGTGAGATCATCCAAATCACGCAAAAATTGTAGAGCACAGTCCTCCCCGTCCAATACATGAATGGTGGTTTCGGCACTGGATGAATAACATAACAAATTGGCCACAAACACCCCTTCCGCATTTTGCATGGCTTCAAAATCCGCGTAAACAAACAGGGGAGGGGGTGGCGCCACCATGCGACCTCCCCCCTCCTCTGTCGGTTCAGTCTCCTCTGGCTCTACCGCGGGCTGAATGTAACACTTATGGTCTTGGATAGGTACCCATTCCTGACACACAGAACATTTGGTGTACCCGCACTGATGACGTTGGTTGCGGATGACCGTGTATTGGGCTTGACATTTGAGACACGTTTTGATGGATTGACATTGTTTGCTGATTTCATGATAACGTTTGCATTGATGGCCGTAAAACTTGCAGTGACACAGACTGCAATACTCGGTGGGACGGGTACCCCGCACATAATCCGGACAATCAAAGCGTCCACAGGCAGAACAGCGTCTCCCTTGACAAGTATGATTGGTTCGATCGTTGGTGTTGAACCCTCGTTCACAGTCCAGGCAATAATACGAACGATTCACAAACGCGGGAAAAGACGTGCAGCCATCAAAATGATCGTTGGATTTCAGTAAACGAATCTGATGAGGGGCGTCAGGGCCTTTGAAGATTAAAAAGAACGGTTTCATCCGGGTCATCACCAAGAGTTGATAGTGAGACCCCAACGCTTGTTGAAATTGACGAAGCTCGGGGATGCCACAGGGACCCTCCGCGACACCTGCTTGCTGATGAAGGGCCTGGGCTTGACGTTGCTGCACAGGAAGCCCACGTTTGAGATTCTCCCAATCGTGAAATCCGTCCACGCCTTGATCTTTATGGCAATGGGCTCGCATGGTGACGATGGCGCGGGCGCAGCATAGGGTATCTCTGTTTTTGATGGTGACAATGCATTGCTTTTTCTTGTTGACTCGATCCAAACATAATCGTCCTACATTACGTTGTTTATGTCGACCAGACCCTGGGCCGGGCATGGAGACAAACACCACATCCACTTGGAACCCGCGATCGGGGTTGAAGGCTTCATTGCTGTTTAATTTCCCAGCCAGGGTAGCTAACATCTCATCCAAACGAGCGGTGCGTTGTAAAAATTCCCCCACGGTGAAATTGACCGTTTGATACGCGTGGGTGAACCCATGCGCTGTAATGGCAAAGTTCACAAAATGATGGGCAGGACGCTGCTCGCGGTCGAGTTCTGTTTCAATGGCTTGGTGTAATGCTTCCGTCAATGCCATCCCAATATTATCCCCAGGACCAGGATCCCTCAATTGACGCAATTGCGTGTTGAATTGCGCCCGCTCCACCACATTGCGCCAGCGGCGTCGTCGACCAATAGGTTGCATGGTGAATTGAAAGAGAGGGCCACGGGCGGCAGCAGCCCCTCCCAGTTGTTCCCATCGGTCATAAGCGCGGTTTAACAGAGCCTCCTCCTCCTCATCACTGTAGTCTTCCGCCATGACGGAGGAACACAATTTGAATTTCCCGCGCCAGACGCTGGCTTTTATAGACCCAAAAACACGTGATCAGATGAATAGGGATTGGTGGAGAGGGCTCAGGTGAGAGTCAAGTGAGGGGTTGATTTGACCGGTGGAGGATTGAGGGGGGTGCCCCCCATGGGTACAGAGTTCTCCAGTCTCCTCTGAGCCTGGACCGAGAGCGGTGATTGGCGGAGAGAGTCTTAGATATAGGCCAGTGTTCAGACCGGACGTCAGTTGCGTTCGAGAAATGCCTAACCGAGATCCAGAGAAAGTGAAAGAAGCTAAGAAGCGGTGGTACCTCAAACATAGAGAGAGGATTGTGACACAGAAGCGCGAGCGGCGGGCAGCGCAAAAAAAGCTCAAACCGCCCAAACCACCTAAACCGCCTCCAACCCAGGAACAGATTGCCAGAGCCCGTGAGTTGAATCGTCTAGCTTGCAACCGGTACCGTGCGAGCCACGCAGACCAAGTACGAGCAGTAAACCGGGCCTATTATCGTCGACACCGGGACCAAATTGTACAGCAACAACGGGACCGTCGTGCCCAGAACAAACAGATCTCGCCCAGTCCCTTCCGAAAGTTGCGAGCCTTGGCAGACGTGTGTGCCGCCAAACTATTAGAGTTGGACCATGGATACGCTAAGATCGCGCCAGCCCCCCAAGCCAAGGAAAAAACGGGACCCTGAAAGAAATAAAATTCAACAAAAAGCCTATCGGCAACGCTTGTATGCCAAACCCAACGGCATTGAGGAAGTGAAGGCCATGCACCGTCGCCGATATCACGAACGCATGGCCCGGTTAAAAGCCAATGGCGAATATGAGGCCTTTAAAGCCAAAAAGACCCAAGAGGGCATGCAACGGTACTATGGCATGACCGAGGAGAAGCGGGCGGAGGTCAAGCGCAAAAACAGTCGATGCCAAAGAAACTGGAGGCAGAAAATGAAAGACGAGGGGACATACCAGGCCTACCTACAGCGAACCAATGCGAAGCGGCGAAAGCAAGCAGCCGAGAAAAGAAAAGCGTTGGGTGAGGAAAGGTGGAAAGCGTTGCAAAGTGAACGATACAACAAGCGGATGGAAGCCATTCGCCGTCAACATTGGTCCTGGTTGGACGAGGCCTTGGAGCGTCCCTTTCCCCTCCCGTGGTTGCCTTTGGACTGGGCCGAGTCCGTCCCTGAAGAGGACAGGGTGCAAACCCTTCGCGCTGAGGCGTTGCAGAAAATGGACATGTACTTGTAAGAACAAAAATGAGTTTAATTAAAACATGTGTGTGATTCAACAATGTTGTCTTTTTTATGACTAAAGGGGGTTTTTACATGCCCAATCGGAGTTTAGCTTTCATAATGCGTCTCACAATGCGCTCTGTCAAGTTTTTGCTGCCAGGGAGTTGATCAATCTTGGCAATCATCTTGCGATCCGCGGCCCATTTGTCTTTCAAATTCTTGGCTTTATCATAGTCAATGTCATGGGCTTTAGCAATCCTGTCCAACCGGTTGATACCGGGATCCCCACGGGCCAAGCGTTTTTTCAAATGGGTGCCAGGTCCCATGTACTGATAACCGGGCCAATGAAATTCAATGCCGGTCTTGTTGAGGAGGTTCTGCACATCAAATAACTTGCCGCCACGTTGCGACCGTCGTCGTGGTCGCCGGGGTCGGGAACGGGATGCCGTACGGCGTCTACGAGTCCGTCCCATCTTACGGGGTTTTCCACGATTTCCAATCCAAGACTTTCTTGGCTGCCTCTTTGGCTTTCTTTTTGGCCACTTCTTTGGCTTTTTGTCTGAGTTTGCGCTTGATTGCTAAGGAGGGGCTGTCCCAAGGTGTCGGGCCCGCGTCCTCTGAAAAGGGCAACTCTTTGGCCAACTCAGCACTAGTCAATGGGGTGGTAAACTTGAGTTTCTTTTTGGCACTGGGCGTGATCTTGGGTTTAGGCGGGACAGGCGGTTTTCTGGGTCCACCAGTCGGGGTGCCTTGTTTTATACCCCGGGTGGCCTTGACTAATTGCGTGAACCAGGCTTGCATGGGACCCGCCTCAAAATCATCCTCGTCGCCCGGCGTCGTGGCCCCTGCAGCACTCACACCCCCCGTCGCAGCTCCAAACGGTTGACGCACTTTTTTGGTCCAATGGCGTAATTGACGGCTGACGGCTTTGAGTTGAGGCCGTTTCCAAGCATCGGGGGCCTCACTGGTCAGGAGCACATGTTGCTTGGCCGCTAAATCAGCGGCTTTGGTCAATCGGGTATCTTCCACCAATTCTTGTTTGTACTGGTCTCGTAATTGTAAAAACGCCGGGGCGTTGTTCACCGTGGTGCTCACCATCTCGGGTTCCATGGTGCAACTGAAGGGACTTGTCTAGCGCATGCAACGTTTATAACATCGGTAGAGTTCCGGCCAGAGGGCACCTCCTTTTTGAGCCATCATGATAGCGCGTCGTCGTTTGACAGAATGAGCGGGTTTGGCCATAGCGCGTAAACTCTGAGCGTGGGGTTTGAGCAACGTGATAGTGTGTCGGGAACGGGGCACGGTGCCACGGAGAGTGTTCATCACCAATTCACTGACCGCATTGATCTGATCCGCATTGGCCATCCGCAATAATTCTTGTCGTTTGTGTTGATTGGCTTCTTGTAAGACACTTTTTAAGAACGGGGCTTGACGTTCCATGCGCCACCCCATGATGAATCTTGAGTTCAGGCAACGACCAAGGTCTATTTATGGTAAAAATGGCACCACACCGACCACACAATTCGCCATGATAATGCGTTTGCATGTGAGTTCGACACTGGGCACACAAGGCCGCTTCATACTGGTCGTCCCAATCCAACGCAAACGTGACGGCTTTTCGTTTAGGGCGTCGGTTAGTCCGGGCGTCGAAGGCGGATTCTGGGTTTGAATTTCCGGAGATACAAAGGCGAGAGAGCCATTGCCAACAGCGGTAGCCGAGCGCCACGTTGGAGTCCACGTCGGCGGCGTCGTTTTCGAGGGACATAACGGTGTCGTCGCCCGTTGGGTCCACGGACCATCGTTCAATGAACCCCTGTTTAGGCCCACGAAGGTCTTTTTATACGTTTTTTTACATGATCGAACAATTAAACGATTCCCCCGCATATTTTTTCCGTTTGCCTGAAGCCACTTCGCGTCGACGTTTTTCACCAATGGCGATAGCACGCTTGGTTTGATGATCCCCAATGGCTTTGGTGATCCCATACCCAGCTTTCATGATGCCTATAGGCAGGCCGACCCCGACACCCCCCACTTGACTCACACGTCGTCGTCGTTTGGCGGACCGTCGTCGAGTCGTGGAGCGTTTGCGTTTGCGTCTCATGACGAGTCCTTTTGAGAGCAGAACGCTTTGAGCCTCTTTTTTTATACATTTTCACATCAAGCTGCATCCACCCACTTTTTTGGCATACCCTTTCTTGACCAACCACTTGTTGTACGAGTCCTTAGTACCACTGGCGCGATACTGGCGTTTGTAGTTGGCCACTCGTCGTTTGTCGGACTGTACGTCGGCCTTGGACGGGATCTTCCACATACCCGGGTGTGTCAACAACTTGAAGCCTTTTTTGATATCCACGACGAACGGTGCCTTCCCACCCTTGATCCTCCGTCGACGTGATAATCGTCGAGTCGTGGTGCGTTTGCGTTTCCGAGCTATTGCGTGTCCACAACGGCCACACATTTTGGGACGGTGACAGAGAGACCCCTGTTTTTATATCCTTTTTTTCTGTTTACGCAGACCTGTGACCACGTCCACGGGCTCGGCCACGCCACGGCCCGTCCTCGGCGTGGGGGTCGTGGACGGACGTCGGCGGGTGGGCGTCTGGCCCGAACCGAGGGGCGTCCACCCTCTTCCGTGGGCCGTGGTGACGGTATTGGTATGCGTGATGTTACGGATGCGTCGACCTCGAGCCCGTTCTTGAGCATCTTCATTGAGCAAATCCAACCGTCGCCTTAAGCCTCGCCCTCGATCGTCGTCATCGTCATCTTCGTCCTCGGACGGAGGGGACGAATCAGGGGACGGTGGGGAGGGTACACGGGGACGTCGTCGCGGTTGTTTGGCGGCCACGGTGGGGCGTCCCGTGGGGGTCGTCACCGTGGAGGTGGTGGTCCTGGTGCCTGCCCCTGCACTGCGGCGAGAGGTGGAGGGGCGTGAAGGGGCGGTGGTGGTTGTGGCGGTGGTGGCAGGGCGTGTTCGGGTAGAGGTGACGGGTCGTGGTCGACTGGTGGTGGTCGTGGTGGTGGTGGGGCGTGTTCGGGTCGAGGTGGTGGGACGGGTTTGGGTGGCCGTGGTGGTAGCGGGTGGTGGCAGTGCCGTAGTGGTAGCGGCGGTGGTGGTGGTGGGGGCCGTGCCGGTGCCTGCCACGGGTGGTAACGTGAAGGCATTCAAGGCATCGTCCACATTGACCGGGTAGGTCAAATTAAAATCCTCAATCTCTTGATCCAATTGGGCACGATCCACCGGTCGAGTTAATTCGGTCACCATGTCCGTCATACTGCTGAGATCCCGAAGGACCGATGGGGAGCCCACGCCAGCAGGCGAGAGGGTGGGTGGGTCCATGCGGGCGGCTAACTCAGTATGTTGTCCGCCTTCTCTTTGCCGGCGGACCCTGGCGAGTTCTCGTTGCAGTTCGTTGTCGAACGGTAGGGACATCCGCACGCAAAGTGTGGACTTGGGCTTTGCCTTCTCGGGGCGTTAAATGACTCCACAGGCGGTAGCGATCATCCGACGCAGGATGCACATCCAACATCAAATAGCCAAAGGGACGGGCCGTGATGCGTTTAAATAGGCGCAAGACTTGACGCCACCGATCTGGAAAGGCTTGCAATAAAATGGTGCGTATCCCTGTTTGATCCCGAGGGTTTTTGAACGCCACAATGTAATGCGCGTTGCGATTAATGGTCTTGGAAAATTTACCGGGCGGGAATAAATCTTGTGTCAAATACAGCACCGTAATATTGCGATGATGCGAATCTTTGGTGAATAAATCCAACACGCGCTTGTCTTGTCCCCCTTCTTCCATCAGGTCGTCCAAGACCAGCACCCCGCCGCCGGTCCGACCAAACCATTGCGTCAAATGACGGGGGTCCGGTAACCCGCGATGAAACTGAATCCCATCTTTTTTTTGCATACGCTCGAACCGGGGTTGCCAACGATCATAGGCATACACAATCTTGCGGGGTTTGACTTGAAAGACGTTGAGGTACCGTAACCATTGTTCCACCAATTCACTCTTGCCACTGCCCGACGGGCCCGCGATAATCACACTACTGGGTTGACGGATCATGATTCCCACGGTCGAGGGTGACGTCGATAATGACCGGTGGCCCCTTTGGCACCCATGCGTTTATACCGTTTGTCGCGTCCCAATTTATCCCCGATTTTATAGGCTTTGGCCAACACGCTCATGATCCCGCGTCCGTTTTGGCGAAAGCAGGGTCGTCGGGTGCGCCGTCGTGGTTGTCGTCGTTGTCTGGGCATGCTGTCCAATAGTCGCGGTAGAGTCGTGGCGATTCACACTGAATCAGACGTTCCATGGTCTCTCTTAAATACGTTTCGCTCATACTGTCCATGTACTTTTTAAGGGAGACCCAGTCTTGGTCTTGCGCCAATTGTCGTGCCACTAACCAATGATACCCATCCCACGCGTCAATGCCTCGCACGGTGTTGACCCACTCGATGGGGTGTTCCCACCAATACAAAGTTTCTTCGAGAATGAACGCATCCACCACGCGCTGCACATCGCTTCGCGTAATCATGATGAGAGACAATGACCACTCTTTCACTACACATCTCGTTTTATGGGTTTTTTATTTTAACACTCACAATGATGACAAGTGATAAAGGCCTGACGGCTCACATTCTTTTGCCCCCCTTCAGGTCGGGCATCGACTTCATCTTGTAATTCCTGTTTAATCACCCGTTTTAACTGGTCGGCCACTTTGTGATCATTCAACACTAAATTGTCGCAACTCCATTGACTCAAAAATTCTTGATACGACCGTCCTTGCGCACGGGCTTTCAAGAAAAATAAAGCATAATGACCGCAGGTTTGGCTATCCAGGGCTTGCAAGGTCTGGTCACTGCGCGTCAAGTACTTCCATTGACTCCACCATTGGTGCAACTCGGGGTTGGTGTACACGTGCAGGGGTAGACCATAACTGTCGAAGACCTCGCACTGGTTCTTTTCGGTCCACAGGCCCAACCAATGCTGGCCCGGTTCTCCCGCCGGATCGGTGTTGACAATGTACGCTTGACGAACATTCATGTTGGGGGATCGGGGGAGCTGGTCGGCGGGGTGCACCCCATGAAACACGCGTCGTAAGGTGGGATCCTCTAGGGCCAGGGTCCGCAACACAGTATCACTAAGCGCCACAAACTCCATGACCGGTGTCTTCTGACTTCTGAGGTGACTTTAGCCGTTGATGTTGTACTTTATACCTCCCATATGATTGATCTCATACATATTTTCATACTCGCTCCATACCAATATGGTGACGTTGTGTCCCACTGCCGCGGCAAAATCAATGATCAATCGCGTATTGCCTGATTGGCGGGGGTTGCGATACTGAGGGCTGTCCAGTCAATTGCAGGGTTCTGTAAGGGTATTCTTCTCCATTCAAGGTCTGTCGTACTTGGGTGACACCAAACTTTTCAAAGGCAAAAGGGTATCTTTGTAGGTCTCCATTGAAGGTGTTGGAATGCAATAACCCCACCATCACTCGGTCAGGAAATCGACCCACAAACACATTGTCTTGTTCCCACTGGGTGGTGCGTCCATCAAAGGAAAACGTGCGAATTTCGCTCCGCACGACGGGGTAGCGGGCAATTTGTTTGCCCAGCTGTCTTTCTTTCTGCAGTCTGACATAGACACTGGCATTCAAGGTCACTTTTCTCATCAACAAGGTGACTTTGATGTCATCATTATGGATGGCTGGAAATTTCTTGGTGGTCAAGGTGCCTTTGTTGGGGGTACCCATCAGGTAGACGGTGTTGGGGTTGAGGAAGAGCTCAATGTCCATTTGGATATTAGGGACCAACAATTTGCCTGTCCTGAGGGGTGGCAAATGGGGACGCACGATGAAGGTGTGCCAATGTTCATCTGTCAATCGGCTGGTCAGGGCTCGCAATTCTGTATTCCCACTCCAATTCGCATTGGTGGGGACATCCGAATTGGCGGCTGTGGCTCCCATTTCTGCAATCACATTGAGCTGATTGACCCATCCTTGGGGGGCTAACTTGGTGGCTCCTTCTTCTCGGCTGTAATTCAGCAGGGTTTCTAGGTAGGCTCTGTAATGGTAGGTGTTGCTCTGTTCTGTCATGAGGACGCCATTCATGCTCAGGGTGATGTCTCGAAAGATGGTGTGACCGAAATTGTTGACGCAGTAGACATGTCTGCTTTCGTTGGCATTGGAAATGAGCAGACCAGCATCCAGTCCTGTATACCCAGTGGCTGGATTGGTCAGGCGCACTTTGACTTTGAATCGGAGGGAATTGGTGTCGTAATAATCGTCGGAGCCTGGAATGGAGAAGGTGATGGGTTGGATGCCCGTCAAGGCGGGTTGAAACTCCACTTCCCGAGAGGCTTCGTACCGATAATCCACATCAGGCACGTCAAAGAGTTGGAGCGACATGCTGCAAACTGTCCAGGTGGTTCAACGGCGTCCTCTTTTTATACCTTTTCGTAGTCTGTACCAATCATGGATGGGATGCGCGGCGGGAAAGGGGCGGTGCGGAAAATCGATTTGGATGCGTTTTTTCAACTGGCTGAAGAGATTGCCCCCTTTCTGCTTCCGGGCTTTGGCTTGATTGGCCCACAACACTTTTCTGAGATCCCCTTTGCCCAACCACGTGCCCCCTTTCATACGTTGCTTCAGCCAGCGTTCCATCCTGGCTTTTTCTCGGTCGGCCATGAGGACCTTCATGGGATCCTGACTCATACGCATGCGAGTGGACGTGCCAAAAATCGTGCCCCCTTTCATACGGCGTCGAGCCATGGTCCTTGCCCATTCGTTGGGGTCTTCCGGGTGCATAGAAGGGAACCTCAAAGGATTTTGACGCCTGCGGGTGGACTTGCCAAAAATCGTGCCCCCTTTCATGCGACGCAGGGCTTGCTTCACCCTCCAGGGTTCGGGGTTGATCCGATGCGTCGTGTGCATCAAGGGATAGCGCGCCATGGTCGACTTGCCAAAGATCGTGCCCCCCACTTGATACGGTGAAATGAACCGTCCACGGGCACGTTGCCGTCGAATACGATTTTGTGATTTGAGAAAACCTCCTACACGTACCATTTTTTCACAGTCCAAAGATATCCCGTACGCGTTGCGTGGCTCTTTTATAGGTATTTTGGGCGGTCCGTTTGACTTTGTGTTTGCCCGCCGTCCAAGCCATGGCAGGGGCTTTGCGTTTCAATCCACGTTTGAGTTGGGCACTTCGATCCGCCCAGGTGGCCGCGGCACTCTTGCCACGTTGAATATCTTGCAATCCCGCTTGAGCTTGTTGCACGATCAGGGGTCCCGCCAGTTTGATCAAATCTTCGGCCAAGCCTTTGCCCTCTTGCTTGGTGAGGACGGGCATGTGGTACCGCGTTAAACTACCTCCGCGCATGGTTCACGTCGTGGTGCTTTTTGGACCCTCCAGAGACGTGGAGTGACTTTTTATAGCTTTTTGAGACCAATGGTCACCAGGGTTTTGCCCGGGGGTAAAATGGCCAGGGGTCCACTGGTACTGGCAATCTCTACTTCTAAGATATCCAGTTGATTTCCTCGGAGTTTGATCCATTGGTGGTGCAAGGGTTCAGCTGTACTTTCCCCATCCCCTGTTCTCAACAATTGCACTTCCCGTAACAGGGGATACTTGCCACTGCCCACCACGGTGGATTCGACCAGATCCGAATAGACCATGACCGTACGTTTGCGAGTCCCCACGATCTTTTCAAATGAGGCATCTAGGTTATTCAACTGCCATTCCACTATCAAGGACAATTGCAAAAACTTCACACCCTTATGTGTCCGAACTTGCAAGGGATCATGTTCAATATCGCTGACAATATTGCCAAACAGTAAGACGGGATTGACGGCCTCGTAATTCACACCTTCCCAGTTGTAGGGCGAGCGATTGGAGTTCCCTTTAGGTGGAGTGTCCGAATCGTACGTCTTGGTGGGCAGCGTGTATTGCAAATTGGGCCCTAGGTAATACTTTGTCGCGTTGTTGACTGTCTTTTCCTCCACCAACCCAAACTTGAGCGCAATGTCCAGGTTGATGAAAAAATCAGTGATGGCTTTCTTGTCTGTTTTAAGCAAATCCATGACGGGAAGGGCCTTGATCACCAAGGCACCTTTTTTCCAGGTCAGTCGGGGCATGGCGTTTTGTTTGGCACTGACAATAGGTCTTTGGTCAGGTTCCGTGACCAGCCACCGCATTTGTTCCGCCATCACATTGTGCATCATTTTGTTGTGCATTTCTTGCATCACGCGTTTCCAAAACTGACTCCCCGTCGCCACGATTTGACTCGCATTCATGATCTCTTCCAATTCCAACACGCAGTCCACGGTTTTCACCTCGGCGAATCGGTACATCCCCGTCACCCACTTGCGGATCACATAGTTCATTTTGAATTTGATCACTTCGGTATGAGGATCCGCGGCGATGATGGCATTGCTCTGGCCTTGGTCCGGGACGGTCAGGGACATCAACGAGGCATGCCAGCCTTCGCCTGGTAAGGACATTCGTTCGGGCAGACGGACCTTGAAACTGTTGTTGGCATTGTTGGGAAACTCGTCGGTGGCATCGCTGATGAGTGTCAAGCGTTTAATCTCACTCATGATGAACAAGAGGCACGTCCCCAAGGGTGCAGGGTCCTTTTATAGCCACTGGTCCACTTTCTGTTTACTGCGAGGGACACGTCCCACCAACGAATTGAAGGTCGATTGTTTGGGATGAAAACACACTTGATGAGCAATGTTGGGAAAAGCCCGGGCCAGTTCCATCAGGGTCATGCAGGTCTTTTGTTTAGGGGGTTTCTTCTTGCGCATAGGTGGATGACGTCCAGCGCGTCGGCGTTGTTGTTTTTTCTTGGGTGGGGACCGTAAGGCCCCTCGTTTCTTGGCATACTCTTCGGCTCGATGGTAGGCATTGGCGTAGGCCCATTGCTGCTTGGTAGGGCTGGCCAACTTTTCCCACCACGGCTGAGTTTGCCGTTGTTCAGCCGCTTTCTTCTGGATGAATTTCATAATGTCGGCGTCCGTGGTGGGAGAGGGCGTGTAACTGGCCCGCGGTCGACTGGAATCCGCCAGAACTTCATCGAGAAACCGCACCCGCTTTTTTCTTTTTCGAGGTGTTATTTTGACGCGGACCATGTTGCGCAGGAATCCAACTATCGTACTTGGCCGGCCACCCTTTCCACCGGACCAAGATTTGACGACCTTGGCGTTTCAAGACTTTTTCGATTCGAAATAACGAATCGTCCGACACTTGGACTTTTTGGACATCGGGTTCGTAAAACGTGCCTTTTATAGGCGTGCCGTCCCATTCACTGAGTCGATAGGTGACCACAGGATGACGACGCACGTGCGTGACCACAAACACTTCCTCTGTCCACCCCGGCAAATACCCTTTTTTGAAGGGGCGATGTTTCTTGTTGAGACGCACTCGATCACCCACGCGACATTTAGGCGGGGGGATCTTTGGCTTCAACCGTGCTCCATAGAGTCGATCCCATACCTCGGACTCGTTTCGAAAGGTGACTTGATGCGGCGCTAACCCAATACTGCGATGATACGCGTGATTGTATGTATGAATCAAGGGTTGCAACACGTCCACGTACCGCAACGTATTGTGCGCCGTAAAATATCGGTACATCCGTTGTTTCAAGGTGCGATGCCATCGTTCCACTACCGAGGCCTTGCTATCTCCATACGTGTTGAAAAAATGCCAGTCGTGTTTCTTGAACCAGGCTTGGACCTTTCGATTCAAAAATTCTTGGCCTTGATCTGTTTGTACGCGGAGGGGTCGTCGTGGTGAGGCCCGTCGGCGTATCGCGTCCAACCCTTTGATCATGTTGGTGGCACTCTTTGATTTGATGGGGACGGCCCAGGCATACTTGGACAAGACGTCGATGACCGTCAACAAATATTTGTTCCCTTGGTTCCATCGACTGAGTTTTTGCATATCCACTAAATCCATCTGCCATTGTTCGTCTCGGCCAAAGACCAATGTGGGTGTGGTGGGAAACCGGGTTCGTCGGGGTTTGTGGAGCGTATAGCTCAACACGGATTGAAGAATGCGTTGCGCTTGCGGGGTTTTCAATTTATGGGCTCGGGCAAAGGGTTGGACCCCACCCAAAGCCCCAGGTTCTTGGGGATCTTCGTAAGCGCGTGGCAACGACATCAAGACACTGACACAGGATTCGAGCCCAATTCTGTCTTTAATAGTTTTTTTCACACACCTTACATGATTTCAAAACAAACACGAGCTCCCAAAGTTCTTATGGAAATGGCGTCTTCTCTCAAACGCGTTCCCCTGGGCTTTGACAGACTCGCCAAACTGTTTCATCCACGGATCATACTTTATCTTTTCTATCACGGGGTTTGGCTTCTCTCTATGGTACATCTCTACATGGTGCATTCCCCAGGGTCGGGGTTTCTCCATCTCTGGGCTTTTCAAAAGAGGGAGGGACTCTTTGACCCAACGTCTCAGGGTCGGTTGCGCTTGCTCTCGGGGACACCACAGGGGACCATGGAGCCATTGAAAGTAACCACAGGGTTCGGCATGGGTGAGAAAGCTCCCACAACTGAAAAACACTTTCTGGTAATTCTTGGCCGTGCGACTCAATTTCATCTTGGGGACAAACCCACACTTGCACTTGAGCTCTCCGCGTTTGACTCGGGCCTGGACTTGAGGATGTGTGTCGTTTTTCAAGGCCTCCATCATCACCTCTCGCGTGTCTTCAAACAAATAGACGGGACACCCTTCTTGGGGACACTTGAATCTTAAGGGTCCAAAACTGGCTCGGGCGTTGACACATTCCAGGAATCGCTGGGGATGAAACGGGCACGTTTCATACAGGAGTTGGTTGAACTGGGTGTCCATCTCGTCCAGGACTTCCCATTCCCCCACTTCTGTGGCTGGATCCGAGTGAAACGTCCCTTCCTCTACACATTCTTCTTTATAATCTTTCAGGGTGCCTTCTATCAATTCGTTCACGGATTGGTCGGTGGGGGAAGGTGTGGGCACGGGCGTCGGGTTATCTGCTTTGGGCAAGGCGTTGAGAGCGATCACCAGTTCACTGGTTGGGGGTTGTTTGGCTTTCATCTCTAAGAGTTCAGCTCGTGACAAACCGAGCTCGGCCATCTCCTGATCATGATCCGCTTTCATCTGTAGGGCTCGCGCTTGGGCTTCCTCCTCTTGTTTTTGTTTCTTACTGACGCGACGTCGTTTGCGTCCCGAAGGCACCGCGGCAGGTTGAGTGGCTTGACGATCCATCTGGACGAATGACTTCAAGGGAGCGTCTGGTCGGCCTTTTATAGCCCTCCCTCCTGCCTCACATGATGCCTCTCGTGATGCTCATACGATCTTTTCTCCACCAATCCGGACTCTGCTTGGGCTCTCGTGAGGGTGGTGTGATTTGTAGGTCCACCAATCAGCAACCATCCCAGGGATTATAAAACCCGCGAGGCGTCCAAGACCCCTCTCATTCGTCGCGGTCCAATTGAAACGGTAAGCATGGCGCTCCATCAAGTGGGACTCTTGGTGTACAGTCAGGGGTTTGCCCTTTCCCGAGACGAGTATATTATTCGAGAACTGGCGTTTTGCGATTGGACGGGACATCATCATGGGTTGATCAAATACCTGTTACCCCCAGGCGCGTCGTACCATCAATTATCCAAGGAGGCTCGAACGCGTGTCGATCGTCAAACCCAGACGGTGCATGGATTGCCCTTTGACCCCTTTTTGCCGGTTCATAACTGCCAACACTTTCATCCCTACCATCAGCTCCACGACGATATCACCGATTGGTGTCAACAGCATCTCACCCCCCAGCGGAATCGAATCGGGGTCTACACGCTCAATGGACTGGCTAAACTGTTGCAAGAGCCCCGGTATTCATACCCCCTTGTGGTCTTGGAAGGGCAGGGGTGTGGGGACTTGGCCAATCTTCCTATTGCCACGGCCAATGTCATGGCTCACAACAATCATGGTCACAATTGGTGCATGGATCATTCTCATGGGGAACGTGGGAGTGGTGTTTGGCACGATCATTGTGCCCATGTGAGGGTCTGTCAAATGAGTGGATGGCTCCGTCGCCAGACCCATGTCTTACCCACCCATTCGCAAGTCAACGCCCAACGCGTGCTGTGGCAAAAACGGTGCGATCGATTATTAGACTATTTGTTATGCAACCATTGTACCGAGGAAAAAGATAAAGCGTTTGCTAACGGTCAAGGCCTGGATTGGATCCCGGATAATTGCAGTGATTGTCGTAGCGTCTCACATGTCTTTGAACAAACCGTGACCCATCGGGAATGGGATGTACCCCTGATGTACGCCGATGATGAACCGCACACCATGTGGGCTTGGACTCCTATCTCTCGTCTTCACAAACGCTGACTTTTTTTTCTTCATTTTTTCACAGAGCATGCTCATTTACACAGGCGGAGCGAAAGGCGTGGACACGCATGCAGAGCGATTATGTCACTTGTATGGTCATACGTGTGTGGTCTTGATCCCACCCTGTCACCCACGATCCAGGTCCCTCACGCCCTTGACCCAGGCCCAGTTGGATGCGGCTACCTCGATGGTCACCCAAGTGGCGTTTCGATTGGGACGACAAATCCATCATCCCATCAGCCTCCAGTATATCCAACGCAATTATCACGTGATCCAGCCTGCATCCCTCGTCCTGGCCTTGGGTCATTTTGACGAATGTGGCAAGCATTTGTTGGGGGGGACAGGCTGGAGTGTGGTCATGGCCCAGCAATTAGGCAAACCCCTCTATGTGTTTGATGTGGATAAGGAACAATGGTATTGGTGGAATCCCCACACCCAAGAGTATCAAGTCTGTGACGGCATGACCGAGACCCACATCGCGTTACCCACCCTCCAAGACAAGACGGCGATTGTCGGCACCCGAGAAGAAGACCCCGTCCTCTATCCCACCCTGGAAGCTTTATTCAAACGCCAATAAAAACACTGCTCTAGAAAAAAATCGCTTGTTTTAATGTACATCAATCACAATAAAATTCATAGCTGACATGGTTTCAATGATCAAATCTAGTCGTTTCATCACTTTGTCTATGGTATCATAGGCGCGCTTTCTCCGGCCAATCATCACGGGGCGCTGACCGATGGGACACTTGGGGATCTGATGCACGAAGCGGTTGATGACAAACGCAATCCCCTCATTCATCACCTTGTCCAGATCGGGAGGGACCCGGGCCATCTCCGCCATCATACCAATCTGAAAAAAAACGTGTCTCAGTATCCAGGTCATGAGAAGAAGAAGGGGTCTTGAGAAAAAAAAATCACTCACCGACAACCGGTGATCCATCATACGATGGCAATGGTGGCACCCATTTCTCCGTTGGGCATGCAGTCGCACCACCACTTGGTTCCACCACCGACCTTCTCCTAGATGTTGTGGCAAGCCTGTCAGATCGCATTTGGGCAACCCCTTAAACTCCTGCACCACCTTCTTTCTCTTGTCCATGGTATAGAAACAATGGACCCAAAACATGATTTTCACTTGCACTTCTAAAGGCAGCACGCGGCCAAACGGTTTGTTCTTGGGATCCACGAGTCCTCGGCAGTCCATGATGATAATAGCGTCAAGCATGGAATGGGGTCTCTTCACGCTGTTCCGCCTTATTCATGGGTTCCTTGGACCAATCACCCACTCGCGCCAGGACTTGGGGTTCCACCCAAAAAAGTGTACCCATGGGGGGCACCCCCTAGAGTCTCCTCTCATGGTCAAACTCCCCCACGTGATATCTCTCCACCAATCAGCGCCGTTGATGGAGTCTCTAAATCCCGTTGCGCGCTCCGTGAGAGCTCATTCCAGTTTGATCAGTGTGGCTGTTCAAGATGGTGAGTTCGCTCCAGTCGATCGTGTTATTTTCCGTGCCAATTGCTGTTCTGATTGACATGCTCAAGATTTTACACCACCTACCGATGGGCCATGAGTTGTTCCGCGCCTTGTTCCGTCGCTGTACGCACGAAGAATTGCGGAATTGGGCCAAAACGTTCCCGTGGGACCACCCGATCGCCAGAAAATTGGACCACGAAGTGCATCGCCGCCGTATGGCTGGTGAGTTTTATGACTTTTCATTTTTTTGGGGGGTGTGGGTCCCTTTTTTCCTTATACCTTTTTCGATTTTTCATAGAGGTATTCAAGGGGTTCGAGTTTCTACGCACTGTGCTGTGGCCTGTCCACCTATGTCTTTGCCCTCGACGTGCCAGACTCAATTGGGCCGCGCGGTTCTGGGTTCCAAACTGTTCGTGTTGATTTTTTTTGTCAGATTCTTGGGAGTATGTAGAGAGCCAACCCGTTTGTCATATTTACCAGTGGGTAGCCCATCCCACCCCTGGCGGAGTGTGTAACCATTGCGAGCGCATGATGGATGGATTCAGGCTGGATGACCTGATTGCAGGCCTCAGGGTGGGGTCCCTCACTGAAGATGAGATTGTGGAGTATGTGCAGAGTGGGGACCCCAACGAACGGGAATGGGACGATTGGCCATTAAGAATGACGTTTAGGATTAATTCGTTTTTACGGGAGCAGGGTGATGTCGGTGAACCCGATTTGGCTGCCCTGGGTTTTTTAGATGATTAATTTTAATTTTCAAACATTTTTTCAGGCACGCATTGCCTCTTACGTCATCATTTGCAATGGATTCCGAGTTTGCACTCCCGATTTTTTCGCATCTTGATTCGTCCCTTTTCCACCTCATTGTAGGCTTTCATTACACGTTGAAACACTATGGAGGATGGGTACGAACCGTTCAATTGAGATGCAACTATAGCACTGTCAAATGCATAATCGAACTTCATAAAATATTTCAGATGTAAATGAGGCCATCAATGAGTGGGGGTGGATCCTCTCCTTGCAACACCATTACCATATTCATAGTGTTCGACAATTCACTCAATTCTGCAATGGCACTGCTTTTTAGACTTGCATAGGCACATCAAGAACAGTCGCTGGTTCCGAGACCGCGTGGCTTTTTTACTCATGAAGACAGAGCATTATTATTAATTTTTTTCGTAGATTCGCATACCATTCTCAGCACCCACAGGGTTCATGGCACTTCTGCGGCGTGGTGTTTTTGTAATAGTGTCGTGCAGTGGTACACCGGACCAGGGGTCCTTCTTCCACCGTTTCCAAGACCCATCAAATTACTTTGTTGTCGTTGCTTTTTAAACTTTCGTTATGTGCGCGATTTACACGTGCCCTGTTATTGGTGTGAGATGATGCAAGGGATGGGCTATCCACCCCGTGATTGAAAAAAACCTGTTTTTTTTGTTTCAGATACTCGTTTTGTCCTACGAGCTATTTATATCCCTTGCCTTTTTCAGCCACTTCCCAGATAATCACCAGTCATACCAGATACACCCACAGTTATCTGATGAAACAGTTATACTTTGTGTGTAATCGCTGTTGGACGTATTCAAGGCACGTGGCCGTCCTCCATGAACCCTGTTGGGGTTGCCATATCTTAGAAAGCACGGGATGGGATTTCTGAATGTTCATTCTCATTGGTCTCCCTTCCCTTTTTTCAGACACCCACCAATTGATAGAGACTCACACCAGGGATAATGTACGAAATGTAGCAGGACGATTATATTTTGTTTGCCGACATTGTTGGCTTTATTTACGTAATGTATTCACTCTCCATGAACCCTGTCGGGGATGTGCCATCTTAGAAAGCATGGGATGGGAATTCTGAACACCCAGCAGGGGGAGGTCTGCATGGTGGCGCCACCCCTGTTGGATGTTCATTCTTATTTTTTCATTAGAATCCCATTGGATCATTGACCATGCCATGATTTTTCGAGGCTGGCCCATCCCTCATCAACTTTGTATCGTTCTTCATTAGACTCTCATTGGATTATTCAAGATATTATGATTTTTCGAAGCTGGCCCATCCCTCATAAACTTTGTATTGTCAATCATCAAGGATGGTCCAGTTTTCTCCATTTGTTCAAACTAAAACGTTGATTTTTTTTATTAGTATGTCATTGGTTCCTTGATGCTCAAACTAAGACGTTGATTTTTTATTAGCATGTCAATGGATCCTAGACCATTTTGACTATAATCAAGACTGGATTTTGATAGAATATTATTGTAAACAAACATTTCAAGGGCGTGACACCACCAGGGTGTCACACACGTCCCACATGTAATCAAGTCTTATTTTTCTCTTCCAGTCAATCATTGGACCATAAATCACCGCCTCGTGCGTGCCAATGGTCGACTCTATCTCATTCAGTTTGCTTCTTGGATCTAACCACCCCTCCTTGCAATTCGTTTTTCAGACACCTTGGCTGCACTCCATTTTCCTTTGATCAAACCATGGTCATACTTAGGTTTCAACCATTATATTCCATGGCCTCATCCAGCACTCATGACTTTTTCTTCCAAGAGGCAAACACCCTTTCTTTTGTTCACTCATTAATATCAAGGGCGTGACGTCATTAGGGTGTCACACACGTCCCGCTTGTACCCAGGGCTTTACGCGGTCATTAAAACTATGTGAAGAATGTGGATTCAACTCTTGTGTGCGTGTGTTCTTTATTCCATGGGGTCACGTGAATAACCATGCCCAAATATGGGCATTTGTGACGTCAATAAGTCACATGGGCGAAATACTCGATTCTGATTGGTCGAGACAAAATTTGCTGCGCTCTGATTGGTTACTACCTAGTGTAGCCCTGTACACTACTAGTGAGAAGAGTTCATTTGCTTTCATTGTTATTCCAATAAGGGCGTTTTTTCTAATGACGACATTGGTCTTCTGCATACGTGCTAACGCCGCCAAAAGAAGAGAAGAAAGGGCTTTGATTATGTAACCAATGCACACTTCTATGTAACGTGACTATGACAATGGCAGTCATTCACTTGCCTCAATTCTTTGACCATAAAAATGTAACTATCAGGATCCCAATCGCTTTTTTTGGTGTAACAGTAGGGAAGGATCAATACATCGTATATTTTCCTTTAGAAACGTTACAAAAATGGGCACAGTGATACTTAACTGGTGAACCAGCCTCGTCGCCCTTTTTTCTTCTGCGTTTCCGAGTCAGTTCTTTTCAACTTTTTTTCACCTTTTCTTATCATTTGTTTACTGCTTTTTGAAATTAGCACATAATTCAAAGGATAAAGAAATGAGATTGATTGAGAAAGAGGTAAGAAGAAGGGAAAAAACTGAGGAAGAGCGAAATAATTGAATTGTGAAGAAGCAAAAAGAGGGAGGGCTACGTAAAAAATTGTGTTTCGTGTTAGAAAGAGCCAGTTTTCCTTCGCCCTTATTAAAATGTACGATTGTCACAACAAGAATCAATGAACAGGAACTGGAGCAATAGACCTTATTCACGATACCCACCATCTTTGCTTGCGCTAAAGCACTGATGGGATAAAAGCAATGTCACGTGGTTTCCCAGGGGGGCAAACAAGAGAAAACAAGAAATCACGGTCCATTTTCCATTTGTTTGACAATTAAAGCAGCAGAGAATAGAACTTGCATAATCACGTTATGGCTCAGTGATTTTAACTCAAAGGCGAGTTAGCGCTTATTGCTTTGACAAAATGAACCAACCAATGAATACCTTTGTTTCGTCAACCAATCGATCAAAAACCTGTCAGGCTGGTTAAACTTAATAAAATAGTACATAACCTTATCTTAATGAGATTCCACTGCATTTTATTCATGAGATAAAGACAAAAGGCCATGACATCATCGGCGTTAATATATCTCCCCCCCAAAAAAGGACCTAAAACATCCCTACTACGCTACTAACACGTGTAGTGTTTAAGTTATTTCATAACAAATCATATTCATGCACGGACGAGTAACAGTTTTTAAGTATGTGGCAAAAAAACCGCTTTTTTGGAAGCTATGCAGCAGAGATGATCTCTCTCATTATATCTCGATCACTCATCCTTTTAAGCAATGATCCGGGTAAGGTGGATAGCAATTTCTTTTGTTATGCGGCAACGGTGCTTTCCCATATAGGAATATTCTCATTTTTACACAGAGAATGCATAAACCTACATGAAGGCCGTTTACTCCATAAAATGCATTTACACTCCACTTTGAAAGGGTGTTTTTTTATGTTAAAAGATTTTGACCAATCACAAGAGTTGAAAACAATAGCCAAGAAAAGTTTACAATTTTACATGTTCCCCACATAGGATTTCTTTGTTATTCAAACTGAGACCAGATTTTGTTATATGGAAGATGGTTGGAAAGTGAGGATGAATATACGTACCGCTTTATGAAGTTTTGTTAACTTTTGCTGTTTAAGCCAATCAGAAGTAAGCACAGACAATAGAAAAGTTAGCACCTTTTTTGCATTCCAACATGTTCGTTGCCGTTGTTGCTATCGTTCTTATCTGGACCGTTTCTTAATGGTTGATGATACTTGACTAAGAGAAGAAAGACATTGGCCGTTTTTATTCTAGAGGACGCATTATCCGTCTGGACGAACTTGGCCAAACATTTGTAGTTCGTCTGGTTATGCGTCTCAAGTATAAAGACGGGCACGAGACGTATTATGCGTCCAGACGAACTACCTTTCGTAGACACAAGACGCATTTTGCGTCAGGTCGAACTTTCCTTCGAAATCCGTCTTGAACGACGCACTACGAAAGGTAGTTCGTCTGGACGCATAATACGTCTCGTGCCCGTCTTTATACTTGAGACGCATAACCCAGACGAAGTACAAAATGTTTGCCCAGGTTCGTCCAGACGGATAACGCGTCCTTAGAATAAAAACGGCCATTGCGTGCAAGGCAATATCTAAGCGACAATCGTGAGAAACAAGATGAACAAAACTATTTATAAATTTAATAGGGTTTTCTTTGTCATATTAACTTACGCTTGCATCCAGCAGCAGAGAATCCATAAAAGCCAACATCACATGAGTCACAAGTTCGTCCCACCACACCAGGAAGACAGGGACACTGTCCGCCATATGCTGTACAAAGGGATCCTGCCACTGTACCCACTGGATCACAGCCACAAGCTACAAACACAATAAAACAACTTTATCGCTATCACCAAGTGATGGTGTTTGCATGGGTTTGAAAAAAAAAATTCGTGCGGACAGTTCTCAAAACACGTGAATTTACCTCTGGGATGACTTGTAAATGAGTTAGTAAATGAGTTACAGTATCTCGTATATTCATTATTTCATATTCATCTTTCCTGGGTATCTTACGAACCAATTTAATGACCAGCTCCCAGTTGGCCTGCTAGCTTAATTGGTTAGAGCAAAGCACTGGTATCGCAGAGGTCAGGGTTCGAATCCTGGCAAGCCTAAATTTTCCAGCTTTCTTTTTGCAGCTGTAAAAGTTGTGAATGGGCCATCTGCACGATGGCATTGTTTTACTTCTATGACCAGAATCCTTTTCGTTTTACCATTCCTAATTGAATTTGGTAATCTCAGTTAGGTTTAAACAACAAAAGCCGGAATTTGGACTAGCCTGCGTAAACAAACGTCCCCATCGACGAAGAGCGAGAAGAAACGGATGTTTTCGCAGGCTAAATTTGCACAAGAAAGCAAAACCCTGAAGGATTCTGGTAGTAGTAGTAAAATGACGTCATCGTGAAAATGGCTCATTACACTGTGATGATCTTCTCTGCACTTATTTCTTCATCCCGAAGTTCAAATACATGAAAGTCATATTAAGTATAGAAAATTCCAAAACTCAGAGCAAAATTTAAAGAAATTTGTCCGAACTACTTGAACTTCATCAGCAGTTGTTACATATCCCCAAGAGAGGATTGTAAATTGCTGGTAGGTCCAATAATTCATCCCAATCCACTTCACAACGCTCATAAAGTTTGAGCCATTTGGATGGAATATTCTTTTTTTGTCTCAAATTTTGCTCTTGAGTTTTGGAATTTTCTATACTAAGTGTCCTCGCCAGAGCAGGTAAAACCTTTTTGGTAATGCAAGTCATATATTCATCATTTCAGAGTTATTTCAGGCTGTCTAGAACCACCACGAAAACATGTTAAAGTGAACACTGATACCATCGCAGCCTACAGAGCTGTAAAATATAATGTTACTGAAGAAAAAAGAACTATAAATTTTGATTCTTTTGCGAGAACGTTTATCACTGTCTACGTTACAATAACACTGCTCACGTAAGGTCCCATTGTAAATCTCTGTGCTGACAGAAAACACCAGTCCCTGACACTGAGCTGGTTCGGACTGTGCTTGTGAGAGAGACGTTTTTGCTCGCACACAACTCTGAAGTTGATTCTGAGTTTCCTCACTGGACCCTGTGTAAACCCTTGTAATGTTGACATCAGGAATGAACACTAGTGAATCCACAAGAACAGAACAGTTGCCACTGCTGTCAGAAGCATTGTAAGTCAGCGTTAAGTTATAAACTTCATCTGAAAACAACTGAAGAGTGCTGCGTGATTGTAAGGCCTGTCCAGACCCCTGTGGTAGCTGATCCAAAAAGATAGTGAACTCTGAACTGTCATTAGAAGACAAGGGGTTAACAATTAAGACGAGCTTTGATGGAGAACCAAAAAAGCAGCTCTCCCTGAGGCTGTATCTAATAACAGCGTGATACTCGTGACTGGCCAGGGTCATGTCAGCAACACTTGTGTGAGCAAATTGTCCAGGATAAAGTATGGCAAAGCCACTGCCAGTGAAAGATATTCTGCTACCTTCAGAGGGAGTAAAGGCAGTGAATGTGCCGTTCATGTCTTCTACTTCGAACTTCATGAAGTCCAGTGAAGGGAAGAATCGCCCTTGTTCAGATCTTTGACACTGGCTTCCTTCAACACCAACACGACAAGTGCAAGATCCTAGTTTTAAAAAAACAACAACAACAACAACAGAGATCCACCAAGAAATATAAAAAAATTTACAAAGATTTATTTGAAGCTGGGTAGGTTGCCAAACATAACGATGGGCAAGTATCTGACATTATAAAAAGAATGCTACCAAACTATGACAAAAACTAACAGTCCCAAAATGAAAAAAAAAAATGTTGTCGGGAAGTAAAGGGAAGGGTGAAATAAGGGCATTCGATCTTCCAGCGGGGTTAAATAAAGTTGGAAAAAAGGTTCGACTGTTTAACATACAGCATGAAAAATTTTGTCAGCTGAAGTAACTGACTCAGTTAAATAAGGTGGAAAAAAGGAAGTTTTACTAGTCCAGAAGCCATTTTAACTAGCTCTAAAAATAATTTTGATGGGCAGGATTGCAGATTACAGTTATTCTGTACTTTGAATTACTTAAAAAAACTTCACTTGCCCATTGGGCAAGTCAAGAAGAGAATTTATTAGCCCAAAAGCAAAATCAACTGGCCCCAGGATATCAGACATGACTTTCTTTGAATGCTATTAAAGAAAAGGAAAATTTCCACATCTTTGGTAAAATTATAGATTTTCACCAGATACGTGATATAGACCAAATTAAATGGTAATACAATAATGATACTTTTAATAACTGTTCGTTCTCTGAAGCAGGGTTTTTATTAAGAATTCTAAGTGGCAGGAGAAAGGTGTGATGTTACAGGAAAATATTTTGAAAGAGGCGCTCCACACCTGAATAGACAATAGTCATAGGCTATCCTATGTTAGCCAGAGAATTCTGCATATTAGTAAATGGAGAATTATCCTATCTCTGATGCCTAATGAACACCCTGCTGCAGGACCTGACATGTCCTTACCTGTAACTTTATTGCAGTGAGGATATGCCCCACCCAAATCACAGGGACACTGCAGACACTCTGTTGCCTCAGTTATTGGAAAGAAGTAAAAGCCGTCTTTGCACTCATCACAGTATCTGCCATGGATACTCGGTTTGCAAGGACAGGCACCTGTATACTGATCACACTGTATGGTGTTGTTTATTGTTCCTAGATTATTGCATCTACAAGCTAAAAAGGAAGAATAATATTGGTCAATATATGTAATTGGCAGGGTTCTCATTGCATGCTGGCAGCAGGCTAAGAAACAGACTACTTGGAGGTTTGAGCCATCTACTTTTGGGGGAACAGTAAATAGAGAAAGTGAATTTTTAAAAATATTCAGTTATTATTATTATTATTTATAATATTTTTAAAAAATTCATTTAAAAATAATTATTATTATTTCTTTTTTTCAAAATCAGTGAATCCTTCCTTGCACCAAGGACCTCTCATAAAACCATTCGATCAAAGCTTCAATAAAATAAATGTTAAAATAGATCTTTGGCAACTATTAATACTTGGCAACTTTTACAAAGGAGGTTATCTTACCTCTGCATTCCCCAGGTGGATGTAATCTGTAGCCCCAGTAGCCTGGGATGCACTGGTCACACTGCCGTCCAAACACCTTGTTCTTACATTGACACTGTCCAGCCTGTGCCATGGGCGTGGCCTCCTGGACACATGAACCATTATTTGTGATACCCTCGCGAAAACAGTTGCATGCTACAATGCAAAAAACATTGGTAAAACATGTTAAAAAGTTTTTATCTACCTGGTAAAATAGCGCTATCCACTGGATAATTGGTTTTATCTATCTGGATAGCGCTTTCCATCTTTTGAACAACCAGGGCCTGAAAGCTATCATATTTATTTATTTACTCATTTATTACATAATGGGCCTTATTCACATGGCAGCCATATTGTTTTGTTTTACCACCCTCAACCTCGGAGTGAAAAACTTGGGAGCGAGACCAGACAGGTAAAACAAAGCTACTTTAGTCTCTCGCGACTAAATGGCCACCGTGTGACAAAAGCCCATTACTATCATGTACAGTTGACTTCAGATGACTCAAACCCTCACTAACTCTAACCTTACGCTAACTCTAACCAAAATCGATTTCTCCTGGATTACCTTTATACATTTTCTGTAATTTTACCCTATGTAACTCGAACCATGTTTTTAATAAGCATGTGACAAGTTGATGAAGAAAGTGTACTGCAGTCTGAAACATTGAATATTTTTCAAATAACAGTCACGTTTGCTTTTTGTCAGTACAGTTTAAATACATGTGACAGTCCTGTCCTGTGTATTAATCAAGCTTTCAAGTGTGCATGATACTTGCATTCCTTCCCAATTTCATTTCTGTATTTCTCGTTATTTGCTTTGAACTCCAGCTAACTCAAACTTCTTTCGATTTTCCTATGAGGTTCAAGTTACTGAGAGTCGACTTTACATGTTGTAATGAACCTTGCCAGCAGGCAAAAACTCACAGCTTTCATATTGTAACATCGAACCACCTTCTTGCAGTTGGTTTTTGTGTGATTGTGTGACTGGACAATTTATAATTAAGATAATGTTTCATATAGTCATCCAGGGTTCAAAAAAACATTAATCCCAGCTTGTCCTTTGGGCAAGCAGCTCTCAGATTTTCCTTGTCTGGGTCCACTTCTTGCTTGTCTTAGTTAATAATTTAGTTAGAAGATGACTTGCTTGTCCCTTTGCCTATTGCACCAGTCAGCTTCAAATGTTCCTTGCCCAGAAAGAAAATCTACTTGTCCCAGAACACTGGATGGGACTTTTTTTGAGCCCTTCTACTTACCAATACAAGTATTTGGATGATCCAGTGACACAGTTGAATCCCTATAAAACATTGCTCGGCATTTTTCACAATGCTGTCCTTCAGTATTGTGCTGGCAACTAGTGCAAATTCCAAGGCCCGAAGTATCATTGTATTTGCAAGACAAACCATGCTTATTACACTGACACTCTAAACCAAATCAATACAAACACCATCATTCAAAAGATAATCAAACGCAACATACAATTTAAGGTAGTATACTTTCTAAGTCATACTCAAGATCCTGAATAAACACTGGATGTGGAAAAGGAAGTTAAAAACAACCACCCCCCCCCCCCCCCTGCCCACAGACATTATCTTGTGGTCTTAATAATAAAATACTTGGTATAAGGGGCCCGTAGGGAATGAAAAATGCCTTTGTAAAAAAAAGAACATAGGCCCAAGCAGGGTTGTCACTAAGATTTCAAGTTGCCAGGTAAATACAACAAGTAGGCGGGGAATCAAACGGCTAGGGATTTCTTTTGGTTCTATTTTTCTTCTATTTTCCAATAAAAGTAGCCGGGGGCCACTCTCTTAGTAGCCGGGGAAAATCCCCGGCCCCCGGCTCTTAGTGACAACCCTGCCCAAGTACATGGCACTTTCAAATAGAAGGACAAACAGCTCAAAGTTTGACATTATAAATAAATGTTATGTTGTCTAATTGAGAAAATTCAGTATTCTACCATCTGGTGACAATTTGGAAGAAAAACATACTGCTCTCAATCGAAGGTATAATATAAACCAAGTTCATTTTGCTCATGCAGACACTGTTCTTCTTATTGAATGATTGTGGCCATAATAATGCCTCACTTACAATGCCACTTCCTGGTTTTATTTATTTAATAGCATAAGCAAAGCATAGCCTGTGCTGCAGACATAATCTAACCTTGAACAGTAACCTAGCTGTCACTGAGATCCTTGTTCTAGGCCTCCAACAGACTCAATGAATTATCAGAAGTGCATTTTGAATTTCCCTTCAACCTGATAGGCAAATCAAATAATGGCTGCTTTTTTAACAGGCCAATCATGGCATGTGCTCAAATCCTGGTACACAGCTGCAGTGGGCCTAGAACAAGGATTTCGGCACTGTTTTGCAGACATTGAGGCATGTGTGGACAAGTGGTTAACACATTGAACTCTGGATCTGGAGGTCTGTGGTTCAAGCCTTGACTGTTGAGTTGTTTCCTTAGACAAGGAACTTTACTCCAATTGTCTCTCTTCACCCAGGTGTATAGGTACCGGCAACATACTGCTGGGGGTACCGCTGCAATGGAAGTAGCATCCTGTCCAGGGGGGAGTAGCAATACTCTTAGGCATGCTTCATGCTAAAGAAATCGGGATGAGATCTGGCTTTTTGGGCCTTTGGCTCGTGTGCACCTTACCTTTTACCTTTACAGTGCAGACAGACTTAGCCAAATCAGAGGTTTAGTTTCATCTGTGGCACAGGCTAGTAAAGCATTGCTCCCAGTAACAAAAGAATTGCACGACAACTGCCCTTCAAAATGTGCTGCAGAAAATTATATTACCCAAAGTAAGTGGTAAAACAGCAGTTTACCTGTAATGCTGAAAAATATAGCCTATCCCAAAAATGCAGTTATCAATTTTACTGTAAACACGATGTAAGATATCAGGAGTTGTACACAGATAAAAAGGTGAGCTTTTGATTTGGATGGGATAACTGCATGTTCTTCTAAATCTTGGCTTGAATATTCAAGCAGAGTTAAGCCTCTGCTTCTCTGTTAATGAAACCAGATCTTTGCAAGGTAAAAAGTACCCAGTTATAAAATGGCAATTTGTCTGAAAACAACCATGGAAATGTCTTGATGTAACTCTGTGCTTTTCATACCAATAAATCAGCAAGACCAATAATGATACTGCCCAGTAAAAATTGAAGGGCTGTATGCAAAAACGTGGCCTCCTCAAAAGAAAATGAGTGGGCCAGAGAACGTTTTGCTATGGCGCCCTTCACTAACAACGACGCTACAGTTTTACCTTGACACTCATTTGCATGGGTGGCATTCGCTGGCATCCACGGACGATTATTAAACATTGGCTCGCACAGTTCACAATCATTTCCAGCAGTGTTATGCTCACAATCACAAGTCTCTTGCATGCGAGGTCCAGTACAGTACTGTGCATGCCCATTACAGTTACACCGTCCCGTAATGACAACATCTGAAATAGCATAATAGTATTTGTTGAGGTTTTTTTCAATTGGAAATAAACTTCCAAGGCCATCGGTAAATGGTTTTTCCAGTCTGATGCGCACATTTGTTGCAAGCATGAAATTCTGGATATCTTGATTGAAGTAACCACATCCTGGTTCATATCTTGCATCAAACCTGTACTCCACTTTTCCATATCTGGGAGGGTACTGTCCACTATAATCTTCAGTGCACGTTGCATTAAATGGACTGTTTTTATCAATAGGAGCTGTTCCAAGCATGTTGTATGACTTAGAACAATCAAAAGCAAAATACTGCAAAACTCTCCATGTTTTTCCAAAGTCTTTAGACTTCTCCAAAAACATCTCAAGCGGCCTTTCATTGTAAAATCGCACTTTTATACCACCAGATATGTGAAACCTTCTGCCAAATGACAGTGTTATGTTAACTTTTAAAGAATCATCGTTTGTGGAGAGGCCTTGTAAATTTGTTTCCCACCAAGTTTGAGACTGCCACCATGTTACTTCTCTGAGTGAATAAGGAGTGTCAAATTCATTGTTAACCATGAATTCTGGTGGATGCCGTTTGGTAGTGCTGTTTGCATCACACTCAAAGCACTGACGTCCTGGCCCTAGCTCACAATATCCACCAGCAGGCTTGCCGCAGGTATTGCTAGAAGTGATGTTTCGCTTAAATGCCATGTTGGTTGGTGCAGCCATGCATGGTCGCGGTATTTTCTTCTGGGAGTCTGCATAGCAGCTACTGAATTGACAGGCAGCATACCCTGTTGATGTACTGGAGAAGAACAAGAAAATTTGAACAAACAGTACAACTACCACTTTTAAAGGTTTCATCTTCTGCACAGAAGTAACCTTTGAATGATTCATTTCATCTGAAATCATCCAACTTTGTTTTAAATTACATAGCCTGCTAACTCCTTCATGAAGTTTAGGGATGTCAGAGATATACTTGTTTCAAAATTTCTAGAATATGCCAGTCTGCAGAGTATGGCAGGTGCACGCGAGAAAAAGCAAATATTCGTTTGGCAAATCTGATAATATTCTCATTGAATCTGATAATTAATTAATAAGTGCTTTGTGTAAACTATATTCTTGGCAAGATTTAAAATTCTATGCTAACAATTTGAATTTCACACCAGCTGGAAGGAAAATATTCGCAGTTAAAATTTACAAACTGAGAACACCTTAAATAAATACAAAACGGCTACGGTCTTTAAGATTTAGATGTATCAATCCACTTTACCCTCATAATCATTTGCATTCATGTTGACGTAGAAAGCTTCACGCGTAGGTTTTGCACACAGGTACTTGGAAGCCATCCAACAAAACCGGCGGCAAAAATTTGAGCGATCAATTTTGAAATGTGACAGCCTGTGACTGTCTGGTTGGCTCTTGAAGGAACGAAGAATGCCACCCTATCTAGAAAAAAAATAAGGAAAGAAGGAGGAACTGATTCAATTCCGCGCGCACAGGTGTTTCAGAATTCAAAGAGCGACACATTTCAAGTTTTCCGCCATTTTCAAGCAACTGTCACTTTGTGCTGTTGTATATGACCCTCAAAGATACCGCTGCCCATTTCCCGTCAGTCTCCAAAAAGTCCAAAACAAAATGGCGAAGGTACTTAGTGTTTCTAGATGTTCAAGAAATACTTTGAGGAGGCCGGCTTGGTTGTAAGTGTTAAAACATGAGAATTTTAATGGAATACAATGCTCTTTATACACTTTTTGTTTAACTTTAGTCCCACCATGGACTGGTTGAGGTTGATCTAATCTCAGCATATTCCAACCCCTTTTGAAGGAGAATGGGGAGTATTTTTTGGCGCCAAAGGCCTTATGCCCCACCAGGAAATTTGGCAAATTTTTGAAAAATTTAAAATTCCGAGGCGGTGTCTAATGGAGAGACTGGGTGAGACATTATAGGATAGGAAAGTGTAATACGTAACGTTTTACACATCCCCCAAAGAATACTTAAGGTAAGCAATTTTTTGCGGGAGAATCTGGAAAAAATCGGGGAAGCTTGAGGCAACACATTTAATCGCGAGGGTTGGAATCTCAATACACCTGATATATCTTAATATATCTGATCTCTGCTGCAGCTTTGTGCACTTATCAGCGGCCAAGAAAAATATCTGAGATTAGAGAAACTTATAAATACTGAGAAAAAACTGGAAAGACCTACAAACATTTTTCTGAAACTATGGAAATTTCCTTTTTTCTGCCATTTGTTCTTGTATATGAATTAAAGATGCCACTGTGGCCCTGTTGTTCCAAAGGTGGATCACACTATCCACTGGATAAATTTCCATCTAGTGGATAATGTAATTGGTTTACCTAATACTTGGATAGTGATTTATCCGTTGGATAGCGCTATGCAATGTTTGAATAACCTGGGCCTGAAATGAAAATGGCCTAAATAGGGGGTATCATTTGCTTTTTTCCCACCCACACTTTACAGCCAAAAAAAGGCCAGGAGCTGCCTATGTTACTTCTTAGTTTGTCTGACAGGAGTATGAAGCAATTCCTGACAGTCTTAACTGAGAAGCTGTCAAAACAGTCTCGCTCAATACCTCATCATCCTCTCCTTGTACCATTTTAGGAGACACCAAAACACCACCTTTTAAAGTGAAAACAAATGCTCCAAAGGAAACATAACAAATTAAAAATCCTAACTGTCAAGAGGCAAACCAGTCTGCTATAGTATTCAAAAAGAGTGGTTGGACTATCAGACTTGACACTATCAGACTTTGGAAAGTCCTGTGTTCTGACCATTTGGCTATGCTAATCCTTAAATGATAAAAATCTTTTGCTTGTCACTCACAAAGATTGAGGGGGATAGGAGTTACTTGTGACATGTACTCATTTCATTCGTTTAAAATTGCTGATCATAGCAGTATACAGAATGTGTGCAATACGTGAATTACATGCCTCTACACTATGTGTCCCGCCTTGGCTTAGTTTGTGAGAATTCTTATTCATCACTTGAAAGGTATATAATTAAAGTGTGTTTGAATGCTGTTGAAGGATTCTGAGTTTTCTTTAGTTTGTTTTTGGACGTAAAATTTGATCAGGCTACGTAGCTTTAAAATGATATTACCAAGAGTAACCAATAATTTTGCTTTTCTGTTTTATTAAAAGTTATTGATGTTTTTCAGAATTCCCAAAAGATATGAACAACACAGTGTCGAAAAAGAACCAATGAAAACAACAGTTAGTTTTATCGCAGACATTAAAGACAAAGATGGCATGAGAAACTATCCACCCTATGTGACTTCCTACAGTTCCCAGGGCTTTAATATTAAGGGTATCAAAGTTTTTGGTTCTGTAGCTCTTCTTCCAACAATATTCTATCACTGGCGGGTAAGTTCTTTTGTGTGTGAGTGTTATCATTAATTTATCCATGATTATTGGCAACAATGTCTGAACAAGCTAATATATGTTGAGAATTAAGGAATCGATCACCATCAACATCATGACTTGTACATAATTATTGAAATATCAAAAGTAGGTTGAGTTTGATCGTCCGGATGAACGTAGTCCTGAATAGGACTGTTCTTGTTAACAGTGAGTGACGTTTCGACAACCTGTGCGGTAGTCATCTTCAGAGTCAAAGTGAGTTGTATCATGTCAGTTGATGGTATTATACTCTGGTTATTGATCTGATTGGTCAACTACGTCACGATGTTATTGGTCGTCTGTCAGTTAAGCCGTGATATTATTGGCTACGAAGACTCGTAATCAGTAACTGACATGATACAACTCACTTTGACTCTGAAGATGACTACCGCACAGGTTGTCAAAACGTCAGTCACCATCAACAACAACAGTCCTATTCAGGACTGCGTTCACCCGGACGATCAAACTCAACCTACTTTTGAAATGAACCCTGGGTTCAAACCTTTCACGCATTGAAATATCCTCCAACTTCACTCTTGTATGGGTTTGCATACGTTTCTGATGCATGTACAGGAATAACTAATGTACACTTGCAAAAACTTTTTGGTATTTTTTTTTAGAGATTCTGTGCTACTGAAGGCCCACATATTAAATAATCATAAGTCACGATCACTTTCATAATTCTTAATGACAGTGCTACATGTATCAATTTCTATTTCAGTGATTATGTTTGCACCTTACTGTTACAAACAATAGTTGTCCAGTGTGATTATGTACTAAAACAAATACAGAAACTCCCAGTGCTGTACTTCACAAACAATAAACATTCATTTCTCCAATTACTAGCATTTAACCATTTCATCCACTCTTTATTTGATACACAGTACCAAAAACAAGTGCATCTGCATCTGAGGGCTATAATATGACGCACTTCACAAAATAATACCTATGACAGTTAGTATCAGAGATTGCATGGGTTAGCTTTTATTGAGCAAATGCATCTGCATATTAGCTTGCTGTCACCCACTATCTTTTAACTAAGGGAAAGTTCATTTTTGACAGGGGGGGATGAAGATTTGACTAAAATTGAAAAAACATGTAGGGGGGTCAAAATTTGTAAATTCAAAACCAACACATGACATCATCATACAGATCGGATGGTTTTCAACTCAACAATTTAATGAGACCTATACAAGATTTGTAGTCTCTAACCCTTCCTTGTTCATCCCAAAATGCTTTAGAAAATTGTATCACAACTGTATCTCAAGTTTGACATAGTATTTAAATCAATCTTTTTCAGGGGAGCAAAGGAATAGATCTGAAATTTCTAAAGCCAAGGCACTGGATTCAAAATTTGAACTTTCCAAACCAGAAGGACACTTAACAAGAGCAACCCCATTTAAATCAATAATAGATCATTTCTAAAGCCAAGGCACTGGATTCAAATTTACTCAAACCAGAAGGAGATTGAGTATATCTCACTTTACAGTGTTAGAGCAGATGTTGAAACATGCCCTCCCCAGTTACACAATTAAATCTATTTCTCTTCCACCCTCCCATCCCTGACATTTTACAGGCTTCCTCCCCCTGAGCTTTGCAAGGTTCTGCAATACATGTATTTCTAGTTATATAGTGAATATCATTGGATGGTTTTAATTTTGCAAGTAATGTGATGACTTGCTTTTTGCATTTCCTTCAAGATAAAGCAAGCTGAGGATATCAACCCAGAAAGTCTTGCTCTTTTTACAATAATGGAACCACCCATAGGTATGTTTGTCATGTTATTAATAAATCCTATGATCAGAAACAGAACTCTAAGGACACTAGCTCTTTGGTACCTGGGACAAATAGATCCTCAGCAGTCCCACTGTGCTACAATCTTGGACAAAAATGTTAAGAAAATGGATGTTGCCATTTCTAGTTTCAAGATAAAGTCTTAAAAGCACTGGCAATTTGAAATACTTTCCCAAAAAAATGTTGAAGTCCAACTGGATCATTTCTGCCCCCAACTGAACAACCTGGAGGGGTGGGGGGAGGGGTCCTTGTGGTATAAAATCTGTAGGATGTGGGTCCTGTCAGGTAAAAAACTTCAGAGTTTTTAACACTTTTTGTCCAAGATTGCAGCTCCTAGAAGAAGAATTTTGCTCTGTAGACTACCCAGCCAGTTGTCATTGAATATGGGTGAGCAAGGTGCGCTCTCATTCCAGTCATCACCCTCTCTCTAATAAGCATCCAACCTCAAATGCATTTTTTTTCAGTTTGCATCCCTAGTGCATAGGCACCCTCCTTCCAATAAGGATGCCTATACTGATTAGTTCTCCCATTCTTTTTCACTGGTAGAGTACATGTAAATTGAGATCAAGTGGTACATCAAGCCATATAAAGGAAATCATGCAATAATGATCCCTTTGATGGAATTACATTATGTGCGCTGAATCAGACATGCGGTACTTGAAAGCTTTGGTCTTGATGAAAGCAACATGGAAGCTTAACTAATGAATAGACTGGTGACTTTAAAAATTCTCTACCATTATTTGATGAATGTTTACTGTATCTTTGTTTGACAGTTTCAGTTATTTTCCTTTAAGCAAATGTCAAAGCGTTGTCTCCGCACTCAAGTGTTTCCCAAAAAAGAAATAAGTTCCCTGTCCTTAATAAATACCCTGTTTCAAATACATGTAAGTGCCCTCCCTTAAGGTAACATAAGTAAAAAAGCACGTCATGGGCTAAATTGATCATTATGGTAAACATTATGCAATCTACAACAAGTATAATGTAATAATTAAAATCAGTGTTGTTGTTTTTATATCTATGTTAGAAATTGTGGTTGTGGGAACAGGAGATAAGTCCTCGCGTCTGGACCCCAAAATACAAAGCTACCTCAGGAAGCACTATATTTCTTTGGAAGTTCAGGATACTGTAAGTGGCTTTCCCTTGATATTCTCTTCCCCTGATGTACTGTCCTCTGAAGACATTTTCATCCTGCTCACAATGTTTATTATGTCCATTTGTCCTACAGGCAAATGCTGCAGCAACCTTTAACTTTCTTCTAGAAGAGAGGCGGTTAGTTGGAGCTGCTCTTATTCCACCTAAGTCAATTGTTGAACATTAAAAATTCTGCTGCATGTCTTAACGATCTTAACTACATGAAGGATTGGAACTCCCATACATGATAGGTTAAGTACCATAACAGCACAATACTTTTAAGGCATGATAAGTTAAAATCTCATGAAGAGATTTGCTGTAAAACTCCCTCTAAAAGTTACAGCTCCCTGAAACAAAAGGATTTGGAAACTTTACTTCAGGGATCTTATTTTAGACTCCGTAAGATGGATGCTTACAACAGAGTTACCAAAAGCAAAAAAGCTTCAAGGCTTATTTTTTTCAGAGCCGTTAACACTGATTATACTCAGAGGGACTAAAAATAGGCAGAAATGTGCATTTCAAAAACTGCAAGAAATTTCTGTCCACAGAAAGTTTTCAGTGTAGCAATGATAAAGTTAACGGCATTAGTTTTCTTCAAACAATTCAAAAATGTCATTGAAAATGGAAACCCTATATCCCATGATTAAAGTTCAGATATAGCTGGCTGGAATTCTTAAAATATCCCTCTACTGGAGTTTGTTCAAGTTTTATCCATTTACTTAAAGTTGTTCATGGTTTTTGAAGATCGCCTTCACACCATGTGAGGGGATCGGCAGAAATAAATGGAAGTTTGAAAGGAAAACTTATTAAAAGAATGTTTTACTCAACTCTTAAGTTGCAGTTAATCTTCAAAACAATTGCTATAACAAAAATTTGAACCCTTTAACAAGGGCGAACAACATCAATTTTCTCCTGACAATATGACAATCATATCAATGCATCATCGGGTTAAAAGTTTGTGAGAATTAATAGATTGGTCACCTAAGAGGGAATGCTTTAATTTGTTGCCAAATTCTCTCAAATAATTCTTTATGGAAAGTATCGAAATCTGTCTTCGTTGAGAATTTCGCTGTGGATTTTGGGGCTTGCAGGTAGTTTATGGATATCATCTGTACATAAACCAAATAAAATTTGTTTTGGAATATTTTTATGTGATGACAAGGCATATAATTTTAACAAAGAAAAGTTTCAGGCACATAACCTTATATCCAGTTTTAACACACAACATTGTGAAATCCAGTGCATGTAAGTGAAATGATACCAAAGAAAGAGGGACAATAATAGTTTCATGCATTTCTGCAATAAATTTTGTTAATTTCACCCTTCAAATGTTGTAAAGCTTTATTTGGAACCTTAAATTTGGTGATGTTCTTTCCTTTCTTCTCCACGTCCCATGCAATATGCTCTTAAGGGTGGGTCACAGTGATGTAAGTATTTATGGAATTTCCTTCAGCACTGGCTATCCTTTACCGCCCTGATCCAGTCAAATAACTCTTTGTTCATACTGTTCTAATAGCCAATTCAATCCCACAGCTAACAGTTGATTAATTTTATTTCCACAACATGTTTTTACATCATTTCCATTTTGGTTTGGTAGATAGAATACTCTCAGTGATACAACAAGTTTTTTTTGATGTTGCTCTAGTAGAATCTTCCGTCTTTACTGAATATCAAATCTATCCCATCAAATTAGAAAGAATAAATGAAGTAACAGAAAAGGTTTTTCAGTATAGGATTACTAACCTTGTATAGAGTCTGAAAAATGCTCGTGGAAAGAGTTGTTTTGTAGTTAGATACAGACGTTATTCAAGAAAAGATTATTTGTAAACCTCCTTCGGTTCTTCATGAGATAAAAAAAATCATCACCCTTTTCCCTTTCAGTCAAAACTCTAACCAATGTTTATTTAATCACTTTACAACTAATTAAATATTTTAGATTCTTTAGAATTTCCACTTGATCTTGAAAAGACAGTAGGTGCTTGTTACGGCGTTGAAGAATCAATAAACTGTTTTTATTGTTATTGTACGAGTGTTTCTAGTCGTTTAATCCTCTTAGATCAAGGTGATGGAAAGAGTGAAAAAATATAACGTCAAATACACTTTTTATTTTGTATTTGAGAAAAGGTGAGAGAATTATTTGGATGGTATTGGCAAATCTCTCCTGGGCGTTTAAGGAAAAGGCGTGGATCTGTTGTTCTTAATTAACCGCGGAACTTTTCCTCTCAGAGAAAAGCCTTGCATTTCGCGGGAACGTCGATGATTGGTTCTTCTCGTATCAATAACATAACCAACCAATCAAAACACAGTATGATTTTCGGAGGTGACGAAATTTAACGATAGGTGACACCGCGTGTCTGTTTCTGGATCAAATGTCGTGAATATCCTCGCTCGCTCGTGCTTCCAACCGCTGATGATAAGAGCATAACACGAGACGGGTTAGCCAGGAGAGCGGTTATCATGGAGGTCTACTGCTGTTCCCGTGCTAAGAGACACTGGAGGCTTTTTTCCTTTCTTTTGAGATTTCTAGCTCTGCTTATGTTTCTTGGTACAGCTGATGGTCAAACTCGATCGTGTTACCGAGATAGGGATCGAAAACTTCCCGTACGCTGCATGCCTGAATTTGAAAATGCTGCCTATTCCAAACCAGTTGAATCTAACAATACTTGTGGGATTCCGCCAAGCGAATTTTGCGTGCAAACGGGGGTTACTTCGCCAACAAAGGAATGCACATTCTGCAATGCCTCGGATCCGCTGCTCCGTCATCCCGCAGATTACATTACGGACATCAAGAACGATCAAAACAGAACGTGGTGGCAATCGGAGACATTACTTGTCAATAATCCATTCAAACCCGTAACTCTAACGATTGATCTCGGCAAGAGCTATGATGTTTCCTACATCAGAATTCGTTTTCGATCACCGAGGCCTGAATCAATGGCAATTTACAAGCGAACAAGCACTGATCCTAAAGAGCCGTGGACCCCATATCAATATTTTTCTGATTCGTGTAAGAAAACTTACAACGTGGGACCTATGCAGATCGTTTCCCCAGAAAATCAACAAGTGGCTTTATGCACGGATGAATTCAGCAGTATTTCGCCTCTAACTGGAGGAAATGTTGCTTTCACCACGCTGGAAGGCCGACCAGATAATTTAAACTTTGATAATAGCCCCGCGCTACAAGAATGGGTTACTACGAGCGCAATCCGTATCGATTTGGATAAAATGAATACATTCGGAGACGAAGTATTTGGAGATGCTAATGTTTTACGTAGTTACTACTTTGCTATTATAGATTTAGCTGTCGGTGGACGCTGCAAATGCAATGGTCATGCCGCAAATTGCGAGAAGAAACAGCTTCCAAGTGGTAAGATGGAGCTGCGATGTGTTTGCCAACATAATACAGCGGGTGTTGACTGCCAGGAATGCAAACCACTTTACAACGATCGCCCATGGGCCAGGGCCACCAAGGATAACGCCAATGTGTGTCGCAGTAAGTTCTGAAGTTTTTTTTATTCTAGATACTTATTATTGGGTGTTTTTGTTAATGCATACATTCTTAAATGTTGTTTGAGTTCTCTCTAGCGCGCCATCAGTTCCCCTCCGGGTTGTCAATTTCCTACTGAGCTCTCTTGTAGACGGACGCTATTCACGTGTGTTCAGACAGGCCGATCAATTTTCAAAGGCACTCTAAAAGGTTCATAGAAGTTTTACTCCATTAAAGTATTTGTTTTATGCCTGTTTGACCCATTCCAGGCCAGCCTAGAGCTAAAATAAGGCAAATTGCTGCCTTGAGAAGTTGAACTTCAAGTTCGCCACCGGAAGTTGGTCATTTACCGGTCTCCGTACGTGTTTCGTGACAGGGTGGAGAAACCTCAAAGACACTTTGATCCGATGGAATGTAGGAATCCAGATTTATGTGTCCATGTTTACTTTTATTTAAATAGATAACTTCGTATATCTGGAAAAGATAAGCTGATACTACAATCCTTGGCTTATGAAGCTAGCTATAAGCTTACTAATTTACGGTTGTTGTCATAAATGTGCTCGAAACTGTAAGGAAATACCCCGATTACCTTATCGATTTACGGACTTATCGAGTTTTATACTCTTTCTGCGAAAATCAAAGATAAAAATCGGCTATAAAACGGCTAAAGAAAGTGTTAAATACACAATATGTTTAACTTAATATACAGACACGCTCAAGACGGCGTACTTGATTAGCTCCAAGCTGGTCCGGCAGTCTCCGTGTCCTTTGTAGAGCAGACAGATCAGACAAGTTGGCATGATAAATGTGTACATCTGGTAGAGTTGGTCGCTTTTCATTGCTTCTTTGCAATAAAGAGGCTGTTTAAATTGTGAAGGGAAGCTGCATGTGTGAACCTTTTGATTATTAGATCATTATGTAGGTAGGGGTTTGTTTAACATATTGTACTAACCACAAACTGCTTGCAACTTGATACAGGAAGTTACTTGTCCTAGATGATCCTCTTCAAAGTTAGATGATTTGTAAAATCTAACCCCATGGAAAGAAAAAGCCTCCTCATTATTATTTGCCCATACTTTATACAAAAAATTACTAAACCAAAGAGAAAAAAATAGTGATTGGCTTGTGTTTTTGTGGCTTGCTTGATTTTTCTCACAGGGGTGGCAGATTTTTTTAAGGTCATACAAAATTTGATTTAAGTGCTGTCTCGGTGGGTCTCATTTTTTCCCCTTTTTAATCTTTGTCTCTGTCTAGCATTTTTGAAGGTAACAAAAAATAATTAGTGTCCCCAGAAAAAAACAATGTTAGTCCTATAATTCATAAAGGCTGGCGTCAGTTGAGGATTTTTGCGCCCCCCTGTGAGTGATTTGCTGTAAAAACCCATGAGTGAAAAGAATTCTCTTGAAAGTGCACTCATCTTGCCCAACCTAAGAGCAAAAATAAGAAGCTTAGAGACTAGAATTTGGAAGAATTTTGGAGTTGGTTTTGGTGCCATTTAGGGCGTGTTTGATTGATGGTGTTCCTGAGTGAAACTCTGTCTGTTTATATAACTGTTGATAGTCTTCAGTTAGAATTTTATTTCTTTAATTTGTTGAAGTGAATTTAAGCTGTAGTTACCCACAATGAGTGTTTGTTTGGTTTCAGTGCTGCATGAATATACTTGTATACTGCTCCAAATAAAAGTCTCTTGTGTGGAATGTAAACATTATTGTGCATTTTTATCAGTTTTCCAGGCTTTGGAAAACTCTCATCAACGTCATGCACATTAAAAGGTTAACCTAAGAACAATGCTAACCTTTTGTGTTTGGTTTGTAAATAGTAAAAACAACTGTCATAAAAATATTATGAAATCAAGTTTCTCTGTGTAACGCCCAAGTTTGTGTTATCCTTAATTACATTTTTGGTTAACATCACTCTAATGGCAAGCGCCAAATTTTATAAAGCAGGTAACTATGAACCAGAATAACTCAAAACTATAATACGTCATTTTCTGGAGTGTGCTATAAATGACACCTGAAACAAACATACAAGGCTTTACAGATTAAGACTGGGAGGTGACCAAAACAAAACAAAAATAATACTTTCAATTTTTTTATAGCTCACATTGCATCTTTCACTGCATAAGCTTTTGTAAGATATCATCTTGAGCAGTTAAGTACAAAGGGAAAAGGTTCCAAAGTTTTAAAACTGAATCTTATAGTGGTCATAGACTGCAAGTAGTTACACACACCTTATTTTCAGGGTCAGGGTTAGTGAAGGAAGCAAAATTTATCAACTCTGCAAAAATTCCCACCCACGTAGAATGGTGACCAAGTCTTATGTGAGAGAGAGAAAGGATTTGTGCCTTAGTTGTACGGATTTTTCAATTATATTTTCAGTAAAGATGGAAATGTCCTATAAATTAATGAATATTCTTTACATTATGATGCGTTATTCTGTCTCAAACTTAAAGAGGGAACCCTTATCCACGTCAAGGTAATACTCCTGCTTATATCACTTAAAGGGTTTACCTGGAAAAATCCGCAGTGATGTCTGATAAACTACTATTATTCTCTTCTAATTTGGTTTGGTTATGCTTTTTAATCAAAGGGAGAACTTTATATTACTTCAGGAGTCCTTTGATGCATTCCTCTACTTGCAGATTATTTTCCCGTTCGTGCTTGTTTCACAAAGTAGTTCAATCAGATCTGCTCGAACCTAAGCAGCTCTGAACCAAAAAACTCAGGCTATAAGGCTGACATTTATATTTGTATTATTGTTGGGCATAACCAATTCTTTTTTTTTTGACTGATAACACAACCTAGCATGACACATTTATTGTTGTACTACAGCTGTGTTGTAACTTAATGTAATAAGCTGTTGAATCTCGATGTTGCATAATCCAAGAAAACACATGCAATTTCTTGAAGGTGCGGTGTGTATGACTTTACATTGTGGTTTACTTGATTATAAGAATGCAGGTCATTTCTTAAAACAGGGAGCAATTCCTTTTGCTATTTATTTTAATTTTTGGAATTGGTATGTTTTTCTCATCATGTTCCCTTGAAGTGTTAAAACAAACAGTATTTTTAATTAATTCCAGAAACATTAAGTAGAAAACTCTGTGGGAATCAGACAGGAATGTTGATATGATATTTATAATTGGTTTACATAACAATAATGATTATATATACAAGGTAATATACAATTTTGTGTTTGAAAAAATTCCTGATTGAATTAATAACCTTGTTGATGTAAAGCAGCCCAGACAAAAGAGATTAATTTTAGCAGTCCAGCTTTATTTCATGACTGTAAAGCTGATTAACAAATATGTTAAGAGACTGATGTTAAAATATGAAGCAAATTAATTCATGTACAATCGTCTGCATCGTCCAAGTAAATGTACATGTACTGTAATTTTCAGCTTTCCATCACTGCTTTAGCTTTTTGAATTTCTTCTGACATACCTTTCATCATATTAATTAAAAACACTTGTTACTGGCTATAGTCTTAGAAGTAGAAGTGTTATACCTTGTCCTACATTTTTATGTTTTGGTTAAAGCTAAGCATGACCTTTCATATTTTTACAATATTCAGCAACAACAACAAATTTATTTTACATCAAAATAGATTACAAGGGATAATAAAAATGAAAAGGAAAAAGGAAATATTTGACCCAACCCACAGGTAGCTTTAATAACCTAATTGAGGAAGAAGAAAGAAAAATGAGACGTAATAATGATATGTAGAGAACAAAATGTGAAGTTTAAATTGATACCCTGCACACAATAGATTCACAAAAAATGGCTTATGAGCTGATGCCTAAAACAAAAAGGTGCATAATTACACTCTATTATCAGAGAAATATGCCCTTAGTGTTAGCCAATCCCTTGCTAATTGTCCATAAACCACTCCAAAAAGGTGCCAAAGGGTTAAGGTTATAGAAAATGGTGCTAATATGTAAATCAAAATCAAGAATCTTAACTTGTGGCAGACCTAAACTGCTGAGTCAATTTGTCTCCAGCAGTTATGTATTATAATAATTAAATTTTAATTTAGTAAACATCTGGTTTTTAATTTTTTTTTTCTCAGAATGTGACTGCAACAATCTAGCTGACACCTGTGTGTATGATGAACAGCTTGGACATGGAAGATGCCTCAACTGCAAGAGAAACACTGCTGGGCCAAAATGTGAACGTTGCCGTGACAACTTTTTCCGTCGGACACCTTCAGGTGACTGTCAGCCATGTAACTGTAATGAGGTTGGTTCTGCCTCGTTGCAGTGTAATTCTACAGGGCAGTGTGTATGCAAGCCGGGTGTCACTGGTGTCAAGTGTGACAAGTGCCAGGCGGATAACTTTGGATTTTCGCAGACTGGTTGTCGGTAAGTCACTAACAAAGTGAATTTTTCTTCCAGCTCAGTTGTAGAGCTGTATTGCTAACCTCCTCTACTTACAGACAGGTTTCATACAGATCGTCTTGAATTCTTGAAAAAGTTTTGAAATTTGCTAATCAGTTTTCCTTTCCATATCTATTTCCATGCACAAACTAATGATCAGTCTTGTTGCTGGTTGTTCAAGGGGCATTATCTGGCCATTTGGTTATCCATGCTCATCCAGTGAATAGTGATTTTGGCAATTAGATAAGGAGGAACTCTAAGGTGCAATAATTATGGCAGATAATGATTATCCGACGTACCTTCGGGAGCAGTTTCATAGAACCTCTGAAATTCATGACTATAATTTGAGGGGTTCTAACTATGATCTCGAACTACCACTACCTAAAACAAATTTTCTCAAGCGCTCATTTTCTTATCGGGGTGCAATTGCTTGGAACCAACTGTAAAATGAAACACGTGAGATGGGGGATCTTACGAGCTTTAAACTCGCCATATCTTAGGATATAACTTTTATCATGTTTTTATCTTATTTCTAATACTTATTTCTTGCTGTTATATTGTATTGTTAGTTAATCACTAGTCTTAATTTTTATAAATTGTAATTATCACACAGCATGTCTGAAAACCAGCTTGCTGAGCCATTTACCGTGTTTAAATAAAGTTGATTGGTTGATTGATTGATTGATTGATATCCCACGTAAGACAAACATTCATTCATCTGATACATTCTTTATAAAAATGCTGGTGTAAGTAGTTAACTGAATTAAATTTCTACCCTGCTTGCTATAGAGCCTCCTTATTGCTCAGTCAGCTTAGAGCATCCAGACTAGAACACGGAGGGTTGTGAGTTCGATACGCAGAATTTTGTCTGAGCTTTCTGGTGTTAGCATTCTCCTTCTTCCAAATTCTTGTATTTGACTAATAAGCCAGTCTTGAACAGAACATTTTCAGCTGCTCCACTAGAAGAAGCTCGGTCCACACATCAGTTTTGCAGAGATTGTTGTGGCATAAATCCAATGTTGACAAGATTCCTCCACATCAACAGTTTCTTTGAGTATATATCTTGATCCAGCAAGAGACATTATGTTTCTCCCTTTATTTGTTCATTATATTCATTTTCTTCAAGGTTATTTATAGTGATAAAGTTTTTCAAACTTAAGGACATGAGATCTTCCAATCTCCCTTGACATTTCTTTCTTCTAATTCATCAGTCAATTCCAGCTGCCCCCAGCTCCCTCCCCACCCAGCTGGAATTGACTGATGCATAAGCAGCTTTGAATCATTTTATTCAGCTGATTGATGGGGATTCCACATATCCCATAATTATATTCCATATATTGTTTGAACCTACATCTGTGTCACAATTTTGTCACACCAAAAAGTGCCTGATTGTTGACCTTAAAAGTATTTTTCCTTTGTTGTTTTAGGCCCTGCCAGTGCTCCCCTGAAGGAAGTGACCCTAGTAACACACAGTGCAATGAAAAGGGCGAGTGTTCTTGCAAAAGGAATGTCATTGGTGCCAAGTGTTCTCAGTGTAATACTGGCTTCTATGGCTTGGAAAGCTCGAACCCACATGGTTGCAAACAGTGTTTCTGTTACGGTCACACTGGCGTTTGTAGAGTAGCCAATGGTTATACTGGACGCAACATTTCTAATCAATTCACGTCAGGCTTAGAGGGCTGGATGGTTGTGAATGAACAAGGTACATTTTGCTCTCTGTTCTGTTAAACCTGTTGTTTTCAGAAATACAATCTAAGCAGCCGGGTGAATAGGTACATGGAGGAAGCATCAACAAGTGTTATTAATTTTTGTGAAACTAATGATGAATAGGACTATTTTATAATAGGCAAGAACATAACATGTTTTTTAAAGCTCTTAATTTTTTTGAAAATGAAGAGTAGTGATTCACAGCAGTTACAAAGCAACATGAGTATCTGATGAACTTGTTTTATTCCTCTGAACTGGTTTTGTCTGATCACACAGACTTCATCAGAGAGTATACTTTTTTCAAGAGTAAATTAAAACATCGGAAACCCTTTTTTTGTCTAGTGGCACTTCTCAGTTTAGGATCATGTGAGGAAATGACTTCCACCTTTGCCCAGTTATTTAAAAATTGTATGGTGTTTCACTCTGAATAGAGATTTACCCAGGAGAAAGTGCCATGTCCATTCTTTGAGCAACTGGGCTTCATTTTTGAATGTCACACATTGAAGTTCTAGTATAGTGTGACACAACGCAGGGCCCCAAAAAATCCTGTCTGGTAGCTCGGGATAAGCAGATTTTCTAACTGGGCAAGTAACAAAAGTCCAGCCAGGTCATCTTACAACAAAATCATTAACTAAGACGAGTAAGAGGTGGCCAAGCAATTTGTACAATCTGCTTGCCTAGAAGACAAGCTGGAATCAGTTTTTTTCCCAAGCCTTTCAATGCCTTGGTAACCTCGATGGACAGTGGAAGTGGTAGCAGTTCTTTGCCTTTACCCCTAATGTTTACTCCATTTGACTTAACTTAATACAAGCTTGCTTTTATGAACTAGGTACAGATGTTACTGAACAGTATGCCGTTCACAGCCAAGAGGACTCACATGTCAGTGTGACAGCTGTCGGAAGTGAGGTCCTTTACATGTCTGCACCGGCTTTATTCCTGGGAAATGTTCGTAGCAGTTATGGCCAGCTTTTTGGTTTCTCGTTCCGTGTTGCGTCCACTCAGGGAGTACAAGTTGCACCTGGTGATATCATTCTAGAGGGTCAAGATGGTCTGAAAGTCTCTGCAAGACTCAGTGCACAGGGCAACCCTGTTCCCACAACCTCTTTCCAAAGCTATGTCTTTAGGCTTCACGAGGATCCATCTTTGGGATGGGAACCCATGCTTAGAGGATTTGATTTTCAAAAACTTCTCTCAAACCTGAAGGCCATCAAAATACGCATGAACTTTGCACCCCAGGGGACTGGATTGATTGACAGTGTATTTCTTGAGTCAGCAATTTACGATCCTACGTCACCTCTAAGTGTTCCTTGGGTTGAAGAGTGCAGCTGCCCAGCACCTTACACTGGTAATCATTGTGAACAATGCAGTGACGGTTATACAAGACAGAAAGGTGCTCCAGATAAATATGGCCAGTAAGTTGAACGGAAAAAAATACTTTTTGTTTAAGAGTAACTACATGTCCATTTTTCTCAACTCATTCACTTTTAACAGCATACAGCCTCGTCAAAACCAAAAGCCAAGGAAGATCCCAAAATGTCACATGATAAGATGATACTAAAACACACTACAAAAACGCAACAAACCCTTTAACTTTGACCAGGAAATGATATTAGGCACATGTAGTTCCTTCAAGATAATTTTGGGATCCTCTGATTTTCTCGTGAGTGAAAACATTTCCCACAGATGTAAAGCAAAAATTAAGCATGTAAAGAAAATGCTGCAAAACAAGAAAAAGAATCCTTCCCTGTCCACTTTATAACCTCCTGCACATTAAGCATCAGGAACAGAAGCCAACATAGTGGTTTTGATACGCACCTACAAGTGTAGATGTTGCCTTGTCAAGTTTGAAAGCACAGGCAACCACAAATACTTTCCCTTCCCCAAAAACAATGTTGAGATCCGGCTGGATCATTTCTACCCCCGACTGAACAACGTTGACCAGGTGGGGCAAGGATAGGGGTCAAAGCGGTACCAAATCCGCGGTATAGGCGTTCTGTTGCTAAGAAAGTGCAAAATTTTAACACTTTTTGTCTAAGACTGTAGATCAGCATAGTGCTATCTGCTGGTTTCTAAATTTACTTTAACTGATTTAAAATAAATAATCGTGAAAAATAATGAAGAAGAAGAAGAAGACCATTTATCCTGCCATTCATTCTCAGTATGATTGCCTTTCTTGTTAAGTGGTGGTTTTCGGTTTCAATTCTATAGGTGTATTCCGTGTCAGTGTTATGGACATTCTGACACTTGTGATCCTGTGACCGGCAAGTGCGTCTGCCAAGACAACACCACAGGCGATAACTGTGAAAGATGCATAGATGGCTTCTATGGAAACCCTACGGAGGGTACTAAAGATGACTGTAAGCCTTGCCCATGCCACTTTGCATCACGCTGTATTCTGATTGGTGAGAAGGTTGTTTGTACCGACTGCCCCGAAGGTCATGTTGGTGATCTGTGCGAAGAGTGTGACGATGGTTACCATGGTGACCCAACAGGGCTGCTTGGAGATCCGACCACCTGTCAGAAATGTAACTGCAGTGGTAATATAGATGTAAATGCGATAGGGAACTGTAATCCACTTACTGGGGATTGTTTAAAGTGCATTTATAACACCAGGAATGGACCACTGGAAAGATGTGAACTGTGTGCAGTTGGATTCTATGGAAATGCTACTCACTATCCTAAACCACAGTGTGTTGGTATGTGAATTGATATACAGTAGTAGAAGAAGCTTTCACCATTTTGATGTACGTATATCAACTAACAGTTTCTTGTGTAAATGGTCACACCATAAGATTTCATCGATAAACTCACATCTATAAAAAGCTACAAATTCTGCTCTAAAGTTGACTTAAACAACAAAAAAGCTTCTTGATAGACGATGGTTAGGACTATTTTATTTTCGGATAGCCGTGAACTCTTCCGCCATTTTCTTGAATTCACTCCTTCTAAAGAGCTAGGCTGCCACGCAGCTACTTGGAAAAGAGGCTGCGATCGCATCTTCCAAATTTGTTCTCTTGTTATGGGGGATTAAAGCAATCAGAAACAGTGAAATCTGTAGATTGATTAATAACAGAGGTTATTTATCAATTACAGAAAGTTTCTGAAAACCCCGGTTGGAAGGAAAATGGAACACGACTTTTTGGGTCGTTTCAGCGGAAAATTTCCGGGAGAGAACAAGCTAGTGCGGTTAATTTCCCAAACGGAAATTCGTGTTCCATTTCTTCAAAGCCATCTTTGTTACCCGTTTTTATGTTTCAGGGCTTCGCAGCCGTTTTTAAGTAAAAGGAATTGATTTGTACCAATGGTAAACGCGATTCCGGGGCGAAAATAAACAAATTTTTATAGGGAAAACTCCGCCACAAGGTCCAACCCCTTAGCTTTTTATATACCATTTTTCACGGAAAAGGTCGTATACCCTCTATTGACAAATGGTACCCCTTTCACATACCTTGTTTAGAACTTTGCTTCCCTTTTATTGCTGTAAATGCACTAAGGCCTTAAAGTTCATCTGTTAGCCTTTTGAGGCCTTTCACAGACCCAAATGACAGATTTCCCTACCCTTTTGTTTAGCCTGAAAAAGATACCCCTTTCGGGCGGAGCCTCCCCGTATAGGCCATCATAGGGAGTACCCCCCGGGGGAGGTGTTTAGTTACCATTTACCCAAACCGTCAACCACCTCATTGTGTTTGTGTGTGTGTGGTTTTTTTTTTGTAGCATGTGACTGCTACAGTCAAGGTACAGTGGTGCCTCCTGGTCATAATCCAGCCGATCCACTTCCATGTGATGACGAAGGCAAGTGTAGTTGTTTGAGAAATGTTATCGGAGAAAAATGTGACAGCTGTAGAGACACCTACTGGAATGTTGGCTCCGGGTTTGGCTGCGAGGAATGCATGTGCGACCCTACTGGCTCATTAAACAACAGCTGTGATGTCACAACTGGCCAGTGTCCGTGTAAGCCTGGAGTAACCGGAAGGACGTGCGATCAATGTCAGGCTGATCATTACAGCTTTTCTTCCCAAGGATGTTTATGTGAGTTTCTTCTCCTTTTTCCCAGGGTGTGAAAGGTATTCTCGGAATCCGGTATTTGATTTGACTTGATTCAGCAAACTCCAAATTTCTTGACGGGATGCGGGATACGGGATTTGGCGGCTATTCGGGAGGCGGATTTTGCCAAAATCGTGGTACGGGATGCGGTATTGGGAAAGAAAACGGTGTTCGGGATAGAGCTATCAGAAATTCGGCATGCGGGATTGTAGTGAAAAAGGACCGGGATTGACGAAATTTTGTGTTGTGCGGAAACTAATCTTCGCGATTAGGACAGACTGTTTTATTCTTGCCAGGCATTTTTTTTTTCTTTTTGCGATTTCCAGAAAGTCGTGTTCAAGTCGGTTGAAAACATTTTTAACGTTTTAAAGAAACAGAGAATATTTTTAACAGTTTTGTTGAGTGAATTTTGTTACAGAACACCGTGCAGTGGGGTAAATTTTTGCGGAAATTCTTTTGTGCGTGAACATTTATTGCGGATGGTGGAAAAAATACGCAAAAATTAGAACCCTAAAAAATTAGAGCCCGCAAAAAATTAGTAAAACTCAGTAATTCAAATTCCAACTTTATATTGAAAGTATCACAATTTCCTAGGGTTTCCTATGGTGTAAATGCGCAATTCACGGAGATGTTAAATACAGTTGTACACAGACTACACGTATGTAACTGAAGGTCTAATATTTTTGCTGCTTGTCTTTCCCTTTTAGCCTGCGATTGTAATCCACAAGGTTCTCTTAATGAGAGCTGTAATGAGTTTGGCGTGTGTAATTGCAAACCCGGTGTCTTGGGGATCAAGTGTGATTCGTGCATGGAAAACAAGCACAATTTGTCCGTGGGTTGTGTGAGTAAGTTATTACCATGTACCGGTTAGCTGACAGCTCACTGATGAAAGATTGTTTTGAACACTTTGTTAGCGCGGTAAATACTTATTGTCTAGGAAGAGCAAAACGATTCTGTACTGTACTATCTTGTCCTACAAATGACTTGACCTTCGCTTGCCTTGGATGTCATTACCGCGTAGAAATGAGGGCTCGTGCTAAATTTGCTAACACATGGAATAAAGGAGTTTTTTCTTGCTCGCAGTAATCCCTTTCTCACGGAACACGCTTTTTACGCGCACGCCTAAGATTGGTACATTTGACATGAGTTACAGTGTTGCGACTTTGTCCTTGGTAGAAAATATTACTGGCAATTAATGACTCATAATTATAATCTGCGCTTATCAAAAGGAAGGGCAGATTTCAAAACACAGTGTTGTGCTGAGAGCTGGCGTGATGGACGCTCGGAAGAGAAGGGAAAAGGATAACCACTCGAGTACTTGAAGGGCGTGCGCGCGAGGGAGGAGCTAGAAGACAGCCGCAGCAGAACCATTGCTTGGTGATCTGCTCTTCTTTCTCGTGCGCTCTTCGCGTAATCGCGAGGTTGATTTTTATCTTTTCCCCCGCATTCGAGCGTTTTGCGGAGACCAAATGTTGTTACTTTTGCGTTCTGTTGCAAATTTTCTTTTAATCTCGTGCAGGCAGTCTGTTCGCTTTAATTATGATGGCGTTACAAAAGACTTTTTGAACCAATCCACAAACCTTACAGAAAATTACAACTGTTTATTGATTCCTTTAATGTTTTTATCTCTCCCATAGCATGTCCTCCGTGTTACAACGATATCAAAACACTGGTGACCCGCATGCGTATAAACATCCGTAAACTCGTCAGGTTTATCCAGCACTTCAACTTGAATTCCACCGGCGCACTAGTAGTGGACCTAGACTTTGAAACGCGGCTAAGGGAATTAACATCGGCAGTCAACAGCCTTTTGGACAAAGCAGAAACGTCCAATTTAACAGACCGCCATCTGCAACAGCAACTAGAGATATTAGACAGGCGAGTGGGTGCAATAACCGAGGTGTTATCTGATGTGAAAAACGGCACTGACTTGACCGAAGCTGTTATGGTCAGTGCAACTGGAAACATTTTCGAAGCCGAGGAATCGATCAATCGTTCTCGAACACTTCTTGACGAGGCCGAGAAGCTGTTAGTTGAGGAGGGAGTTGCCGCACTTAATGAGTCCATACACGCTGCGAACAGGTCAAGTGAACATGCTTCAAGAATGGTGGAAATACTGAATGAGGTACTTTTGAAGTTACCTTTTATTTTTTCGCAGAACAAGGCTCAAAATAACGAGCTGTCAGAGGACAATGTCCAGCCAAAATGGCGTCTTGACCGGCCAAAAATTTTACTCGCCGATCTTGATGACAGGTCACGTACACCTTTATTCTTGAACAAACAGCCAAATCCTCAACTGTAAATCTTAGATTTTGTCTCTTTGTAAAAATACAATCACGTTCACGGATAGAAAATAACACAAGGATTAGTCAGTATTTTATTTCAAATATTTTGACTGGTCAGCATGTATGATTGCTATGACTGCTTATCTGATGTAGTCTTGACAAACAGATCCTATCTCACCTGCGGAAGGTGGAAGTTTTCAATGATAAAATGAGCATAAATAATTGGCCCATTACGCGGGAAATGAGAAACTCCGTCGCGTCAAACCTTCGCGCTATTGGCATAATGCATCGCGGACCTCGCTTAGAATTGCTCTGTTTATGCCAGCCAGCCTCCTCGCCAGTGGAAGTGACTTTGAATTTTCGGCCTTCTCACCGTACCTCTCCAGTTGTAGCGTTTGACGTCGCATACCCTCAATAATTGTCATGGGTATTGTCCTGGCAGTCGCGGTTTCCTTCCATAACTTTGTTCCCCTAGACGGGATAATAAATATGCAGTGCGAATATTATACTGTGATCAGTGTACTATCAATCCGAAGAGATTGTCCGTTTGCCGTCAGTTCGTTTTAGTCTAAGACACCATTAGCACCAATACTGAGAGAAGAAAACGGCTTAAAAACAACAGGGACAAACTCTGGGTGTCTGTTCTATGAAGGGCCATTAAGATTTAGAGTTAACTGTGTCCATATGAATTTTTATTGATCTCTCTAGACAAGTGCCCTGGCGGACAAACACGAAAAAGACGCCAACTTTATCTCCGAAAAGGCAAGCGAAACTCTGAACAAGTCCACAGAAGCTTTGAGTTCCACACAGAAGGCAGTAAATGAACAGCAAAAGACAAGTGATGGTATAGAAGAGTTGCTTAAAAAACTGAACAGAACCATCGCATTGTATGAACAGGCAGCAAATGCTACTAAAAAGTCAAGTGATGATTCCCAGAGTGCATTGGATGAAGCAAATGAACTTTACAAGAATGGAACTGTTCCTATTCCAGACCTCGGATTGCTGGAAATGCAAGGTGATGCGATGGTCATTTAAAATGTCGGGTGCTGTAAAGAAACAAAAGTGTAGTGAAATCAGATACGGACAAATATTTATGACTGCCATGTAAGGGAAATTCTTTATAGAGGTTGGCAACCGGAGTATTTTCAAACATGAGTGACTTATAAACGTTAAGTCTAGTCGCTTCTAATAGGGACCGATTAATGTAAATTACATGAAAACTTAGACGTGTTAAACCTTATTTCATTTCCTTTTTCATGTAGCAAACTTGGCCTTTATTCTCTCTTGTGCGGTTTTCTTCTTTATTTAAAAAAAAAGCTGCCTGGCGTTACTTTTGTTGAATTCTACAGTAAAACTAAACGTACATGTTATTACTTTTTAGCAAAACTTAACACATCAAAAGAAGCAGTCTCCTACGCATCCGAGAATGCTCAGCAGATTGTCGATGCGCTGGAAGCTTTAGTCCAGAGCTTCAACAGAAAAGAAGATGAAGTGAGGAGAAAAATGGCTGAATGGCCAGGCCTGATTAGAAGACTCGAGGACCTGTTGACGAATGCTACCAGTGCTAATAGAACTGCGCATGACGCTATCGCGCGAGGAGAGGACACGTTAAAAAAGGCCAAAGATATGTTGGACAGGCTTAGGGTAACAATCGTGTTTTTTGCTCTTTAAGGCTTCTTCTATGTAAGGCAGTAATTTAATATTAGAGGCAAAGATTGGTATATAGAGGATATTACATGGACGTGCGGAGATACGAAATTTCTCTTCGAGTGTTGAAATATTTTCAACACGAGAAGAGAAATTTCGTATCTCCAAGCGGCCTTGTAATGTTCTATTTATTATCTTAACACCAATGAAGTACAAAACAATTTTAGTTAAACATTTTTTTTTCCTGCGAAAGGCGCGATTTGTTATGTAGCCATAGCAACGGTGATCTTTTCACATGTGAAGATAACATGTTATTTTCACTTGTGAAGATATCATGTTTTCGCGCGAAAACTCACCTGGTATTTCATTGGTGTTTGGTGATACTTAGCGGTCTTCTGCGGGAGAGGTCTCGAGTCCGAGTGTGAGTTGAGATATCAACTCCTCTTTTCTTCTTCTTTCTTTTCCGTGTAATTTAAGTAGCTTGAAATACCCATAAAATGAGCGCACCGTCGGCGTCATGTTTGTTAGTCAGATGACTATTTTGAGCTACCGACGTAAAATAAGGAAGTTTTATCTTTACCTTGTAAAATATGAAAAAATGAGAATATCGCTATCGCATGTGAACGAAAGTAGTTGTGCACTCAAGATTATGCGGCTATAATATTACTATCAACTAACGGTATACATAACCAAGTATGCCCCTGACTGATCTCTAAATCTAGGTTTCTGTGCTTCATATTAAACTTATCTGTCTTTAGAGAGTGGATACGGAACGAAATTAAATGTCAAATAAATGTCGCAAAATAAACAACAAATCCGATTATTCGCTCACGTATTTAAATGAATTTATGACCACTAAATTGGAGGGGTATTTGTAAGGTGATGTGTAGAAGACTTGACTGATTTTTACGCATCTGCGGAAGTCAAAGATTTTTCATACCACTTATACCCCCACCCCGGTTTATTAGCTTCTTTAAACATCAGACTGTGATCTGTATGCCTGCATGGGTTTTCCCTTTGTTCTTCTTTCACTTTTTTTTTCATTTTTTTTCTCCCTGTCCTTCTAACTGAACCTTAATATTTCTTGGATCTTATTTTCCAGAAATTTAACGAGATCATCGACAGTTCCAGAGCCGAAGCAGAACGCGCTGAGGCGAATATACAAGAGATTGAACGGCTTATTAACTCAGCAAACAACAAATCGGATGAAGCTAATGGTCACCTGAGTGATGCTCAAGATCGAGCTGATGATGCGCAGTCCAACGCTGAACTGGCTTATGACACGGCTAATAGAACTCAGCAGGTAAGCTTGTCCACGACCGGCTGATAATAGACCTTGTCACTGTTTTGGATGCCATCAATCTTGACGAGTAGGTAACCGCGTGAGAAATTACAGTGTTTGTATGAGAATCCAATATCGAATAATTTCCGTAAAACGGCTGTTCTGAAAAAAATATGAATTGTAAACTAGAGCTACACAACAAAGGATTTTACTAACAAATTTTGGGGACCGTAAACTAATTGTGCCTAAATTTCTCCAGACTCTTGCTTTAGATTTTCCATATATTTGTCTGCAATTTTTCCCGGCAAATTTTAGTCGGCAGGAAGAGAAATCTTTACAGACAATGTATGGATAATTTTAAAAAGTGGTTCTAGCACATGTAGCTGCATGTAACGCCCTGAAATTTTTTCGGTATTGTCGTTAGGAGTGAAGCTGTAGTTTACAATTCAACTTTTTTAAAGAACAGCCGTTTTACGGAAATTATTTGACATTGAATTCTCATACAAACTCTGTAATTTCTCACACGGTTGGCTACTCGTCAAGATGGCTTCCAAAACCGTGACAAGGTTCAGGTGCCACCCTGACCTCTTGCTGAATTTTAGTGTTTTCTGTATCCTCGGTTGTGACTTTCATCCCTAGGGATGAAAAACGAGCTCCCCTAGAAACGCCTGCGTGGGAGGCTAGTTCGCCTCTTACCAGCCGGGATTCTTAACCATGGTATGTTCCACTGAATAATTTATTTCATTTTCCCTGTAGAGCCCCGGTTATAAGGGGAGAGGATAATCAAGTTTTTATTATTCTTATTATCATTTATTTTTAAACAGAAAGCTGAAATGATCAAAAACGAAACTTTAGAACTTGAGATCCCTCAAGACAACGTGACGGAGCCGGTGTCAAAAGCAAATGATAAGTTAACAAAGTATAAGAACAGTGCCAAAGAACAAAGCCAGAGCATCGCGTCCGCTCTAAATACGACCAAGGTGGCCGGTTCCGCAGCTAAGAAAGCGCGAGATAAAATTAAAGAGGTTCTTGACAAGCTGTTGGCGCTCCTGAAAGAGGTTGACAATGTGGGAACAGTGAATACCACCAGGCTTGATGAACTGGAAAATCAGCTCTTCAACAGAACGAAAACGATCAACGAAGTCGACAAAGAAGTGGGGTCAGTGGAGAAAACACGAGTAGTGATAAGGGAAAAGATTAAAGAGTACACTATCGATCTAGAGAAACTACGAGCCGCTAAAAACGTATTGGAGGAGAGGTACGCCCAGCTTCCAAAGGTGTGCCCACGAGTCACCCCTACTACTGAACAGCGGAGATTTCTTTAGGCTTCATGTGCTCAGGTTTCATGTATTTAGCCCTGAAATCTGACCTTTCAGTAGTAACAGGCGTTTCAGGGGCTAAACAGAAAGGTCCGCTATCGTGTAATTTCTATACATTTAACGCATTTCAGATTGGTTTTACTGCTTAAAGACTCTGTACTGCAAATATGATGCTGCAAACAGTTGTCACTTGCAATGCCATGCAATATTTAGCGAATAAACGCCAGTTTGTCCAAGACACGGACGTTTGGCAAACAAAACGACGCTTCAAAGACAACGGTAAAATTTGACAATAATCTTCAAGGCAATGACCTTCACCCTCACCCTTTGCATTCACCAACAGGCCGAGAAAGGGTACATTTATTCTAAAACCCTCGAATTCTTCAATGCCGTCGAGGGCCGTCGAGGAATTATTAAAGAGCTTTAGATTTGAGGACGAGATAGAGTACGAGTAGGAGATTTAACTTAAAGTTTTTGCTTTTTTTTTTGTTCTCCAAGAAAAGCCACCCCGGGAAGCTTCATTTTACTTTTTTTCACCAAAAAAGTTAGTACGGTTATTTATACTGAAGGAGGTTTAAGCCCTCTCCTGATAGAAAAATGATAAAAAGGTCTTACATTTGATAACTTGTTCCCGCCACTACGACATGCTCGCTGACACTCGTAGTAGAATGATGATGGCTATCACTTTTTCTCGCCAAAATGACGCTGGTGCACGTGAGCAATACTCAGTATTGAGAGAATCTCCTACTCGTAGTCGTGCTCGTCCTGGGAATTCAGTAATATTTTGTGGGTTGAGTATGTCATTGCATTTGAAGAGAGTTTTCAACAAATCCCACCGTTAGCCTCTTTGATTAAATATTTAGCATTGTTATTATATTATTAAAATTAAGATCACGTATCCCATATTTATTTAAAACGGATTTTTTTTTTTGCGGATTAGACTTCAGTCCACACGTATCCGATAAAAATTGTCGTCTAAAACGGCATATGTCAAACGTTGTTTTCCCGTAGTTGTGGATCGATGAAAACGGAAATTTTAAAAATCGGCTACGTCAGGAGCCGATCAAATTTGATGGGCTCCTGGCTACGTAACACAAGGACTTAAATTGCCTGGCGAAGCAACATGGCCCAGCAAACATTGATTTGTATAGGCTGCCAATACAACCGTGTCTCCACGCTCCTCGCCGCAAGAGATGTCTGCGATTCGGCTAGCCTGCGTAGCAAGCGTTTCTGTTTGGTTTCGGAGCAAAGAAAGACTTCGGTTTTGGCCGCGCGAGAAATGAAACGAGAGCCAAAAAATGAAAGAGGGGGGAGGGGAGGGGAAGGAGGAAGAGAGGTCTCCTTTCCTCCCCATCTCCTCCCCGATCTTTTTCTTGCGCCACTTTTCGCTCGGTCTTTTACTCTCGTTCCTCGTTCTTTGCTCGTAAACCGCACGGAAACGCTTGCTATGCAGGCTACGATTCGGCCCCAAAAATTCCATTCTGTTGACGTACATTTGTTCGGAATCTGGTCAACGAGCGCTGATTGGTCGACGCACGAAACGTTCCTGGCGACGAAGTGCGAGGACAGACGGCTGTATTCGCTGGCTATGATTTGTAAGGGAGAATTTCAGATTTATTCAAGGCCAATCCGTGTAAACTGCAACGCGTACGTGTGGACGGGCGAAAATGACTCAAAAACGATACGATACGTGTGGACACGATTTTTTTTGGAAACAACAAGCGGGAAAAATTCCCTTATGCAATTAAAAAACGGGATATTTGTAAACGGGCCTGAGACTTTATAATACAAAAAGATGTTAAACGTTTACTGTATATTATGGAGAAACGCTGCTTGAAAGCAAACCACTCATTATCAGTGCTTAAATTTGTAATACTATTCACAGTACCTTGAGAAGAATTCAATATTACTTGCAAACATTTTGAAATTTTTTTGTACGATAGTCGGCTTATTTTGATCCTTTTTATATACTTTTTTTGCCTACCATATTTATTGGCTTACATTAAGCAGTTTTGTATGAGGATCTTAAAACTTACAGGATGGAGGTTACACAGGAACCGCTTTGTTTGAGTTATTTTTGGAAGTATGTATGTTAAATAATAATTGAGATACTCTTAGGCCTTTATTAAATCGTTAAGACTTCCCGCAACTAAGGCTCAATGAAGAAGACATCATTTTCATTTGGAACGACCCTTTCTCGGAGAGTTCAAGGTTGGCGTGACACTGGTTGGTTTGTTTGTTTCTAAAAACAAAGCAAGTAGACAGAAGTCGTTACGTCAAGTTGCCATGGTAGCAAAATTTCTGGATGACAGCAAACCAAAAACGTCACTTGGAAAGTGAATTCGCCCTTTTTCAAACTTTATCGATCTTATTCAGTTTCATTCAATTTGTTGAATGTTGGCGAAATTCTCTGGGGTTGAGTCCGAAAAGACCGCATCTGAGTTCAGAAAAAGAAAAAGAATATTTTTGTGCTGTGCTCACCATGCCAACTCCATAGAGCGGGCGCGTGAAATTAGGAAGTTCCATGTCGCAGTCAGACTCGTACATGAGAATCAAAATAGTCACACAACTACTGGCTGAGCAGAGAGCGTAAGTACGGATGAAAAATTATTGAAGGCGCTTGTGACTGCGATAAAAAAAACTTGGGGTTCTTAGCAACCAGGTTTCCATGCATGCATCCGCAAATTTTACGACTTTCGAGGGCTTGGGAAAAAACGCAATAATTGCAAGCTCAGGTCGGAAAAATTGGGTCGCCAAAATGGCATGTGTGGAATTTACCCAAGTCTGCAACTCTTAACCCTTAGGAACTGCACAATAATAATCAAGAGGTGGCGCTTACTTAGAGCAGCATTAGAGAGGTTAAGCATCACTTTTACAGCCAACGCGAATATATACCACGTAACCCCTTTGATTGTCGCCTGATGTTCATTTCTGCGCGTAAATTAGTAGTTTCGCGCAATTTTTTATCTATATGAACTTTTTGAGCTGTTTTTATCTGCTCATTTTCTATTTTGAAATTCTTAACTTGAATCTGACGTTTGCCGTTTGCGTATACGTGAAGCCTTTAACTCTCTACTACGTAGTCCCTCTCTGCCAACAAAGGCAAACTTACCTCTGACCCCCCACCTTCTAATCACTTAGAGTTATGAGTCGTCCAGTGTATCTACCATGCCCAGAGGCGAATCCAGTGAGGTGTCTCTTTCGGCTGAGAATGTCTTATACATTACTTTATTTTGTGGTCATTCCTGTAAAGGAGACACTTTCTCTGTTTATTTTTTCTTATAAAGGGACAACCCCATCTTGAGATCCTGAATCCACACCTGTTGTGTTAACAAAAATGTCAAGTGACCAGAATTGTTCATGGTTTTGGTACTTATTGCCGCTACCTCTGTGTTATATTTTTCTTCAGCTCAGAAAGAGAAAAAACTCCTTTAACGCTTTTTTCTTGTTTTTTGCTGAAGGAAGTTCCCTAAAATGACGCCATAAAATAAGAGCCACCAAACACTGGATTCAAGTTATCAATTTCTCAGGTCGGGAAATGAGTAGAGAAAACATTTCCAAAGTAAATTTTGTGGGTGAAATCTGTATAAAAAACATTTTGGGGGTAGAGAACCTGAGAACTTCTTCCGTTTCCCACCTTTTGTTTTTCGTCACTCGTGAGTGTAACGGGTTTGTACACCGAGGATGAGCCGAACTTCGGCCGAAGATTTGTCGGCTTGCGGACCGACACCGAAGTAGCCTGCCACACGCAAGAGAAAAACCTTAGTCACCAGGGTAGTGATGATAGAGAAAAACGATACATTTTAGTACTGTTACAAGTATGGGCAAAAAACTGTTGGAGTTTTACCTTCACTTCATTAACCCCTTTAAGACCCAAGACTGACCAACAGCAATTTAATCCTAAAAATATCAAATCAAAAACAAGAGGAAAGGTTATAAGAATTGATATAGTGATCACCCAAGGGAAAATTCTTTGATCTTTTATCAAATTCTCTGAACTAATTCATTTAGGAGATTTAGGAGACAAGTCTCGAGAATTTGTATGTGGATATTGAGGCTTTAAATGGTCAAGACATAAAAACCAAATTAGACACTTAAAAAGATTTCAGACTAGCCCATAACATTGTTTATTGTGGTACAAATTCTCAAAGTACATGATTGACTTCAGGGTAAAGTAAAACTTGGTAGAAGGCAATTCACTTTCTTGTAATTGTGTGTGAACAAAAAGAAACAGACTTATGAGGTCTGCCAGCCACCTATTAACTAAACCCCTGGAACAGTCGGCATTTAATATCTGTGCTGGACACAGATGACATAACTCAAAAGAACAAAAACTATGAAACAATACCAAATAAAGAGGTATTTTGTTTTACGTCATGTGTCTCCAGGTGATTACTCCAGAAGCCTGAACTCCTGTGAAGTTATTAATAATGTGAGGTTCCTGTATTTTTGTCCAGTTTGTGATATTTGTTACTCTCTTTTAGTTTAACTTTTGTAACTGTAACGTGTTGTGGAAATGAATGACTATTGAAAGAAAAAAGTGAGAGCGCAAAAAAGGTTTATGACAAAAGGATGTTATGGAATTTTAAGTTGTACAAAATCAACATTCTACACTCAACAATACACAGTTAGGCATAACAATGTTTCAGTAAACAATGTGGGATAGCCTAGGGGACAAGATTGAATGACAACAAGGTAGTTTTCTTTAAAATAAATATATCAAACTCAGTTATGAAGCAACTCTGCTTACATCACATCCAAAAGGTTAAATTAAAATTTTGTGACGTTTGCTTAAGAGCAGTGAAAACCATGAACTTATCACCTAATTACAAAGGATCCACAGCTACCCACATCACCTTGCAGTCTTGTCCCGAAGGCTTGAAGCCTTAAAATTGGGCAGCATCTGAACTACAGTGGATGTACGTAGCTTGGTTAAGCAGAGTTCTTTTGTTGAAACATTATGCTCAGCTAAATCCAAAGCAAAAACTAAATGCAAATTACTTGAAGATCATCTAAAAATTTCTAACAATAATCCTATAGAATTCGACTTTCACTTCCCCATAATGCAATTTGTTTTCCCCACAAAATTTTGTATAAACATTTTCTCTGGGGTCTAACAGTTGCGAACAAAACTTATGCAAAATTTTGTGGGGAAGACAAATTGCATCATGGGGAACGTGTAAGATGGTAGATGCCAACAACTTCTCCTCCAGAGAAAAGTTGTCAAATTGTCTGGTCCCAGGAATACAATGATATACCAAGGCATCCTAAAAAAGATCTCTCTTAAGTTTTGTCTCCTAACAAAGGCTGTACTATTGTTATCCAGCAATTCTTAAGACTTGTGAATAAACATGAACCCAGATCAACTGAAGTTGAAATATACTGACACTAACTATTTGCTTCAAATAATCTCTTTGCTTTTTGTTTGGGGAGCCTAAAAAATTTCTGTTGCTACTATCCTATAAAAGCATTCCTGTATTTTCTCTTGCACATACAATGTTTCTTTGTTGGTGCAGGAAATCTAATTTTTTTTATAACTTTCGCCTAACAAACCCTAAGTTTCATAGACTACTAGCCCTGTGCTTTATCCTTTGTCTTAAATTTGTAATTTTGGTGTAAAAAGTTAACCTGGTATTCCATAACAAAGAAATGTACATCTGTTAAGAATACACTGTATCAGTCAAATGAATGATAGTCACAGGGAGAGCTTTCACAATGGTACACCATGACTACCAGTCACCAGTCACTACATCTCTGCATAACCAAGCTACATAAAATCCATTTGATAATTTTTGTAAGAAGTCTCGTCACACATAGCTGACCCTTCTACACACAACAAGCACATAATAATTGACTCTAGTTACACCATCACTAATAATGAATAAATATGATTGTTATCTCATGTTTCAACATTAACATTCATCACTTGGTGTAAATTCTAAATAAAACCAGGATGGTCTGATTATTGATATTTACAAACTGGAAGGGCTTCCAGCATAATTTCTAGAATTGATGCAACTTTATACCAAAGACCCAAATATAAAAAATTATAATCTGAAATTTAATAATTTTCTTTTTGTAAAAAACGTCTCTCCATGGATATCATCCTTTTAACTACCGTTACATTTTAGATTCATTTGTCCATCCCTTTAATTGAACATAAACAACACTGGATACACCTAGCCATACATTTCAACGCGTGTTTCATTGTTCATTATGTCCACTCAAGACCGAATAAGTTTATAAACGCAAACAAACTTTGCACTTACAGCGTATGGGAAGTAATGTAAACAAGCGGTGGCAGAACCGAGGGAGGGGCCCAGACCCTTATTTTTAGACCACACTGAGGCCAAAAGCGCTGGAAAAATTTTTTTGGAGATTGTCCCCCCCCTCCCTTATCTCAGGGTCTGGATGACCGGGCCCCCCCCTTATCTGAAGGTCTGGATCTGCCACTGATAAGTACAAGTTGTGTTTTTGGAAACAATTCCAAAGCAATAAATTAAAAAACACAGATAATATTCTCATATAGAAACGCAGCTGTAAACTAGTGCATTTGCAGGCATTTACAAACTTAACAGACTTGTGGTGACACTGCGGAATTTAGCTGGACTAAAACATTCACAAAAACCAGTAAAATTTTGTCATCGAGAAGATGAAACACAGAAATATTCACTAGCTGGTTTCACAGCAATTTATCGACAACAGTGAGAAGTGTAAAATTCCTTTGTGACAATCTGTTTTTTTCTTAAATTGAGAGAAATGTAATCAACCCAGATTTTATAGACAAAAATAAACCATTTTGAAAGCATCTAGGTGCATCCATGTAATTAAATTCAGGAACAAAAACATATCTAACATAAATAACAGGAACAACCCATGAACTGATCAAAAATAAAACAAATTATAGTAATAATTAATGATAGCTATTTTACTACTCTTTATTTGGGTGTCGCGGCATTACAGGCGATCCTTGACCACTAGCACCACTCTTATTTCCATTGCCATCCTGATCACTGCCGCCAACTTCTTGATCACTGAACAAGGGGTTAACAACTGTCATATCACCCGTCTGTAAAGTAAACAATAATCAACTCAGTTAGTAATAATATCTTTCATAGCACCTGATCAAGTATTTCTGCCGTTAATTCCAAAGGCAAAGGCCATGATGTGAATAGGCAGTCATTCAGTATACCTAATGCTGTCAAAGCTAAGGATTCCAGTGTCACAGACTGAGTTGACTTTAAATAAAGCCTTGGCAGGGGTGAATTTTCTGTATGAATTAGTCAACTCCCGAAATTCTGAACCAAACTATTGCATCATTTTTCGACAGCTGTATAATAATAGCTACACAATAAAATATCTCTAGTGAAGGTCAAATGCACTTGAGTGGGTCTGACTTGTTTGATCATCCAAAGCATTTTCCAAAGAACTTACTGGAGCCAGTCCATGACATTCATAGACAGTATAATCCTCCTCATCTCCTTCATCACTGTTCTCCTCATCATCATCAAGTGTTTCGCCTTTTATGCTTCCCTTTGTTCCAGTAGCCCTATTAACAGCGATATTTTGTCATTATGGAGATAAAAATAAATTGTCTTTAAAGGGGCTGTGTCACGGCATTTTGTTTAATTTTGCGAATTACTCGCCCTCAATCGCTATGGAACTTAAAGTAAGCAAAGAAATTACACGTACATGACAAAATCAGAGATCCGAGGCAAACAATTATGTCTCCTAAACATTATTATTTTTTGAGGTTGCAAGCAGCAGGGATCAACTTTGAAAAACTGTTAGGCTGAACAGTTTTCAAAAATCCAAATTTCAATCTTCTTCAGTTTTGCCCATCTGTGGCATCTGTTGTTTCTGTTACGTTATTTAAACCTTCCTTTTAAATTTTTAGAGGTTATTTTTATTTTTCTCTTAATTTAACAGGCATTTTGTAATTTCCTAATTTGGCTGAATTTCATGACACAGCTCCTTTAATAGGGTAACACATTAGTGGCCTACAATAAGGATTCAAGTCTTGGAAATAAACAGAGGTTTAGAGTCCCAACTGGCCGAAGGCTTTTAACAGTTGGCTATTAAAGTGTGACTGAAGAGTTAAACTTGCAACTCCTGCGAACAAGTCCAATTCGCGGTTAGGGTGGGGAATGAACTTAGGGTGTCCAGTTGCAGAATGCAATTATTTCAGTTCTCTATCCCCTCTGAACACTGCCTCCTCATAATTCTCCTTGCTGAGTAGTACGCAGGTCTCAAGTATCAGCTCTGAGGATCCATGTTTCAAATATTAACTTTAATGAGGGTGTACTCATTAATGCCAAATCCATTTTTGTGTCTTTCATCATCATTGACATTGCTGTTTAAAGGCTTGTTGAAATGTATACTAAGGCCCCAGCTAAACAATCCATGGTAAAAAAATTTATTATTATAATTTATTATTTTTTTATCTTTGATTGTTTAGCCAGGGTTTAACATGGCTTCATTATAAGAGAGTCACTGAATTTTGCATTGGACCAAATCCAGATGATTAAATCACTAAACAGGGTATGACCTTCAACTAATACTAAAAAATAAATTAACTATTTACATGAAAAAACAAACAAACAAACAAATAAAAAACAACAACATCTGATTAACTGTTGCACCAACAGTTCAACAATTGAATGGGAAATGTACTACATTCTTCACTCACTTTTCCATGGCTGACAGTTGACTTTTGGTCTGTTGATAATGATAAATCTCTGCACTGTAATCAAGTTTATGGTCTCCCTATAACAGAAAAAAAAGTATAAACACCATGATTCTGCAGCCAAAAAAGCCCTTAAGCAATAAAAAAACAACAAAGCCACACTGTTATTACAGTCGAACCCTCCATAAGCAACCACCCAACATGTGAAGACTTACTGGTCCTTTATGGGAGGTAGTCATATACAAGAACTTGACCTCATGAGGTCCCTTCAGAGAAGAGGTCCAGACACATCTACTCTATGGTAGATAATATAATGCATGCAATTTCCAAGTTACGATATGTGTAATTCCATGTTGTTGTCAACAGTTCCTTCTGAGCTGTACTCTAAGTAACACAATAAATGGAGCGAACATTGAGATCAGACCATCTGTAAAACCATCAGTCCTGAAAAGTTGTTGTAGTTGTTTACAGGAGGTGGTCATTTATGAAAGTTTCCAACTGTAAGGCTTCAACCAGGAAAATTTTGTTATTTTGGGTAGGTGGTCGCTTACCGGAGGTGCTGGCTTACAACAGGTGGTCGCACATGGAGGTTCAACTGTATTATCATCATCATTATTGTTATTATTTTTATTATTATTATTATTATACAATGTACCTGAGAAACCTGAGGACCTGGTTTAGCAGCTCCAGAAGCAGAGTATTCTGCCTCACTTACAGCCTTTGCTGTGGTGTGCAGTCTATTAAAATGAAAAAGAGTATTAATATACAACACCTCATTTGACTTAACCCAAGGCAATAAACAAAGAACAAACTGCCCACTACTGCTTAATTTCTATGCACAAAGATGTAAGCTTTTTACATTTGGCTTTTCAGAAGCAAAGGAACTATCCCATATATTGGTAATTTAGAGTCTTTTTTTAAACAACATAAAGAAGAAATGGAACCTTTTTCTATTTAGTAACTTTTTTATTTTTCTAGACATATTTTCTTCTTGAATCTCTTGTTTGTACCTTTTCTGATTTCAATTTAATTTTTCAAGATGCATTTATCTCCCTTACAAACTATTTTCAGTGTGTTTTCACCAGAGGGGCGAGGCGTTTTCTTCTTTATCTTTTTGATAAGAGGTTTTATTGTTATTTTGTTATTGTTATTATTGTTTTCTTTTTTTTTTCTTTTCTTTGTTGTTTATTTTGTTCGTCTAGTTTGTCCTGTAATTTGTCTTCTTATCGGTGTAAGTAGCTGTGTCCCAAGCCTTGTCTTTTTTTTTTGGAATTTAGGTGTATGTTCTTTAGGTGTATTGTATATAATATGAGAAAGTGTTGTAATAAAAGAAAATGTAAGGAAAAAATAATTGAAATGTTCAATTTGAATCCAGTGGAAATTGAATCAAACTGAACAGAATTCAGCATTGGACTGATAAAAAACTCATTGCACAGGAGCATGGGTGAATATGTTTCCTTCTCCTAAATAGAGCATGTCTGCTGTCTAAATAAAATCATCATCGACAGAAGTCTTTGCCTTTATTAACTTTCGTGATACATTGTCTAGTAAAAGACAGCTATCCTCCAATGTAAAAATAATGACAAATGCTCTCAGTCATTTTCAAAAACAATATTAAATATCAAAAGTCTTCACAAAGAATGTTTCTCTCGACATTACTTTTACTAATTGATTTCTTCAATATTTACATTAAATATCTCACACAGAAAACAATAAAAAAAGGACCAAAGTATACATGTGGAGTTAAAATATACAATCAGAGCAGCCAGAAGTTGGTTTGCACGTTTATGTAAAATGATTACATGTATCACAGGAAAACATCTTTTCAGCTATATTATATGGACTTGTTCACTCTTACACACACAAATTTAACTTCCTTTATTTAATCTCAAACTACTCAAAAATAAAATTAAGGAAACAAACTTTCTTGATTAAAAAAAATCAAAAGTTTACTTACTTATACCAGCAGTACCCTGCCAAGGCTAATCCAGCGATCCCAGCTACACTGCAACCAATGACTATAACTACGGATGAAAACATGCAAAATTATATATTACTTAAACGTCACCTGTTGTGCTTTCTAAGATGAAATCTAGCATTATGATACTTACTACAGTACTCATATGGAGAGAGAGTGCCCATATCATGCTCACAAGAATTAAAGAGAACATGAATAAGTATGGTATGTTCCTATAACAACAGCCCTTGATTGCAAAAATGTCATGCAACTTAATCAAAGATGTCAGCTAGAATTAAGGGGCAAGCACTAAATAAAACAAAAATGCTAGTCAACATCTGAAAACTCAAATCAAGTGAACGTTTCTTAATTTTCCCTTGAAGTTACATTTTTAAGGATGTTCAGGACTTCACTGATAATAATAATAATAATAATAATGATAATATACGCTTATCTGGCGCCTTTCTTTCTTTCTCTCAGTTAACCAAAGCACTTTACAATCAGTACTAATGGTAATAAACCTAATAAAATATTACAAAAACTTAATAGTTAAAAAAAATAAAATAAAATAATAAATAAACAAAAATAAACGAATGAATAATAACTCATAATAATAATCCATTGATAATTGAGTCATGACTACCCCAAAACATCGGATTTTATCTTTTGTTTTTATTGTTTTATGCAACAATAATAATAATAAAAACAAACACGAAATTACAACTAAAAAGCATGCTTAAAAAGGAATGTTTTGATTTTTGATTTGAAAGCGCTCAGCTCACAACATGCGCGTAAACTGACTGGCATGGAATTCCCTATCTTAGGAGCTGGATGTGGAACCATAGGTTTTAAGGTTATAATTGGGCTGAACTAGGTGTCCTTTATCTACAGAATGCAGAGTTCTTGTTGGTCGATAACAAACTAACAGTTCTTCCATATAAGGCAGTGCTACATCATTAAGTGATTTAAATGTAAGAATCAATTCTTTCTGGAATAGGCAACTAAAGAAGAGACCTTAAAATAGGTGAAATATGTTCATGTTTCCTAGTACCTGTCAAAAGACGTGCAGCAGAATTTCGCACAATCTGAAGTTTGTTAATATGATTCTGTCGAAGCCCAGATAAGAGGGAGTTACAGTAGTCTAGTTTTGACGTAATAAATGTATGTATTAAAATCTTGCAGTGAGTAGACAATATATATATTTCCTAATTTTAGCGATATTGCTCAGATAAGAGTTATGGAATGAGTGCAGATAGCTGTGTGACCTCAGACCATACCCTTTTTTGTTGTGAATCACATCAATGCTTTCAAGTACTGTCTTGAAATTCTGCCTACTTTGCTCTCCGTTTTATTTCAAAAGCCAGGCCAAAATTTTTCAAACAGTTAATGTGTGACATTTATGCTCTTTAGTACAGGGCTACTCTCTAATGAGAAAAGATAATGGAAAAGGCACAACAATGGCCAATTTTTTGGAAAAAAAAATTCCTGATGTTATTGAAAACTATGAATCAAGGGACAGTTTTCCATTGTCTTCACTCATAAAGGTCATGATACACATAAAAATACTTTGTCATGCACAAGGTTGCCACACATCGAAAAGCAAAAGCATTCATTGTTTTTCTGCCTTTCACTGTTCTCTAATTGTTGTCTTGCAGTTCACAAAGAAAGAATCTGAGAGTTTTAGCCAATCACAAGGCTAGTTTCAGCCCCTGGGAAACCGTCAGTAATCATACAGTCTCGTACAATCATTTTCTCAAAACTGGGAAATTGTGGACATCAATAAGAGGAAAATTTAGGGATGTTTTAGTGGTCAAGAAATGCTTCTGGATAAAAATATTTAGATGGTAAAGGTATTTTCCCCGTGGAAATCCAAGTGATTTGAATCACTGGGCTATGAAATGACAGCAAAAACTTGAGGTAAGCGATCAGTTAAAATCTACGCATCTCTTACTTGGATGGTCATGTTAGTTCTAGTTCTTGTCTTGATCAATGAACGAGTGAGAATTGTGTTATTCAATCAAAAGCTACATTCCTCTTGAGTTGATTGAACCAGAGTGTGGAGTGACAAGAATTCCACGACATTCAATGTGCACTTTTAGTGTATGAACTACATAAACTTTTACCCTCCAAACCAACCAACCTTTGAATGGCTCAAAAGATCATAAAGAAGTAGCCGAGCCCCATCCCCAATAGGAAACACAAAACAGTGTCTTCAATTAGAGAATAATATATAGTCCTTTTGCATTTTTAAAGAAAATTTCAACCTTCTTTTGCTGGCTGACAATATTTTTGCTTCACCAGAATTATCTTGAAGTATATTTGTAGATCTAGGCTGCATTATGTATACTATGTACAAAGGGTTTACTTTTTATTTCTGTGTTTTACTTAAATATTCACAACTAAATTTTTGGATGATAAAGCCTGGTTTCCAAATTTTGATATGCATGATCCGTTCAATCACTTAAAATGCTGAAGAAAACATCGCAGTGATTGGAGCAATCATATGAAAACAGCTCTGAAATGGCTGCAACAATCTTTGCTTGACCCATCACTTAATCACACCTAGAGAAGCAAGGGTGGCGCATTGGTGAGAGCACTCGCCTCCCACCATCATGGCCTGGGTTGAAATCCTGGCGTCAACACCATTATGTGGGTTGAGTTTGTTGTTGGTTCTCTCCTTTGCTCCAAGAGGTTTTTCTCTGGGTACTTCAGTTTTTCCCTCTCCTCAAAAACTAACATTTCCAAATTCCAATTTGACCAGAAATCAGGTAAACGAAGGACAAATACGTGGATGCGCAACCTCCAAATCATTATTTATTTAATCACAGGTAGCTGCATAATTTTACATCTGCCTTCCATATTTAATAATTTCAATGACAGCTGATCAACCATTTCTAGATCAAAATCATAGCGATCATATGGAAAAAAGTTAACCATATTTTGAATTAAAGCTAAGTACGGCTCCAGAGGCTTTAAAGAGCAGGAGCCCATAACCTGAAGTGAGCAACTTTCATGTGCTCGTGTCACGGTGTCTTCACGGCCAGTTTATTTTTAGAGTGATCTTGGCACAAATTTAGAATATGTTTTAATCCCCCACAAACCAGTCAACAAAACCTAGAGACCTAAAAATGATATTTTTGCCTTTTAAATAATGTTTTTTGATATCTTCGACTACAAATGCACTCAAAGACGTGGCCAAAAATGTGTCAAAAAACAAACCAGGCCCTAAAATCACTGTGACATAGGCATAGAATGAGAGTTACTCACTCTGCATTATGGACTCCTGTCGAGAGTTCACTGTTTGCCCTTCTGGGAGTTCTGTGAAATGCTCTCTTGGCAAAATCCAGTTTCGAAGTTAATGAAGATCCCTGCTGGACCATAAAACTTTTCCACAAAACTGTTAAAAGCTTATTCCATCTTATCTGTTTAAAGCAGCTCAATTCTAAACAAACAGTAACCATCTTTTAAACAAAATCAAAATATTTTTAACTTGTAAGCTTATTTCACTGCTTGCTATTTTAACCAATCAAACAACAATGAACATATTAAACAACAATATTCCAAAGCTATTAAATGTTGAAACAACAACACCCAAATTATTTCTATTTAGAAACAGGGAAAACATCTGCTAACCTATTGTATAAAGTTGAAGCAAAATTGATAGAATCAAATTGAATTGTCGCATTTGAAAATTTGGAGGTACAGTTCACTAAAAACAGCAATATTATAAAATTAAACAAAAAGTAATAAAAAATTCTGATCTCTATGAAACAGAATATTGAAAAGAAATTATTTTATAAAAAAATAATAAATCTTCCTTTTTTACAAGCATTTTCAAAAAAAAAAATATCTAAACTTAGAATCAAAAAACTGTTCTAAATTTTGAATTATCTACAAAATGCATAGAAGTCAGTTTTTTCCGGCAAAACTTAGTTCCTGAAATGAGATACGACGACTATATAACAAGATAAACGTTTGTGAATTGCTTCCTAGTCTGGTGCAAAATTTCATGGGTTTTGTTTATTTTGTACAAAACTGATATTTTAAACCATATTCATCACATTAAATTGGTATGTCACTGGTTAAAAAACAGCCTATAGGATTTTAGTTTTTTGATTCCGAAATGTAACAAAACTAGAAAAAGTGGGTTTCTTTTTAATCCTCTCAGAAACAAACTGCAACGTAAAACAAAAACAAGAGTAGCCTAACTAAGCACAGGCTGCTATAACGGAATGCCCAAAGGAGTCAGAAGCATAGCACAGAAAAAAATTAAGTGATAAAGAATAAACTGCATTTTAAGCATTAAATATTGCATCACAACTGAAAGAACTACATCAAAACATTGTACACATTGACACAAAGTACACACGAACTGACGCAACACGGAAGCTGGATGACGATCGCCGAAGATAGCCTATTTATACAAAGAATTCTACCTGGAGACTAGAAACAAGAACAGTTTTGTACAGGATTTTGGTTGAAATGAGTTACCGCTTAATTACTTCCCACTAGCAAGGAAATGGAATTTATTATCCTTTTACACCAACAGAGTTTGAATAAAGTACGTGTTTTTGGAAACTACAAATGATTTCACGCAGTTGACAATCTTCGGTAAACCATTACAGCGATAGTCTTTGAAAATAATACTAATGAATTCCTAGCGCTAAAAAAAATCACAACCTTGTTTTTCTTTTCGAAACACTGAACAAAAATTCGCGCGAAGCAACGTACAGTGGTATGATATGTGATAGATGGACCATTACTACGGGTTTACTTTTTTTGTGATGAAATTTTAAAAAATGGAAATAAGACTAAAACACAACAACCGCCCACAATCTTGTAAAATATTCCAAAACTCTTGCAAAAATCATAATTCAAAATGTCTTTTAAAAAATCTCTTCGTCGAAAAAGCTCACGTTGAACATATTTTTAAATTTGGAAATAAAAAACTACATAAATATATATTAACAATAATAATAAAAAGAAAAATCACTTACATAAAAAGTAAATGTCGTCTAATTCAGCTCTCGCCAGGGTGTTTTTCACCTTGAGGACGTTAGGCGGGGGTGTCGAGGATATATTTGAATCAGGAATGCTCGGTTTTTCAACACCGATCGAAGCTTCCAGGTTCGATTGCTCGGCGGGTCGAGCCAATTTATTTTGGTTAGCTTTTGCTAAACTGTCTCTTGTAGCATGCCGCTGATCTTTGCTTCTCAGAGAATCAATATTTAATCGTTCCTCTAGGTTTGTTCTTCTGTGATGCGGCGTTCGTTCTCCGTCGTTGCTTCCTTGCCTCGTATCTTCATTCTCAGACGCTTGTCTAGCATCAGTGTCTTCTAGCGAACTTACATCTACATAACTATTTTCTCTACTCTTTGCTTGTGTATCCGAGTTGAAGTGTTCGCGGCGTGCGGTTACCAAATCTGTTTCTTCATCATCAATTAATTTCGTCGCTTTGGTTGGATCGCTTCTTGTTCGTTCCAAAACTTTCTGCAATTCAATTCCGTCGGTTACCACTACATCTTCCTTTCTAGCCCCCTTCTGCTCTAGGCCTGAAAAATTAAAAAAAAAAACATTTAAAAATCGACAATGCTCCAGTCGGTTGATGTTAAAAATACAAGGAGAAAAAATTATGCAGATTTATGATAGAGATAGGAATAAAATTTGGGTCGACGTCCCATTCTCCCAGCTTCTCAGTCTCTAAACATAAAATAATCTTTATTTGCATTTGAAAAACCTTGAAAATGGTTTACTCCTTTTACAACGAGAAACTAAAATTGCAGTTCGAAAACCGATATGCGGCAAAATTGTAATTAGTGCCGCGAAACGTTACCAGTATGCAGTGGCCATGTTTGAATTTCACTTTGATTTGAACTGAATACATGCTACATTAAACTATATCTACGTCCACTTAACATGTTTTTCAGTTCCGTCTTTTAAAAAACACCCCAACATCAAAGGGAAATTTGCATTGAGTGAATGACAAAATTGGTTCAGAAGATTTTAAAATTCCCACAAGACCCTTTAGTTTATTCATTAGAGAAATCTGAATATTTGTAAGGGCGGCGAAGCGTAAAACACGGAAAATTCAACGCGCCTCGAAGGAAAACAAAAAATATTATTTTCACTTCGGTAGGGAAAAAGAGAACACATAACACATGTTATAACCCAAAAAACCAACATCTACTGGCAAATAAATCAAATTCAAGCAGAAAAGGCTCGGAATAAAGAATGTCAGTATGTAAACAAGCTACTCGATTTTCGGTTCAAACAGAACGCTCCATCACATCATCGAATGAAAAATCCTTGACCCCAAGACGCAACTCTAAACGAAAACCAAAATACGCTTTCTTATGTACCATCTATCAAGTTAGTATTTCAAAGTTTGTCATTCACATAATATTTGTCACAAGAAATGGCTCTAAGTTCGACCATGCGTTTACCATACTACAGCCCATGTACCTGCCACAATACACGTCCATCGTGTCGGTACCAGTTTAAAAAATAGCCTTGAAACGAAAACAAGCGGAGCATCAAATTGTACAGTACTTACCTCCTGTATTTAAAATCCCCTGGACGAGTAAAAGAGAAAGAAAAAGAGCGAAGGGGTTCGAATTCATCGCTGCCAAATCACCGCACCATTTTCGACCATTTTCAAACTTTCGAACATCCGACAGATCTTCGCGAACGGCTGTTTAGCACGCGCGGGATGCCGGGAATTTGATCGCTAATTTGCATAAGAAATGATATGCGGCAGTTTTTTCTTTGATCTGAAACAGGGCAAACAGAACGATACAGACCTTCCAATATTTAAAAAAAAACCCGCAAGCGTTTCAGTTCACGATATCAAACGTTATGTTCGCATGAAGCAATAAAATATATATTTTTTAACCTCAAGTAAAGGACGGCCGCTGAGGCGAGAATCAATCAAGTATTGTTTCGGCACAGATTTAGCGCGGAATTGAACAATTTGCATTGAACACGGAATTTCGCTAGCGCCGACCGTGTCTTTCTTGACCTTTTTTTGATTCAAAGCAAACCACACGCCAGGCGAGATAAAAATAAGGCAAAAAGGGGGTAATACAATAACTTTATTATTATTATTATGAATATAGTCAGTTGTCTATGAAAAAGAAAGAGGTTGAATGCAAATGTTGTTTTTCAGCAAAATTGGACTCGTCACTGCCCTTGGGGAACGAATCTTATTGGTGAAGATTCTATTCATTTACGTCAGGATTTTTAAAGGATATTGTCCTTACGAAACAAAGTTAGTTAACCAATCAAATAGCAGCAATTTCGATCGAAATGAGCTTAAAAACCGAGCTAAGAAGAAAGCAAAAGAATTGGATGGTTGTGTATGTTTGTTCTGTGGCAAAGAACTGGCTACTTATAATATCCATGGCAGCAAAGATGATTATCTAAAAGAATGCGGTAATTCATACAAGCAGGCCTTGCTACCTATTGTCTCGATAAAAAGCCTCAATTACTTCCGAACAATAAACAAAAAAAGCGGAAAAACAATCTTACAAATTGCTCTTGATCCAGTGGTTTCTTACACGAATGCTAAAGAAAAAATTTGAACAAGACCTCTTCCTTTTACGAAGTACGTGGAGACTCGTTATGACCTGCACGTACACCATAGATAAACGTAAAGTAAGGTCAAGTAAGAATACCCAAGGGAACTTAGAAGTTCTTTAAATTTGTTTTTGTCCTTTTTGTCGCATGACAAAGCCCATTAAAAACAGTTCTAAAGTTCAGCCCAGAAGAAAACAAATTATGCTAAGCGCCAACGAATGAACTGAACTGCAATACCGTGTTAAGTCACTTCACTTCATATGCTATCCAGGGGTAGCTGAAGAACTGCAGAAAAAATTGGAAACGAACTTTTCTTATCGTAGTTAAGAGACAACAACAGAAACAAGTTCGCTTTATCATTCTCGCTGAGGGCAGGCGACATCCACACAATTCCACTTACCCTGATAAATAACGTTACATTTACAAACTTGGTCAAACTTTAATCATGCGGTTTCCGTCCGCTACGTGCGCCCGTACGGAAACAAATCGGTGGATGTATCGGGAAACAGTCAAGTCAAGTCAAGTCAAGTCAATCTTTATTTAAACACGGTAAAATCCATCAGGAATTTAAAAAAATTAAAAATAACCTAACTATCCTAAACAAAATTCAAAACCTGATAACGGACATGAATGCCTGTATAACATTAAAAAATGAACATTAACAAGTTTTGAAGACATAAAGTTTTGAAGATAAACAGTAAATGGCCCTCTGCCATGTTGAAGCAGCCTAGATAGGCTATCGCTGTATAACTGATGCCCCTAAAGAAGACGATAGTTTTTAGGCTGACTTGAAACACGCAATGAAGCGCACGGAAAGTCACGATAAGTATAGTATTTGCCATTGAAACAGTACGGAAGCCATACGACAATCTAAGACAGATTCGTCAACCGTATTTGGTTCAATTATCACTCCCCGCCAATACTCTTCAACCTCCCGGAAGCGATACATCGCCAAAAATGTCCAGATTAGGTGGTCGCGCTTAAAGCAGGTGGTTAGGGTCATTTCAATAATATAGTTCTCTTGACTGTGGGGAAAACTGATTTTCGTCATTCGGATAAATAGCCGCGAGGTGGTCGTGCTTAGAGGTTCGAAGGTAGAAAAGGCGTGGCAGCATTTATTACCGCATACTTCAATAATCCTGTCGCGTAAAAACACACTGAGAGTCGAATACAGCTGTACTAATGAAAGGATAGATAAAACGAAGTCTGCGTCAACTTTTTTCCAAATTTAGGCGTTATTGTCTATTTTGAACTGAGCAAAATACGGTCTATCAGAAAATGCACCACATTGTAGATCTGATTTGTTTCAATATCTTGTAAAGTATTTAGATGCAAAGACCTAACAATATCGATGTGCACTAAGAGAGAAAAAAGCTCTTTCTCTCTTGTGTACACATTGTACCACTTCGTAATGTTGGTTTCGTTTCGGTTTGTTTGTTTGTTTGATTTTTGCTGTATGTGTCAACGATTTTACAACACATGCAACCCAAATTGACTGTGATCCAAGACTCATGAGTTCACGAGCCTGGGGCTTTGTTTACACAAGGGCTATCACCAAAACAAGACTCCGAAAACTTGTCCTGTGATGAAATTTCTAGTTCTTACCAATTCTTAAAATAGCTTCTGCAATATTGTACAGTCAGGGAACCTCGATGTAACGAACCTCTATATAATGAATAGCGAACGATTTCCTTTACCCGAAAATAGTAAAATAAACGAAAAAGAACCTCGATATAATGAAAGTTTGTCAGTCTTTTGGCCATTCAGTTTTTTTTATAAAGTCAATGAATAATTGTGAATTCCAATCCGGAGCGAAAAAAAATTGCCTACAGAAAGCGAATTTTAAAACAATTACCGAGTGCTGCTGACTTGTCACTCTACTTATGACCTAACTGAACGGAAATAAAGCTATTTATCAACGATTCCGGATATATTGGCGATGGGAATTCGAACTTAATTTTCTTTTCTCTCTAATCTCAGTCTATTAAGCGTGCACACGGTGCCGGACCTTTATTTTGCAAACATGATAAAATTAAAATAGAAACATGGTAAAATTAAAATAGAAACCGAGGATATTGATCTATCCAGGTGCACCATTACGATCGATCCAGTTTCTCATTGACTTCAAAACTCATTCATAGTAGATACCAGGCCGCTCCGTACCGCAAACTATTCAAACCTGACTTTTCCGTAATAAGAAATAAAAAGGTGTATAATGAACTGGATCAGTTTTCGTCCAATCGTCGCTTTATTTAACCTTGGACTAAACACAATAATTAATGAAGCCAATATGCTGAAGACTTATTTAGCTGTCAAATGCATTACAAAAATGGGGCATATTTGTTTGATCTCGCCTGTATGCCCACGCAGACGATATAAAATGCGCTTTTCATTAAAAAGCTAACACAAATATTAGTTAGATACCTACGTCACTAATTCATATGGCTGATATCGCTATTTGTATATAGCCTACCTGCTTGATAGGGATTTAAATTGCCTTGGTTTCAGAATGTGGTTTCTTTAACTGCAATCAAAGGATTCTTCTGTCTAATTTTTTTTAGCTGTTATTTGTTTAAATATGGCTTTATTTCTTGTTTCAGATAACTGTTCGATAAATGGCTTTGTACCGAGAACAGAAGAAATCTTTCTGATATCAGTCAAGAGACTATCAGTCATATAATGAATGTGTCATATGGTTGCTAATTCTTTGACAGTATTTCGACATAATTGAAGCACAGGGCTATTCTAATTTCTATCAAGCTTTTACCATAAAAAAATACAGACAACCGCAATTTTATTAAAGTTATAAAAAAGACTAATATACCTGTAGCCTCGTCTCGGGTTATACCAACAAAGGGTTAAGTTTATGTCTTTTTTTTATATAATTGTCCCTTTTTTAAATACAGAGTGCTTCTCGTTTCTTCCAGACTTAAACTCACTGAGATTGCCTGTACGGAAATGACCGCATTTTTCGCCAAAAAAATTGTCCGTTTTACCAGAATAACCGGCACGTGAGGTTATATAAAGTGCGTTCTGTTTCTCTTGTACTGGACCAATATCAACATGGACAAACTGAATGCGGTGGTTTTTGAGTAGGTTAGCGAAAAAACAACTCTGCACGTTCAGTACACTTCTGTTGTCCATACTCTCTTCGCCGTCGGTCATTGCACGAGTAAGACGAGAAAATCACGCCCTACGGAAAACGTAAACAAGCGACAATGAAATTTTCTTTCTCTTTTTGAACCTGGATTAGCCTGCATTCCATCCGATTACTTCGAGTCGTTTTCTCCTCTCAGCAACTTACTGAGGAAGTAATAACGACTCGAAGTAATCAGATGAAATTCAGGCTAAACCTGGATGTAGTTCTTACGAATTCAACTCGAATAGAGTTCGTCTACATTTAACAAAGTAAGCGACCTGGAATTATCGCGATGAAGATTGAAAGAAGGTGATTTCACTTTTTAAGAGACTTTTTTGCCGCTGTCGCCGTCTTGGTAATTGTCTTACCAGGGTTAATTACATCATTCATTTCTATTAGTGTGGTTAAAAGAAAAAAACGCAGCAGAACATGTTTCCCATTTTTTCGTATGTATAAAAAAACTTGTTGTCAAATGGAAAACAAAAGATGAAATGTTTGGGCATGCTCACCCTGCAGACAACCCTCCGGACACCAGCCCGTCGACAAGGTCGCGAAAAGACGGCGTTTTCAGAAAAATGGTACGCGAGAAAAAGCGCGACTTGACTTGCTCTTGATAACTTTTTCCGCCTCGATTTTCGTAGAGCGCGATTTTTCGCCGCGATCTGGCATTGTTGTTTAGATCGGTTGCGTTATAGAATTACGCTACCTTTTATAACGTACAATCGTTGTCTTCTCTTAAAACCATTATACCCCTCATTTTACATATTTTCTCTTCTCTTTAGAAGAAAATTTTTAGCTGTGTCGTATTAGGAAGACATTAATTTTTAATTATGCTATTCACTGTACATATAGCGGGGTGTTATAATGAATGAACTGGCGCGCGCAGTATCCAGAATACTGTAGCTCGCCCGTAGCTCGAGGCCTGCATACAAACCGTTCTTGTATTAGCATGAAAATGAGCTGCGAGGTAGCTAGCGATCTCAGCCCAAGTGTTTACTACACTAATCCCGCTAGCTACGGACGCTAGCTAAGGATCGGTCAGTCAAGATTTAATAGGCTACTACTGACTATCATTACAGCACGATTCGCGTTGCTTATAAGTCCTTATAGTGCGACTTTTCAAGTTATCTTAGCAACTTGTCGAGATGTAGGGCAGTAGATAATGACAAAAAAGGGACATGGACTGCCGTTTAACTTAAACACGTTTTCAAGAATGCAGTTTATTGTATCATTCCTCATTTTCACCATTTTCCCTGTAAAAAAGGTGCCCACTGCAAACGAGTTGCTTGTCAGTGCAAAGCAGATAATTATATATCATATTGTAAGACCACAATACCGCAGGAAACACGAGGTTTAAAGTTATATGGAGACGTCAGGCACAGAAACCAAAACGAGTATCCAGTCTTAGCCATGGCGGAAGTCCTTGTCTTACACGGCACGTTCCAGAAATACTTCCTAGAAGATGAGATGTTTGTTGTATCGCTGGTTTGTAGCTGACCTCACGGCGGCCATGCAGGTATCAAAGAACAAAAGTCTCTCCCTCCTCTAGAAACGTAATTATGTTTTTGTACAAATTCTGTGAAGACCTCTGCGAAAAAAAAATCATTTGTTTACTAACAGGAAGCCTGGTCACGTGATTGCAAACCAAGGAATCAAACTGTTTCAAACAGCAAAAGAATGCGGTAGTATACAAGTATATTCTTCCTTTTGGCATTAGACATCGGGCCAAACACTTTTGAACTCGCGTCATCCCATAACCCAATCACAAACACTTAACATATTTTGCCAAAATAAGCTGTTTCCAATGTCGCTTACTTTTTGCGGAGGTACGTACGTACGTAAATGAAATAGAGACAATGTATGAAAGGTTGCGTGTAGACGTAAAACTTGAGCGCCTTTTAATGCACGTAAAAATTAAGCGACAGCTGTGGAAAGGTAGTTTCTCCTTTTGAAACGTTTTTCAAATCGATATTGTATTTCATTCTTTTAATAGAAAGATAACGTTATGCTTCTATTTTTGAACAAGTAAAATTAGCCACCCTTGTTCGCGTGAGGCCTTTACAGTACGGAGTGTATTACTCATGCAGTCAGGAGATCATAATATGACGGCTCTTGACTCAGGTGTATTTTAATTAATACGTGGGAGTTCGTTGATTACATGCGTCATAAAATAAACAAAAAAACTACGTAGGTCTTGCGTTGCATCAAATCCTTCATGATCATGCTACCACCAGGTCCTTTAATTATGTTTTTTGAATTTTGTTAACCTCTTTTAGACTCGAGGGACCTATTTAGACGACATTACATGAGTATAGACAGCGTCGACCTTGTCTTATTGCGGAAGCTACACCTAAGACTGCTTGCTAGCCGTGGCACTTCCCTGTTCGCGTCTGCAACTGACGCATTGCCACTTGGGAGGTTGAACATAAAGCTATTTTTACTGACAATCGTGACACCGTTTGCTCAAAATAATAAAGGTTTTATGATTGTAATACTAAATCTAACACAATATCCGTAATTATTTTGTCTCTAAATGATGGATATACGTACTGGACTACTCTTGATTACCTTTACTTCCCGATGTGTGGAAGGCCTTAACAGTCCATCCCCTCAGCTGTATTCAAGACTGAGTTTAATTCGAGCGTGGCTTGTCCAAAGCCAAATTTAAATTCATGGTTTTCAGTTTCATTACTCATAGAATATTGCTTATGTTAGTTTCATTTTTAACTGAGCATTTATTGATGTCGGCCTCATCATTAGATAGTAATTGATTTGTTTGTTTCTTTGTATTTTATACTCTACCAGCATAGGTCATCTTGAATTGTTTTATTTCATAATACAAACTTTCGCAATATTTTAGTCAATATTTTAAATAAATTTGTGATTTTGTCTTTTGTGAGCGACAAATTAAGTCACAAAAAAAGCAAAATAAAACGGTTTTCCAAAAAGTCTTAGCCTGAGAAAAACGCCCAAAATTTTGCGACGCCTCCATTAGTTTTCCCTCGAAATAGCGGTGGCGTCGCAAAATGTTGGTTGGTTATGGGGTGGAGACGTATGACATTTAATTTCAGACTATTTTCGCAGGCTAAAAACCGTCTATATTTTAAAACTGTTATTAAGTTTATACAAGACCCATAATGGATGGCTCTTGGTTTACAGTCTTTATATCTTGTTTAAAAATGGGTACAACAGAAGTTTTAGTTGAAAAATCTGTCTAATATCCATAAAAGAAGAACGAGTATTATGCTTTTCTAGCGGAAAAGGGGAGAGCCCCCTAGTTCCCGGGAAAGGCGTGGATGGTGCGGTTCGGTCTTTTATTTTGCTCGGAGACTGGGACTGCGCAGTTCCTCCCTGGGAACGAGGTTTTGAGATTGGGGCCTGTCAGAAACTGTAGACTAGGCGATCTCCTGCAGCAAAATATTTAGGCTAAATGTTTGTAAATTTTATAGATGGATGAAGAACTTCTTCAACAAAACTTAGAACAATATAAGGCACAAGTAAGTTAATTTTGTTTGTAGAGCTGAAATGATTACAAAACGTTCTCAAACATTTTGTCAGACCAGCGAAATTGCCAATGTTGTTTTGCCGAGTTCACCAAATATCTTTTCACACTGAATTATTCAGTTCCTGCAGATCCAAAGCGTTTTAGAAAACACGGGAGAAGAAAATCAGGAAGATCTTGTTAAGCTGAGAGATGACCTTGTAGAGTTGATTCACGTATCAGAAGGTAACTAAAAACAATATTGCAAATATTTTGCAGTACTTTAGAATAGTACTGTTTCAATCCTGTTTCAAGGAGAATATACTGCCTTTGCCTGAACATTTACAAATGGTTAGACATTCTAGAGTCTTCTTGCTTAAGGAGAAAACCCTGTGGGCCCTGACTGACGGTAGGTCTGCTGGTTTGGCTCTGGTATGTGGGACGTAAGAGAAGCCACACTGCTGTTCGTAAAGAGTCGGGAACCTACCTTTGTATAGACCCCAGTAGTTGTGGTCAGCCTTAAGTTGTTTGACCATTAAACCTAGTATTGTGCAAACTGATTTAGGTAGAGTACTTCATTAAAGCATCATAGTTGTAAACCTTTAGTTATGAGCTTGGTCAATTAGGTAAATATGTTTTTGGTTTGCGTGCATTGATAGAAAGCCTGTTGTCTTTGAAGAAGAGCAAGTTACTCCAGTTGCTTGATAGTGCAGAAGAGGAAGTCAGCAACATTCCAGAACATTTGAATGAAAGTGCCTGCTCAAGCGAAGTAGGAAATGATACTGTGAGTGTACATAGTTGAAGTTTTTTGTCACCCTGTAAACAATCAAAACATTTTGTTCTAGACCTGTCACTTTTCATTTTATTTCTTCATTTCATTTCATTTATTTATTTCCATCACATACAACAGTTTGTGTACAAAAAAAACACGATTAATTATTAATGAAGTTATGAATATGAAAATCATATATGTGAACTGTGGGGTGAAGAGTTATATGAAAGTAGATCATTGCAGTTATAGACGCAACTTTTGTAGTTGCGTAAAGGAAGCCTGAAAAAAAATTCTTTCTTTTTGCAACTTCAAAAGTTGCGTCTATGACTGCAATGATCTACTTTCATATAATTCTTCACCCCGCAGTTCACATATATGATTTTCATATATTCATAACTACATCATCATCCTTTCACGGGTTTATAACGAACAAATTCAACAACCTGTTCCCAGTTGGCTTGTTAGCTCAATATTGGTAGAGCACTGCACTGGTATCGCAGAGGTCAAGGGTTTGAATCCTGTACAAGCCTGAATTTTTCTTTGCTTGCTTTTTACAAATGCAAAAGTTGTGTCTATAACTACGATGATCTACTTTTACCTTCACTTTCGATGATCTAATAATAATAATAATAATAATAATAATACTTATATAGTGCCGGTATCAATATTGCTATTTTTATCAGCACTTATGAAGCGCTTATGATCTATTCTTCACCCCACAGTTCACGCATATGATTTTCATATATTCATGACTTTATGATCATCCTTTCACGGGTTTATAATGAACCAATTCAACAACCTGCTCACAGTTGGCTTGTTAGCTCAATTGACAGAACTTTCTTTTCGCAACTGCAAAAGTTGTGTCTATAACTGCAATGATCTACTTTCATATAATACAATTAATTAAGTTAATTAAATAAGATTCAGGATATGAATAGATGTAAATTTATTGCAGATATTCTTCAAAACTTAGTTACATGTAATATCCTTCTGGTGGTATTTTGTCTATTCTTGCCGTCATTTTGAGTCTTTAATTTGATGCTTTGCATTTTCATAACAACTGAGTTGCTCCTGCTGTCTTCAAGGGATGTAATAATCAGTCATCTGAACATTTTCCTGTCATTTTACGATTGTCATCAACTGGATTTCAGTTATTCCAAATTTCCCAGATTAAGTCAGTAGATAACCAAAGAGATTTATGCATGACAGGGGAGCAAGGGGAACAAGGGGGGTGCAGTGGTGAGAGCACTCAACTCCCACCAATGTTTTTTTTTAATATAAATTTAATCTTTATTTATAACTCCCACTAATGTGGCCCACGTTTGAGTCCCAGCATCGATGTTATGTGTAGGGTTGAGTTTGTTACTGGTTCTCTTCCTTGCTCTGAGAGGTTTTTTTCCAGATACTCTGGTTTTTCCTTATCCTGAAAAATCAACATTTCCAAAATTCCAATTTGACCAGGAATAGAAAATGAAGAACCACTTAATGTCTGTGCTACCTTTAAATCATAATAAATGTTTTTATTTATGTCATTGTATTACAATTTCTGTTTGGTACAGTGGAACCTTTATTTAATGCATCTCTATGTAAGAAAGTTGTCGGTATAACAAATGATTTTCTTCAGCCTTGCCAAAATTACAGTAAAATGTATGGAACAGAACCTTGATTTAACAAACCTCGATTTAACGGAATCCTCATTATAACAAACACAAGATGCAAGCGCAAACATACTAAAATGTTATTACAGTAATTTTTAAGATCCGGAAATGCTGGGTTTTGTATTAAAATTAAATTAATAAATTATTAACCATACCTGGATATAACGAGTTCACATTTTGGTAGTTTTCCCGAAAATTCGTTAAATGGAGGTGTTTGATTTAACAAACCCTCGATGTAATGAACAAATTTCCACAGTCCCTTGGCACTTCGTTAAATCGAGGCTCCACTGTATACAGTTTCTTGTCTGTGTGTTATATAATATTATTTTGACAACAATATTGTGCTATCTTTGTGATTAGGAAGTTTCAGATGATAAGGACCTGTCAGAAGTAGAAGATGATATCACTGGAATGAAATGTCGCATTTCATATACACAGGTAGGTTTAAAGGAAGATGGTAATTATTGATCTCTTGTCTGATCAAAGAAAACTTTTGTATTGGAGACTTGGAAGGTGTTCATGTGCAATCTGCTTTTTTAAAAATTTTCTTTGGGTGAAATTGTACCACTAACCCACGTTTGGTTGAAGCGGCAGTTTTTTTTATAGATGAACCTTGTTGCATTCCCATGTTCCCTTGCTGGGGCTCGCATGAAACTTGATGTTCCCTTTAGTAAGGTCAGACTCACAAACTTAATGTAATGCCAAATAACAGACATGTTTTCTTAATGGATCACAGTCACAAATCAGTGAAACTGTAGAGAACAAAGGGTATACATGAGCTTATTACAAATAATTATATCAAGAAGTGTGAAAGGAAACCAACATGTGACTGAAAAGTATCGCTGACCACGTGGGTTTGAATAAAACTGTAGGAAAACTCTTTTAATTAAAACAATATTGTTACATTCCAGACCATGTATGGAATCAATTAATTTTCGCGTCCAATCTGTGTGGGTCTTTACAATCGTGGCTTACCTTTGACTTGCCATTGTAAAAGGCCCATGCAGATATCCTGCTCAAATTTAATCTACCAGTAGTATTGACGGTAAAATTTTGTAAAAAAAAATTTAGAGATTTACACAAAGGAGGCCCTGCCAGGGGAGGTCCCATGTCGCCTGTCTGAATTTTAAAACGTCTCATGTAGATGTTTATAAATGCTTGTCGCTTATTGTCGGCTTTGCCGTCACTGTCGCAATTTGGCCGAGGGAGGTTGTCATTTGTCGCGATTTCATTTCACGCTCTGTCGCTACTTTTTGGGCCATGTCGCTTGTCAGAATTTACCCTGGCAGGGCCTCACAAAGGGGGAGTTTAAAATCATGTTACTCTTTCATTCTTGACAGGACTGGGGTGTGACAGAGCAACATAATGCCATGGTTTTTGATGCAGAAACTGTTGAATTAGCTGATGGCAATGAAACAACAAAGGTACAGTAAATGATTTTTACAGACTGTCAGAAGCAGCTATACATATAATTCATGTGTTGTTGTTGTTTTTTCCATGTTAATTTTTCTATGTTTTCAAGATTGCCAATGCATTAAATGTGATAAATCAACAGCATATTGAAACAAAGCCCATGAAATGTTCAAACCTTACACAATGTAGTTTAGAGTTTTGTGGAATTTATAAATTTAATGTTCACAATAAAAATTGAATTGGATTTAGATAAAAATGAAAAATAATAATATAATTAATGTTAATTTCTGTTTCACTAATTATTGTAACTATCAAAATGCTAAAATGTAATCATCTGGACATACCATAAATTTATTAAATAAATGGCCCAATTCCCAATGTGAGGTCCTATGGACAATGAAGATTAGGTATGTAATTTTTTGAGTTTGAACAAGTTAAACCTATTTAACTTCTGTTTTGTTTCCTTTTGATTTTTCTTTTTATATTTCAGTAGCTTTAGTTAAATTTTTTTTTACGATTTTTTTTATTAACGAGGGATCCACTGTAATTGGTTAGGCTGTAGTGGTCTCCCTGCCTAATACTTTTTAATGTATTCATGTATAAAGATTGTATTGTAGTCAGGCAAAGCTAAATAAAGAAATAAATATTTGTCCCTGGGATTTTCCCCCAAAACAGGTTTTGAAGACAAGCCATTTTCTGGTCACTATCTGGTTGTAAAGAGCTAAAACATTCCAAAAAAGTGTGAACAGATTGAGCACTTCATGGCTTTCTGTTCCAGACACAAAAAATATCAGCCTCCACACTCACTTAAATAGCTTTCTCTCTTCCCATCTTTTTCTGCTTTTCTTGCATCGATTTTTTTCCTTTGCTGTCTTAGGCATAGGCAGATCACTGTGGACAGTTGAGGGACAAATCGGTTGAAGTTTAGTAAAGTACCTTTGAATATTCTATATTGTATTCTGTACAGGTCAGAGTGTTATTTATGAATCCAACCCATAAATCAATGGTGCCTTGTCCGTATTTTCTGGATGGCAAGTGTCGGTTCTCTGATGATGACTGCAGGTTAGTGTCCATGTTACTGGTCAAAATTAAATTCAGGTTAAAATTTTGAAACCTAGGTTGATTCGCTATTTCCTTTGTCTCCTAGCCCTAAAATTAAGTTTCTAAATTTCTATAAATTAAGTTAATCTTTTCTCTTTGCTTTTCTCCTGTTATGTGGTGATATATGTTGTACCCTTCTATATAATCAATTTGGCACCTGATTTGACTTAAACAACATGTTCTCCCTTGTGCTAATTGTTCATAAGAGACAAAGGAATTTCTAGATTACCGGTAATTTGAGAACAGATCTTGCCTGGTGCAGATACTAACAATGTCCTACACTCAGTAAGATTTAACTCACAGTTTTTATGAAGATGTTGTTGAATATAGATAGTTTAGAAGTCACTTTTTAACTATGATGGAGAACAAGTTTTTTATTTATAAACATTTCATACTTGAATTTGTTCCCTTAGATATTCTCATGGCTATTTGTTGGATGTAGAAGATTTATTGCCATTTAAAGAACCAGACTTCAGGTAATAATCTGATAACCCAAAATTTACCGTTTCTTTTGTGAATTAGCTAGTATATAGTTTAATAGTAGTATTAGTTTTGCTGGTCTTGAGCCCAGTGATGAGAAAAATAATATATCCTTCTCTATCCTTCATATTTTAAAAATGCAGCAGTCATTGCATCATTTACCAAATTTATATGGGATGGCATCACCAGTGCACCAGTGCACCAGTGCACCATCTATGACAATCTTGGGAAATATCCAATCATACACATAGCCTATATTTTTCTTCCTTTATTCTACAGCAAGGTGGAGTGTGGAAAGTCTTGTTTGGCCAGATATGATGATGGAGTTTGGTACAAAGCTACTATTCAGTAAGTAATTATTACATACATCCCACTCAGAGTTTATTTTAGTTTACAGGGTTCCTACAGGTCATGGAAAACCTGGAAAGTCCTGAAATATAACAATTTCATTTTCCAGACTTTGAAAGTCATGGAATTTGATTTCAAAGTAACATTGATAGATAAACTAAGATAATTGAACAGCCCAAATGGCAAACATTTTGGTGGATACTAAAGTATTATCTGTTGAACTGATTTAGGTACAAAATACCCTAAAACGTGGATAATTTAAAAATTTTTTTTGAATGTGACAGCTATTCCTAAGGTCACAAAAAACCCAAAATGGTCATGGAAAAAGTCATGGAAAGTCATGGAATTTAAAGCTAATGACTGTTAATATAATCTGTAGGGTACAGGAATTGAGTAAGTTTTTCCATGTTTTAATTTAGGATGGGTACACAAATCCTTTTCATTTTTTGTCACCAACTTATGGAACTCTGTGCCAACAAACATAAAGGAGGTCTAATGAGACTACAAGTTTTAAAAAAGCTTTGCAAGATTACACGTTTAATGATCTCAGATGTATGATTTATTATTATTATTATTATTATTATTATTATATTTTGCTTTGATTCGTACCTTTCTTTGCAGGTCATTTGACCATGATGATCACACCTTTGTTGTCCATTATGATACATATAATTCTGACGCAACATTGAGTCTAGATGCTGTTCTTCCTTTAGGTAAATACATTTATAGAGGCCATACATTTTGTACCATTAAATAAATGAGGATAGTTGAACGGTGGCACTGTCAGTTTATAAAGTCCTGCAAAGAACTGTGGTGTTGGAATACTCTGAGCAAATCAAATTAGATCTTAAAATCACAGCCCTGGTTATTTCATTTATAACTATCTCTGAGTTTCATATTAACCTTATTTTTACTCAGTGGACTCTACCATAAACATCTTTCTTGCTTGAACAAAATCTTTCAAGCTCAACTTTATTGGTGATGAAACCAGTCACTTGCAAAAATCAGGATCATACGTTAAGCCAGTGTTAAACTGTCATTTTACCTTAGCTAATTGTAATTTTCACTTTGATTTTCAAAGTAACATTGCATGACTTTCCCTGCTAGCAGATGCCACCGTTTTTACAGCCGGTATTCGGCAGGTGGGAGGAAAAGCCTGCTATTAAAATACCAGGGAAAAGAGCAGGGAATGCTTGACTTATTTTCTTGGTTATGTAAAGTTTGGACAAAAAAATTATGGCTACAGCTGGATGTGAGGACTCGCAACCTTTAACTTCAACTTTTTTAAAGAGAGAAACGTTTGAAAATGATTCACATATGGATGGCCTGGATGTACAGTGTATAATGTAGCACTTGCTAATTCTATTTCCAAACAACCTTACAGATCAGCAAGATGCTGAAAATGTCTCAGACAGTGAAAATATATCAAGTTGTTCAAGTGACAGTGAAGAAAGTGAAGAAGCTAAAGATGATGATGGAGAAGATGTAGCGGTTGCACAGTTGTCATGGAAACCATCAGGGGGTCCTGTTTCCCTTGGAGAGTGGGAGCAACATACCAAAGTAAGTTGTTTAAGATAAAGTTCTTTAAAACAAAAAGAAAAGAAAAGAAAAACATAATCAATTTTTGTTTTGAATTCATTTTTTGGCATTTTTATTGTTGTTATTAAATGATTTGTACTTTTTTGTTGTGTTGTATTTTACTATTGGTTTCAATTTGTCTAGGGTATTGGATCAAAGCTTATGGCCAAAATGGGATATATATTTGGGTAGGTGTCAACTTAGTAAAATCATGACCATTACAATTGAGCTTTACTTAATACTGATATGCAAAATTATTTCAATATTGTTTTTTGCAGAGGATTTACAGTATAAACATTAAGCACATATGTTATTATAGTCTAATAATGAATAAAATATGTGAAGCAGCAAAACATAGATATTTGTGGCTCTGAGCAGAGGTAAAGTTTAAGCAGCTAGACATACTGTTATGTTTTTGTATTATATAGTATTTCTTTGTCAAATGTCATGCTGCTTGGAGGGAGAAACCACTGCTCACTGGGTGATAGTACTTAGTGTAGCTTATGTGGCTGTCATCTAGTTGCACTGCATCTCAATTGAAAAATCATTTTATTTTAATTTTTTTAAAACATTTTCCTCTTGATTGTTTGCCTTACCTCACCTACATTAGATAAGCCCTTCTTTTTTGCAGGTGGAATCCATTTTATTTCAGTTTAATTGATGAATGTTGCGTAGGTGATTTTTTGTAAGCTCTATTTTTAATAACTACTAGGAAAGGACTGGGACGGGATGGTAGTGGCATTGTGGAGCCAGTAGAGGCAGTAGTACTACCTCAAGGTAAGAGGTTATGAAATATTTAATTCATGAAATGTTTTTTCTCATAGAATAATTTTTTTCCATTAAGTTTTTAAGCTTCTTGTGCTGGGGAGAGATTTATTTTTGCATTTCTGAAAACACTTTATAGATTTTACAGTTTTCCAGAGGAGTATATTAATTCCAGGTTGACGTAATCCACTGTGCTGGCCATAGTTTATCTGTCTGTCATAATAACAGCACCAAATGAAGGGATGTTTTGAGCCTCAATGTCACAAGAAGGCTTCAATTTTTTTGCCAACTCTCATCCCTACATGAGTGTGTAAATCATCAAAATGCATTTTTAATAGTGAGTTGACAAGTGGCTTTTTTTTCTATTGAATTTCTCTTTAGGGAAGTCTCTTGATAAGATTGCACAACTTCGGGAAAATAACAAACTTCCTAAGCCTGGGAAAAAGAAGCGGAAAAGAACACCAAAAATGAACAATATCAAGCTGCCAGAAGAGGTACAAGAAATCAGTAAAATGAAAAATATTTGCACTAAATGTTATTTAATGTAATTAGCCTAATGCAGTAGAAATTACCCGTTTGATTAGATGTTTTAAAATAATTTTCACATTTCAGAGATATTTATTCAAGCAACCCTTAGAAAAATAATGTAAGGATTGTGGGTTGCATTAAATTTTATATGGAGCAAAGAAACTTTACTGATTATTTAGCTTTATGAATTTTTTTTTTCAAACAGTTTTAATAGGAAAAAGAAGTTGTTAAGCTTTTCACTTAACATAATGTTTTTTGAACATTTAATACAAATGAATTTTCTTGGCCAAGGTGGGTGTTCTTGTGCAAGAGATTCTTTTTTTGTGCGTGTTTGTCCTTTCATTCATACCTTCACAGGGATGGCCCTAAGATTTCAAGTTCCTGTTTACCCATTTAGTGAATGAGGAACTAAACAGCAAGAATTTCTTTAATTTGCTTCTATTTTCCTTTTGTTCCTTTGAAAGTAGCCATGGGGTCAAGCTCACTGAGTAGCCAGGGGAAATCCACTGGCAAAGGCCTTAATGTCACAGCCCTGCTAGCCAGTAAAAATTACTCTTATTGTCTTTGATATTTTGAATCATGGTACTTTCAATCTCTCAGTTCCTAGACAAATTCTGGATTGCATCCTACAGACTTGTCAGTTCTTTGTTAAATGCCCCCATTCTGGACAATCTTCTTTTAAAACCTCTTGAAAATAATGGTCTTTACAATGAAAAGCACTCTTCTTTAAATAGCCCTTTTCATTAAAATGTAAACTTGAAATTCAATTTATTGCCAAAAAATCTTGTTGTGTAAAATTTGCAAGTTACACAAATAGAATAAAAACATATTGTTCATTTAATACGTACTCAGAAAACAGTGAACACTGTCATTTGCAATCACTAGACAGCTAACCTCGAGAAGGACCAAAAAATCACCATTTCCAAACTCATGTTTAATTATGGATTCAATGGGTTACAATCTTTGATCAGTCTGTGGAGACTGAAGTGCTACCTTTGTAAATATTTGGACTGGGCACCGAATACTCTGTTTAGCGATAGCGTGAAAAATTCATCATCATTTTAATGTCTCTCTTTATGTTGCAGGTCTCAGGTGGTGACATATTTGATTTCATCAACATAAAACTTGGTGGCAAGAGAGGTTAGCTGGTAACTACAACAGCTTGGGTGGCAAAAATTTGAAGGGGAAAGGTTTGGCCTGAAGAAATTAAGACTGTGCAAGAACTTAAGTCAATCAGTCAGTGATTGGGGCTGATATAAAAGAAAGAGAAAAACTCTATTTTCTCCTCCACAACTTCCATAAAAAATTTGTTCACTTTTTTGAGAAATGTTTGGTTGAAAAAACTCGGTTTGATATTTTTGTTAATTCTTATCTATTGTCGGAGATAGTTTGCGATATTCTGTTTCCCAGTGACCTATTTATTCTCTTGTAGTAGTAAAAATAACCAGTAATTTTCTTGTGGTATCTTCTTACCACAACATTCGAAGACAGTTATTTTCCCACGGTGCTTCAGCTATAACACAGCTATAAGCACCTCTCCATTTCCCAAGGCCAATCCAAACCATCTCAACTGATGTACAAGTTAGACGGTTTTAGAAACTGCTGGGAGCGGACCTCAGGGAAGGGTGGGGGGGGGGGGAACTTCCTAATGAAGGATATGGGGACGAATGGAAACTTGTCTGGGGGTGTCTTAGGCTTTATAAATTTGACCTCTAAAATAGACCATACTCCAACACAGTATGGCGGCATTTTGCATGCAATATCTACTAGACATAGATGTAATTAACAACAACCGTAAAGGATGCTACGGTGAAACCACCAACTTACGGCCACTTTATTTTGGCCATTTGGCAAAAACCGCCATACATTTCTTGTAAAAAAAGCCTCTTTAATACGGCCTAATTGGTGACCGTATTAATTGGTGACCGTATTAACGGAGTTCCACTGTATTATTAGAACAGCAGCACAACTACGACAAAAACAAGTAAAAAAATAAAGCGGATAAAATCGAACGACGTTTCGGTGTCATCGTGACGCCCTTTTCAAGTTCAAGTTCAATTTTTACTTGTTTTGTTTTACCTTTACAACTTCAACAACAACAGCAAAAAATATCATCGGCTTTCCGTCTTAAACACTCATCTCATCTTTCTTCTTTATTTGTAGGAAATATCCAAGACATAAGGGTGCCTGTAGCTGGAACAAGTGCAAGTGATTTTGAGGTGAAAGAATCAGACAAAAAGAAAAAAGGTGGCAAGAATATAAACTGGAATTTACAGGTAAATTCTCAGGAGGCAGAGTGGCCGAGTGGTTAGAGTGCTGGACTTGCAATTCGGAGGCTCAGAGTTCCAAGGTTGAGAGTGCTGGATTTGCAATTCGAAGGCCGAGTTCAGTTCCAAGTCCTGTCAAATATAAACTAAAAGTCCTACATT